AGAAAATTACACTAGAAATCACAGCAAAAGTTGCAAGTGTAAACAGGCCATTATCATTATAATACCTTTCAGGACCTTAAACATCACCGACTAATAGCGAATTTCTAGTTCTAATGATTAAGAAATTGACACTAGCAAGATTACCTTGGCACACAACTGTATCTATATAACTTTGCATTTCCATCCACATGACAAGAATGTTGAGACTCATAACAAGATGGACAGTCAATCCAGTTCTTCCCTTTCATGGCCTCTAATTCATGCATCGCAAAGCACCACTCTTTAAATGCCCGGTGAAAAACTGCCACATTGATAGTTGATGACTACAAGGAAAATCATATTACTGTAAGTAAACTGGACTTATGTATACTTTATGTGATTTTTTTAATAAAACCAGATCTATACATATTTTATACAGTAACAAAAATTTTAACCAGTTTTAAAGTGCTTGTGTTTGTATGTATTTTATTATTGCATGACTTCCTGAGAAGCATCATATTTTGACAAAAATAATTTAGTGAAGATATCACATCAATGTACATTGTAAATGTACAGTCTCGTATCAATGTATAATTAACATGCATTGTTGACCCTTTGATGAATAAAACTGTAAAATTATTTAGTGTAAAACAAAGTAAACCAAAGAATATGTTGTATTACTGTAGGAAATTTTTCAAGTTGTTCAGTTTCAATCCACACAGGTGTTAAGTCATATTTTACATACTCTGCCTCTTTCACTAGAAATATTTCCCAGTGATCTAAGAAATGCTGTTTCTGATGTTCCAGGCATGTGCTTCCTCACAGAGTCCCACACTCTGAATAGCTGTTCTGAGAAAACATGATTAAATTGCTTTGGACTTCCAGGCCAATAACCCTCCATAATAATTTTCTCAAGTGTGACTGGTGAGAAATGCTCATCACAATCATTGCAGTAATATGAGCAAAGGAATAGATCAAATCGACCTTCAGTAAAAGAAAAATAAAGGGATTTATAGCTTTAAAACTATGGTAATGTGCTTTTAGAAGATTACTGAAAAGGTTTCTCCAGGAGGCAATCTGTGCCTCGATTGTATTGTGCTGTCTATAATAATGTACCGAACACCTGCTGATGAGCATTCTACAGTATGTGAAACACTGCATGTTCATTCAGTTGAATAATATACACTGTAGTAAAGTATGTTTCCTGTACAGAAATTGATGCAGTTAGAGAAGTTTCATCTATCTATTAGATAACTTTATAATACCTTCACAAGTGATCACAATACAGCTTTCAGTTTCAGATAAAACCAGTTCAAGTGTTCCTTGTCTTTTACAAAGCAAACATGCTTCACACAACAGAAAAGGAGCACACCTCTCTAAAAAAAGACAAACACAGTATAAAAGTTATGACTGACCACTTACCATCCATCTTGGTGGTTATATTACTGTAATTAATTTGTAATTTGATTTTAACCCATCAAGCACCAGCACTCTCCCCTTGATGAGTAAAATCGGGCAGTGTTAGACAGAGTAAAATAATAAAGTAGGGTGCATCAGGGCACAATGCAACTCAATGGGTTAACTAGACACATGGACAGATAGGTCAGTTAACCCATTAAGTGCCAGCACTCTCCCCTTGAAGAGTAAAATTGTCTGGCGTTAGACAAAGTAAAATCGTCTGGCGTTAGACAGAGTAAAATAATAAATCAGGGCACAATGCGACTCAATGGGTTAACATAACAAAAATTAATATATACATGTGAACAACATATGAGAGTTTTTCCAGGTAAATACTGCTGCTTGCAAGCTACCATTAGGCATGTGTTGTTTTCATACAGTACAGTACAGTAAGTCCATCTGTGCATGCATCAACATTTAACTTTCCTCTCATTTCAAGATCCCCGAAACAAGTGTTTTATTTTCAAATGACTGATAATTTTTATACAGACTTGTAAAGCCTAATGATCCATCTCCCAGCACAGTAGTTGTAGGGGGAATTTCTTGGAAAAACCCATTCGTCCACACATCTCGATCATGGAGAGGTTTCTTTTCGTGTAATTCAGCATCGCAGCTTGAACACATTAGCACTCTTGGACCACACTGATGACAACATATCACAGCAGTTTTGCAACCACAAATAAAACATAAAGCATCTGACGAAGGGATTGCATGGCACTCTAAGAGTGCTTTGAATATTGTTGCTCTGCTGCCTTCCCATGCACTCTCAACAGACTGCATCCGCTTTGCCCATTTGGACTGTCCACTCGATTTTATCTCTTCAGTCAATTCTTCACAGACAGCAATACAATCATCCAATGTCTCTGAAAAACAGTTACATCAATGTACAATAACTATTGAACACTATTATCTTGCTTAATCCAAGATAATAGTGTTCAAAATTGAAATACACACTTAAAACTTACTTGGGCAAGAGTTAACCCATATTAATTAAACACTGCATATAAGTTAATATAGTCTTATAGAAATGCCTATTAGTGGCTATAAACTATAAAGTGTAAAGAGCCTAAGTCAACATCATAAACACAATCAATATCAAACTATGTACAGTATACATATGCCACAAAACAACACTTCACAAATCTACCAACCTAAATTTGAAGAAGCGCGGTCTAAAGTTGACGTATCGTTCATTAAATCGGTAAAATCGCACGTTTTAGAAGTAAAACAAACGTTTGTATGATTGTATTTAGCTTTTAGTCTATTTCACGCAGCCTTTCACCCATCTTTATAAAGATGTTATCAGTTTACAATACTTATACATTTTGGTTTTACAATTTAATAGAGTTTATAATTAAACAAAATTTTTACAAACATTTTCAAATGCTAATAAAAGAATCCCCACCCTCCCTCCTTTAATATTACATTGTTATTTTGCTTTCTAACATAAATTTTTTTGTCTAGAGATTAATGCAAGAATGATGAATAAATGTACTGGATATTGGCTAGATAATTTTGTCAGAACAACCCACTTGCAAGACAATCTCACCTAAAATCATAAGTATCAATGGTATGGATACTGTAATAACTTAACAGCTACAATAATCATATACTAGAAAATACATGCATGCAGAAACCCTCGCCTTGCTGACAAACAGACAAAACCATTGTATTTTCCGAACATGAAGTATCTGAAGTAGTTGTCATGGTAACACAATAATTTTTTAAGAATATTCTTACAAATGAAAAATCGCCTAAAAAATATCACTTTTAATTACAAAATTATTAATTTGCCAACATATATATGTTAGGTATGTTATTATACGTAATATAAGCCTCAATTTAAGGTAAAATTCAACCACAAACGCTTCGCAAAACGTTTTAAAGTCACTAGTGTTCTTTATACAACTAAACTGCCTTTTAAAATGGCTTTATCGATAAACTTTGAGTTTGCAATAAAATGACTTCGAATTCTCGCTTGCAAATAACTCTGCTTTCTTTTTTATTTAAAAAATTCAATATCATAAAAAAGGGAATCAATATTACTAAAGATACACTGAAATAATATGCTGTCTTGTTTAGTTGTTTCATATATGCAAAGGCCGTCGGGTTTTAAATTAAATCCATTATAAAATCAACGTTGGCTCACTTCTTTTAGCCGATTCTTTCGCTGTTTCTTTCTTGAAATTTACAAAATCTTGCGAAAATGCGAGCGAAAATGAAATATATTTGTGATATTTGCAAGAAATTTATCAATCATCAAATCAAGAAATGTTTGCTATTTAGCTGTCGTCATGCAGTCGTTATAATGCAAACTTTAAATTGGACCAATCAGTTTTCGCTATTCATGACAGTCCGCCACATATTTTGAGATCAGTGAGGATGACCACCCACTGAAACTTCGTTGGTGAGCCACGCCCGCGATATTTGATGAACTTTAGACTTCGCTAATGCTTTCGTTTCCCCGGGTGTAAATAGCCGGGGGGAATTAGTACCCTCGCACGGCGCTTCGCGCCGTCGGCTCGGGGATTATATGGATGGTCAGATCAATGGCACACAATATGTACAAAACTGAACTTGTGATACCTTCTACTCAAACTGATATTCTCCCACAACACAAATTGTTTTTGTGTGGATATGTTGGGTTAAACCGAACAGTGTGGTATATCATTAACTGTGCACAGGATTGGAATTTAATTATATACTTCATTCATGACCTTTAAAACATTCTCTACTATTCAGTGGTCTTCGATATATGATATTGGACTCTTTGCTATAGTATTAATGCATGTTCCTCGAATAGTTTGTGTATGTTACTCAACAGTTAACATTGGCAAGTGTAAACAACAAGTGACAGAACTTTTGCTTCATATGATTACAATAAAGTTTTGAAAACTCTATGAATATCGATTGACAAGTGACAGTTTACTAAATAGCTGGCTGCCGGCTGTATAGACACTGACAGCATAATTATCTGTTACAATCATAATCGCATTATAAAATTAGTTAAATTTTCGCGGGGGGAATTGCCCCTGCTGCCCTCTGCATTGTGTATAGCCCTGTTAGATGTGTATTATGTTTGACTTTAAAATCTTATTTGCTATTATATTATAACAAGTGATGAAATATTTCAATTGTCCCATGTCGTCTTCATTCAGTTCCTTTCAAGAAAATACAACATGTGAATCAAGTTTTTTCGCAGATACATGTACGCGTCGCGTACCTATTTTTGAGATATAGTATTATTACACTTGGCTCGTATATATCTATTTCTATGCAAAATTTCAGGGTACCTTACCGAACTTGTTTTCTCAATAATCAAGGTTTTGTATGTCTACATTCGGCACGGCCAAAGTTTTTTGCCTTCTGCAGGATCAATGAATTGACATGCACGCACATGTATTCGCAGGCGCAAGTTCACACGAACGAACAAAACACGCAACATTTGAAGAAATGGCATGGGGATTTTATTGTTGTTCTTGATCGTGAGTTTTATATCCGTACTTCGATTCAAACTGCAGTAAAATGTTCTTTTATGTTTCCAATCCTTTTATGATTCATTACTCATGGTTTCTTGTCACCGGATCGCATACACTTTGGTTGTTGTTGACAATAATGCACTCTTGATAATATTCCAACGACGCCAGCATCACCTCATGTTTGGTAAAGGTCTTTGTAAGACAAGCCAGAACCAGCGATTTTTAAAGTCATGCTGTGTGTGATTGGACTTTTACTTGCTTGTGGACAATATAAACCTCCTACAAACGTTTGGAAAAGCTCAAGTCGTTTGTCTATGTGATCCAAGTCCATTCTCGCATCACAAACTGTTTGTATTTGGCTGCTGTTGACTATAGTTCTGATGTCAATTGCTAGTTCAGGACTGAATATCTTTCGAAGAGCTTTGACATCCTCTAAAGCATCGTGGGCGTTGAACTCATCTTTAAACAAGCACTGATAAACACTACTTATATTTACACGACAGTAATCTCGATTTGTCAACTTCAGAGGAGCATGCTGGCTTTGAATTAAAGACTTGATAAGTAGTAAGCTGTCACCAAAATTGACATTGATCTGATCAAGCTGTTCATCGTATAATTTCCCCGAATTTCGTAAAAGTACTGGAACGTCAAAGACAGCTGCATTGTGGCCAATAAGAACTGGTATAGATTGAGTACCGCAGGAATTGATGGAACAAGCGTGTTGTATAAATTTGATGAAGCTTGACAAGGCGTTTTCAATGGACATTGCTGCAACAGGAACAGAGTTTTTACACAATGATCTTGTTCCATTTTTAATTTCAACGGTAAGATTATTCACTCTAGATGCCCCATGACTTATGTTACTTTTAGGCATAATGTAAGAGGGGTACATGGAACCAGTTTGAGTGATCGCAGATAGTTGAAATATTTCTGCCTTTGAACCAGTGTCTGAAGTCTCCAAGTCAAATATTATAAACTGGTAGGGCATTGTTTGGCTGTAAGTTTTATATACTAGCTGCGGCCCTTCCATACAATGTGGAACAAGCTTGTCAAATTCCTCACTGTTTTTTAGTAATTGTTTTGAATAACTTTTCTAACTTGTGATCATTTGCATTTGATTCAATATTTGCAAGACCTGGTGTGTTTTCTGTTGACAAATTAAGACCAATACCAGTTTCATATGTTTTGCCTTCTTTAACTTCATTTTTGGTATTTTTTGTTATCCGTTCATTTTGGAGGAGATGACATCTTACTTTGCAGGTTTTTAATGATTGCGGTTATCTTTCGCCCTTTTTTGTCTAGTTTACTGTTGTGTGTGATACAGGTATTCCTTGGCTCTATACCAAGATGGCTTAGTGTACTGTTGATGTAACTATACCCGATGTTCTTTTGTGCTACAGCACAAGCAACCAGAAAGTCACTGCTCTCACTACTACCATAAAACCTTATTTTTGGGTTTTTGCTTCCTACGATGCTATTGAGTGCTTCATTACATTGGGAATTTGCAAATGGTATAAGTTTCTTAACAACAGTTTCAGTTGTATATTCATCAAGTGAAAAAGTTAAGTGCACTTTTTTGTGCACTTTATGATGTGGGAGATCCTTGTGTTTATATGTCAAAGGTTCCTTCTTGAAACCACACCATGTTTCTTTACAATTTTTGTGGTCACCAAATGCAGGTGGAACTATGCATTTTAATGCTTTCTGTAAACTTTCCACATCTTTTTGTTTTGGGCTATGCAATACGAAAAGCATTTTGCCAGATAGTTGATCACTTTCTGACTCAGAGTAGATGAATTTGGGAATTTACAGCGGCTAGAAAGATTATATAATCTTGTTGTTAATGAACGTTTAGCATGCACAATGTCAGACCATTTCTCGACCCCATATGTTATTTTTAGACACAACATGCAATATGATTGACAAGTGTTGTAGATTTCATTACACAAAAAAATTATATTCTCATGAACATGTCCGCAGAGTTTGCATTTTGCTTTATAATTAAACTTAAAAATTCAAGGTACTTTTATATAATTAAGAGTCAATTTCTCTATTTAACCGAACAGCAAACAAAGATTTAATTAGTCAGTTCTGTGCACGGCTTGACTGCCAAGCTTTCTCAAGGTCTCAACTTGTTGGACGCGGATATACTCTAACGGGCTATTAAACAATAGCAACAATGAAATTCTCAATCATACCACGAAGAAGGCAATGCAGCTCAGAAAACAATGCCTGTAGGACCTGATATTAAAAATAAGACTTTTGCCGGCGAAGCCAGTTGGCAGAACGGCTTGGCTGTCAACAACAACTAGCTTTCGAATACATGACTAGTTTCAATGGCTGTTCTTTCAGCGTCGTGTGTCCAAAATTCAATTCGTCCAAGATTTTGATAAAGCCCTTTCAAAATACTGTTTGTCTGATTTATTTTCTGCCATAAAGCATAAAAGAAAAGAAATTCGAAGAAATCGATAATGAATTTGTTACGTGCGTTTGACCTTTATATCTATATGCTGATCTATATTATTGTCGCCTTTGACCGAGCTATTTTTAAAACTGTTGTTTATGTAAACTTGCAACCAATCAAAATCCTTCATGATGCTGATCAACCAATCAGATTTCCCGTCCACCAGGTGGACGGGAATCCCACAGTTTAGATAGGTTTTGTGTCAGGCCCCTATTCTGTAATAGGGCCTGAACTTCAGGTTAATTAGGGGGAGAGTGCTGCCACTCAATAGGTTAAACCAAACTTGTAAATTATGTCAAATTTTAATCTGATTTTTGTAAATATATGTTTGAAAACTACAAGCGTAAGCAATCTCATTGGGTCATTAATCCAGAAAGATCCCCCAAGGAAATTTATGAAAGGTGGTTGGGAAAAAGTGTCATAAATTTTCCACTGCTAAGCATGAAAGGAAACAGAAAAATGTGTTCACACACATTTATAGAAGTAATGTATTATGCAGGTCAGGACATTTTTGTTGTTCACAGTAGATTGGCATATTATATTTTATTTGTTGTTAGCAAGCCATCGTGTGATAACTTATATGTTTAGCCTATGGCTGATATTAGGATATCCAGTGGGAGGGGATGTATTTGGGTGGCACTTGCATCTAAACACTTTAGAGTTTTAGTAAGGTAGTCCTGAAACAGTAACAAGGGGAGCTTTCAATGTAGCGGTGGGGAAGTTGGAGAGACATGTGAAGAGCAAAGTGGGGGTTAAAAGGCTTGTAGAGCTGGGAGTTGAAAAGCTATGCAGGGCCTGGCGATTAAATAGCTAAAGTGCATGGAGTGTACAATTCTACAAAACATTAACAGACTAGCTTCGACAATTCCTTTATATTCATATACATATTTTATACTTATAGGAAAGTTACTTCATGTGACATCAGAATGGCCTAAAGTGATCACCAAGAGATTAGTAAAATATATTTGAATATACCAAAGTTCCCAATAACATTCCAGAAATTTCAAGTATATGTACAAAGATATTAAAATGAAAGTTAAATGAAATAAAAATTATGAACTATGATTATGCTTCCCCACCAAAATTCAGTTCCTATGTACAGTATCTACCTTATGGAATATATATTGTTATTGGATGTTCGTTTCTTCAGTTCTGATGTAATCGCTCTGGTTCTGAAAATAATTTCAAGCCATTTCTCCCAAGTTTCCTTTTTTATTGACGACTTATATTCACTTTCGTGCGCGCTCATGACTGGTATTCAAAACAATGAAATTTGGTGCTTTTGGCTTGTTGAACAACCAAAAAAAGCACAATTACGGCCAGGCATAGCTTTAATACTTCATAGCTAGCTAACGAGATTCCAACAGATGGCCAACAGATATTATATTGATATTATTTCAATGTAAATTAGGTGGTCTGTGATATGTATTATTACGCCATTTTTAATATGATGCACACTATTTGACACATGACCCTTCCAAGCATGGATCAAAGACATATTCCGAAACTCTGCCCACTTTCCAAACCATCCTTCTATTAACTGTGTTCGCAGGTGCGAGGTATCTCCCACCTAAAAAAGTTCCATATAGAATTACACTCCTCATACAATTTCAAATTTACAAATAACGCTAAGATTATCAGATTAACATCATACAAAAATGATAATAATGAACTCTTTATATATAAAATCTAGTAATCTACTGACATAATTACAGAAACCTGCACTAACACCCATATTCTAAAAGCTCACTAACACTCATACTCGATGCATGAGTGGAGGTTCAATCTGAGCTTCTCTTGAGTGTCAGCGCTGTTTTTCAATAGCTGCCGGGAATGTGAGTATAGTCACGTAGTAACGGTATGACACTAACCCTCCAGCTATTCAAAAACAGCAATGACACTCGAGAGAAGCTCAGACTGAACTTCCACTCATCGAGTGTGAGTGAGCTTTTAGAATACAGGCATAAGACTACTTTCAAAACCACAGCAACGGTACATAGCCTAAAACAGTTACCAAAATTCGCCTATATTATGCAGTATTTCTGCTCTTTCCAATGATGTATTGATTACGGCACAAGCTCACCAATGTCAAAACGGCAAGGATTAATAAGGTGGTAATTGCTTTTGTTTATAGAATTACAATTCAATTCAATTCAATTCAATTTATTCATCTATATTCCGCAAGATCTGTATTCCTAATTGTTCTGAAACTCAACTATATTGTGCAGTATTTCATGCTCTTTCTAATGACGTACAGCAAATTTGGGTACAAGCTCACCAACGTCCAATATATGACATTAATGTTGCACAATCGTTTAAAACTGGCTGTGTTCAATGTTACTCATCGTGTCATCCTTTCAGGCGATCATTGTAGATAAAATGTGTTGTAATTGATGTAAATGTTTAGTATAAGGACCCTGTGTATGGGGCAATAAGCCCTGTAGGGATCACCAATCATTAATGACAAAACTAGTAAATAAATAAAATAAACTGGCAAGGGTTAATAAGGTGCTTATTGCTTTAATTTGTTTATAGAAAAACACTAATTTCTTTTGTTTATATATTAAATTTAGACAATAGAATTACACTGTGCCAACATCTATATTCAGCAAGCGTTTGTACAGAATCGGCCTCCCTAATTGTTTCGAAACTCAACTATATGGTGCAGGAGTTCATCCTCCTTCCAATGCATGATATACACTAAATTGGGCACAAGCTCCCAAACGTAGGAATGGCAAAGACTAATGAAAGAAACTTAATCCTAATGATTATACAAAGAAACGCAAGGGCATGGACCCTGCAATAATCACATATTGAGCTAAATTGCGATGCCGTTTATACCGCGAAGCTACAATCCTGGCAAAAATTATCGTGGACAGCGCGTGCGTCAAACAAAACTATATGTAGTTCTACAGAATTTATCTCACTCAAAAAATTCTCCCCCTCCTACCCCCAATTCAATGTTGGCAAATCATCTAAACATACTTTTAAAATTTAAATGCGGCAAACAACATTGAACAGGGGCCAGGGGGGCGGCAAATTTCATGAAATAACGTCTCAATGTTAATATTGCCATTATTGGCGATAAAACAGTTAGGTGTCCACATAATTTTGGCCAGGATTGTCTGAAAATAACCTGAAAAATATATCGATGATTTTCAATCAAAGCAGCCCTTCCACTATACATTTTTGATGTTGCCATTGCTTTAGGATAACAAACATGTTGTTTAAACTGGTTTAATTGTTTTTTAAAGCATATTTATTATTTTGTTGGTGAGCAGCTTGCGTATGCGGCCATTTTCGAGTAAATTGCTAATATATCGTCCTAGTCTGAATTTAAAGTTGTGCAGTAAATAGATTAATTACATTCGTCATAGACATGTAATTATTAATTAATTATTTCTAAAAATGGTCAACAAGCTTTGCCCTGAAACAACAGCGTTGATTCGTTTGTACAAAAATGAAACTGAACTGAGCTATAGAAAAATTGCTGCGCGATGTGGAGTGTCTAAGTCAGCTGTTCATAAAATCTGCAACACGAAATTGCGTCGGAAGTTGGTGCCTAAAATTTCAAATGGTAGAGTTGGACGACCAAGATGTCTTAACGAAAGGGATGAAAGATTACTATTGCGAGCTGTTAAGACGTTACGAAAGACGTCAGTGAACTTCTCCGTGAAAGATGTTATACAGGAAAGTGGACTGGATCCAAGCATTGCAAAGCGAAGGACAATTTCTCTTTATCTTAATCGTGCCGGTTATCACCATTTACAAGCAAGAAAAAAAGGATTATTAAGTGAATCTGACAAAAAAATTCGAACCAAATATGCACGAAATGCCAAAAAATTACTTAAAGACTCTCCTAAGTTCTACACACATGACATCTCATTCTATCTAGACGGCATTTCATTTGTTCACAAATACAATCCACTTAAAACAGCCCTGCAACCGAAATCGCGTGTGTGGAGAAAGCGAGGTGAAGGACTAGAGATTACAAGTAAAGGAAGTAAAGATTTGCCTGGAGGAAGGCGATTGCATCTCATGGTCGCCGTTGCGTATGGTAAAGGCGTAATTTTAAGAAAGGCATACGAGAAAATGGACGGTCCTTTTTTTGCAGGTTTCGTGAAAGAAAACCTAAACTTGTGCTTCGCTAAAGCTGGTCCAAGGAGAGGAAGGCAGCGCATATTTGTCATGGACAATTGCCCCTGCCAAAATAGCAAAGTAGCCTTATTAGCCCTGGATAGTATTGAATGCACACGGCATAAAATACCAGCGAGATCTCCTGATTTAAACCCGATTGAAAACATTTTCCATGTAGTAAAGAAGCAGCTAGAAGAACAAGCCATAAATATGCGATTGTCAAAGGAATCATTTCAGAATTTTCATGACAGAGTATGTCGCTGTTTAGATAACTTAAGTGTTGACCTTGTTGATCGGACACTCGAAACTATGTCTAATCGCATTACCGCGATACTAAGGGAAAAAGGAATTAGATCAAAATACTAAATAATATTCGATTTTACTATAATAATATATACATTACGTACTGCGGTTTTAAACTCCCGTCTATTCAATAAAAATAACTGCATAAAACTGTTAAAAAGATTGTGTAAGTAATGTTATTTTGAAATTTTAGAAATTTGACACGGTACACGGCTGTGTACCGCAGTGATAAAAATATTTAACTGTGTATTCTTTAACTCTACGCTACACACTTGTGTACCGTGTGACGTCACCGTTAGATTAAAGGTGCTCTACTACAGTCGCTATTGGTCTCTGTTTGTTATAACAAATCTGAAAATAGTGAGCGCTTCGGATGCGTATCTACGCAATGAAATAACTCTAGTCTGTTACATTTAGTGACAATTTGGTTCTACACTTAAGTACTTTTGTTAAACTCGTCTTACTGCCTCTGCATAATTAGTTCAGCAAAGCATCTGGCGCATGGTTGTGCCTCGACTTGCTCGGTTTTTGAAATTTCTGCATGAAAACCAAATACATTCCATGTCACTCTCATCATTTCTGTTTCCGTAGCATCCAGCACACCTCCCTTAACGAAGCTGATTTCTTCTTTTGCCGTACAATGTACATCACTAGAGAGAGTAGCGTCTTTGCTGTAATGACTTTTGGGCGCGGGTAAATGCACTAACTGACCTTCCAACATGAGTAAAAGATCATGCCATGGTATAATCTGCTTAGACCACCTGAAATCGTTGAGGAAAATGACGTCTGCATCTTCGGCTCCTACCCAGGCAAAAGTCGTGGTAGCAGGATTGCTGAAGGTGCTGTAAATTTGGTTGAGTGGGTTTAACAGAAATGTCTTACCGCAATTTGCTGGGCCCTTGAGATAAATGTTGCGGTATTTTCCACGACCTTTCTCCAACAATACGCGTAACGCCCCCGCAAATACCATAACGTCGATACCGTTTCTGGTTAGGATGTCAATGGCCATAACTAACCATTTCCCTAGGCATCCTTCCACGCATGGCTCTTCCAACTTTTTTTCCAGAACCTCGAGTCTGGTAAGTTTCGACCTTTCCAACTTTTTCTCCACCTCTTCCAACTCCCAGCCAACGGTCAAAGCTTCCTCGACTGCTTTCGATCCTCGATTGGCAATGAACTGGGCCAAATCACTTTTCCCTTCTCTCTTCTGCTCATTTGCCAAAGCAAGAAGTTCTAGTCGGGTTTGTATTTTTTTCGAAACTGCGAGCTGAGACACGTCAAAAATGCTCATTCTCTTGCGTTTTCGCTTGTGGCCATCCGCGGCTTGGGAATCAGGAGTATGTTCACTGTCTGCGGCGTTACTTTGTAAACACAAACTAGCATTATTTGTGACTGGGAAATCGCCATTCGTGAGATCAGGGTGATTCGAAGACTGTATATAATCCTTGTCGTCTTTCGTAGCATAAAGCCATGCAGAATAATAATTCACGTGAATTCCACTGAAATTCACTTTTATTCCATGGTTAGAATCGAGGAAATTTCTAAATTTCAACCAACGACGGCGTGATTCAAGCTTAACAGCCATATGATAGTGTACTCCGCGATCACTATGATGCTCCATGCTGCAAACCCATTGCAAAATGTTGCAGGCTGACAAAGAATCTGCATTTTGAAATGCATGTATCACTAATAATGCGAATGATTCACGCTCAGGAACTAAAGCTAGATCTGCTTGGCTGTAAGTTATTAGGTAAACAAACCTCGCATTCCTTGGCTGAACATTTTGCACTGTTTGACTAAGTACTGAGACATCGTCGTTCTCCATAATGTACAATAATTTTTTACACGAAAATATTGCTTTTTAGAGTTGCAGCCTAAGTTGTAATTGTATATAAATCCTGATATACGTAAAAAAGCCACTTGACATGTAATGTGATAGTGGCACTTAACATTGTCCAAAAGTTAAAAAAACGCTAAAAATAACCCGATTTACTAATTGCTTGCCTCCTTTGCTAAACAAACAAGCATTTTTATCATAGGTTCGACTCTTAAATGCATGGAATCGGACGGTTTGAAATACGTGATAATCTCAGACAATCCTGGCAAAAATTATTGTGGACAGCGTGTGCGTCAAACAAAACTATATGTAGTTCTACAGAATTTATCTCACTCAAAAAATTCTCCCCCTCCTACCCCCAATTCAATGTTGGCAAATCATCTAAACATACTTTTAAAATTTAAATGCGGCAAACAACATTGAACAGGGGCCAGGGGGGCGGCAAATTTCATGAAATAACGTCTCAATGTTAATATTGCCATTATTGGCGATAAAACAGTTAGGTGTCCACATAATTTTTGCCAGGATTGTCAAACATTTTATAGCAATAAACGAAGGAAATTTGGGATCACTAAAATTCGTATATTACCACGTAAGCATCATTTCGAAAGTCTGATTATACATGAAATGCTTTCTGCTGTTATTAATTCTATTCTGTATTGGAAAGAGGGTAACTCTTTCCACTGTTAATCAAATTTATATAAATCGTAGCCATAATTAAATTTTGCGATAATAACTTAATAACCTGGAAAGTAGGCCTATACTGGAACATATTCGCATTTTCGCAAGTGTTACATATCATGAAAAATCTGAGGTTTTTGTGCTTGTGCCATGTTATTGTTATTACTTGTGGAAGCGGAATGACATATCTACATTATACTTAAATTTTTACATTACCATGTTTGCTGAATTTCGTCAAATATCGATATCGAAATTATAGTTTATTAATCTGAAACATAATGATCGAACAAGTAAATGTAGTGTCTTAAATGTTCAATTTCTCCCACAAAGAAGCTTATTTTCCTATTTTATGCACATCATACGATAGATACCTTGCATGCATTGCTCATGTTACTGCTAGTTTAAAGTAAAAAAATACCTTAAAAGTATCCAGAAAAGGGGTTCAAATAATCTACTTTGAATAATTGAATACTGTTGAATGTGAGGTCCAATCTAAGGCTGAATCTGGGGCCCAATCCGCGGCTATCTTCACAGTGCTTAAATGATTGTTATCTCTAAGCGAAGGCATGGCTGTAAATCTACTTACGAAGTTTTGAACATTAACCAGGGTGCTATGAACCTACGTGCGCTTAATATAGTAATAGTTAATGACCCGAACACAAAAACGGAAGCCGTCTCAAATTTCAACACTTTGGTTTCTGAAATATATGTCTCCCTTGGATGCCTCCAAAATTTCTCCCATTTATACACTAGTCATCTATTTCCCTTACATATAGGCTAATAGATAAGAGTTCAAACATGACGCCCCTATATACAGTAAATCTACCCAACCGAATTGGTGTTATTACAGTAAGAAACTGTTGCTTGTAGAAATAAAAGCCTACAATGAAGACTTTTCTGTCAACGCCGCGCGATAAGTGCAGCAAAATTAAATTTTTATTACCTCGAACATGTCTGTCAAATGTGATATTTTGCCCAATACTTTGAATTACGTTTCCCACATGAGAACCGCATTGTGAGATATCATATATATTAATATTATATTTTTATTTATTACCTCGAACATGTCTGTCAAATGCGTTTACATATATATTTTTCCAAATACTTTGAATTACGTCTCCCACACAAAAACCGCAATGTTAGATATAACATTATATTTTTATACACATACTATAGTTGGCTAAAGTGTATGTAAGTAATAATAAAGTATAGCAATGTAATATCTAACATAAGCATCCTACACCGAATGTGACACACCGCGACCATCATACACCATCTGTACCATCTTCACCATCTGACAGCTCTTCCCTGTATAACCACCCTACACCATCATACACCATCTGACAACCATCTGACACGCTTCGACCATCATACACCATCTGACAACCCTTCCCTGTATAACCACCCTACACCATCATACACCATCTGAAAATCTTCTGACACACTTCGACCATCATACACCATCATACGCCATCTGACAACCATCTGACATACTTCGACCATCATACACAATCTGTACCATCTTCACCATCTGACAACCCTTCCCTGTATAACCACCCTACACCATCATACACCATCTGACACATTTCGACCATCATACACCATCATACACCATCTGACACATTTCTACCATCATACACCATCTGTACCATCTTCACCATCTGACAACCCTTCCCTGTATAACCATCTGACAACCATCTGACACACTTCGACCATCATACACCATCTGACACATTTCGACCATCATACACCATCTGTACCATCTTCACCATCTGACAACCCTTCCCTGTATAACCACCCTACACCATCATACACCATCTGACAACCATCGGACACACTTCGACCATCATACACCATCCGACACATTTCGACCATCATACACCATCTGTACCATCTTCACCATCTGACAACCCTTCCCTGTCCCTACACCATCATACACCATCTGACAACCATCTGACACACTTCGACCATCATACACCATCTGACACATTTCGACCATCATACACCATCTGTACCATCTGACAACCCTTCCTTGTATAACCACCCTACACCATCATACACCATCTGACAACCATCTGACACACTTCGACCATCATACACCATCTGACACATTTCGACCATCATACACCATCTGTACCATCTTCACCATCTGACAACCCTTCCCTGTATAACCACCCTACACCATCATACACCATCTGACAACCATCGGACACACTTCGACCATCATACACCATCTGACAATCATCTGACACATTTCTACCATCATACACCATCTTCACCATCTGACAACCCTTCCCTGTATAACCACCCTACACCATCATACACCATCTGACAACCATCTGACACACTTCGACCATCATCTGACAACCATCTGACACCTTTCGATCATCATACACTATCTGACAACCATCTGACACACTTCAACCATCATACACCACCGACATCAGATGCCTGTATTGGACATTACTCCTCTTCTGCCAGCCCATGTCATGACACTGGTATGCCAATTAAACCATTGTCATCAGGTTCTGCCCCATCCACCACAGCATCATTCATTTCCATGTTCATATTTTCTTTGCAGCTTATTTGGGCAACAGTTTCCCACTTCTTGTTCCTGTGCTTTGAATGTCGAATGGTTCATGGTTGGAATGTTCATTGTTGACAGCAGATTATTCAAGTGTGTATTACCAATTCCAGTGTGAAGACATCCTACTGCAGCTTGGGAGTTAATATTGAATGTTGGTTTTCCACGTTTACCTGATCTGTGGGTTGGAGAAGTTTCAAGATGGTTTATGGCACCACAAACATGGCATTTGATTTTGAACACACATGCAAGACCAACAGTATCTTCCTATAATATATTGCTAAATGACAATGGACCTGAAAGAAAATAGTCATATTGTTGCAGAATAATATTAATACATGACTTACTCATTCAGTTTCCATGCATTTTATTTTGACAAAAGTGATAATAATTTAACTTTTGGTAACAAACCTTTTAGGCATGTACTGCAACTTGAAAGACTATTTCTTAAAATCTTCAGGTCAAAAATACGACAATCATCAAGTGACTGAGAATAAGATATAATTTCAGAGTTTGCTTTCTATATTTTAAATAAATCATACAGTATTTATATTAGAAACGCTCTGACAGAGTATATTGTTTACTTAAACTTCAGTGCTTAGCTTCTTGGTATATAAACTAAAATTGTTTTACTCACAATCCTTTTCTGTGTCAAACATATTTAGCTTTCTTCATCTGTTTTGTCTTGAAACTCTAGCTGTCTTTTCGCCGACCTGATGCACTTCATTTTTTGAAATGTTGACACTGAGCTTGTCCGACTAAACTTTCCGGTTTTATTCCGTTTCAAATTATCTTTATGCCCTGTTGAATCATCCTCATCCTGCTCGTTTTCTCCTGCTAAGATGGGTGCAAAAAATCCCAATATCGAAAAACGATCGTAAAGACTATCGCGATCAATTTCGCCGAACTTGTTTACCGATGATATTTGGCACACAGAAACTTTAAAAGTAGACTTATAAATAGATGGATTTTTCTCTCTTTTGTAGCCAAGGTTTGTACGGTGTTTAACATTACAAAGGGCATCAATACTTGCAGAAATAGGACGTAAAAGTCGTAAAAAGCGATTCATTTTGATATTTGTTTGTTTTTTAAATTTCCCGCGACGCCATTTAAAACCTGCGTGTTGCAAGTCCACGCAAATTACATGCAAGCTTAACACGCGCGAGTACATCGCTTTCTCGAACTTAGTCTTCCTTAAAGAAAAGTGTATCGAGCCACCTTAATTAACGAATTATTTTGGCACCCAACCCCCCGGTTCTGAAGCATGTTAAACATGTGAAAACAAACAACATGGAGGAAGTTGGTTTGCCAAGATTCAATAGGGAATGTTATAATTGTGGGTTTTTGTTGAGGTTAAGCTATCATTACTGTCCGGAATGTGGGACTGAGGCAGAAGAAAATAATGAGCACCAAGACTATGATGAAACGGTGGTTATAACTGAGTATTTCAAAAAGGGCTTTGAATATTCAGCGATAGTCGAGATGCTGGAAAAGGAACATAGTGTCACTATGTCAATTCGTACCCTAAAAAGTCATCTAAACGAGTATGGTCTCAAGCACCGGAATGTTGTTTATGACAAAGACATAGTAAGACATCACATAGATGAACTACTTAATGGTCCAGGGTGTATGGGTGGCTATCACTCTATTTGGCACACACTCCAACTGGAAGGGATACAAGTTCCAAGGGATGTGGTTGAAGGAATTGTCAGGGAACTTGACCCTGAAGGTTGTGAGGAACGGAAAGCTAAACGATTAAAAAGGAGATTTGTATCCCCTGGACCTAACAATTCGTGGCATGCTGATGGCTATGACAAATTGAAACCCTACGGCTTCCCAATCCACAGGGCAATTGATGGCTGGAGTAGAAAGATCATGTGGTTAAAGGTTTGTAGGTCATTTTCCAGAAATCCCTGCATCTTTTTATCTCGAGTGTGTCAACAAGCACAATGGTTGCCCAGAAAAAATGAGGACTGATAATGGTACAGAGAATGGCCCATTGCACTAATTCAGTGCTACTTCAGGAATGATGTGAAGGCACATGTATATGGCAAATCTACACCAATCAGTGAATCGAGGGCTGGTGGTCTCACTTTTGCCAGAATCGGTCCACTTGGTGGATAAATTCTTCAAGGATCTTGTTGAAACTGAAGAATTTTCTCCCAGTAATGAGTTGGGGCCTCACTCTCATTAGTAAAATACATTGTATGCAAGGTGCATGGCTCATGATTCATGAACGCGAGGCTCCCAGACCAAATGACATAATTATCGAAGTGGTGCATTGGGATTTTGTCCCTAAAACAACCACTACATTGTATAATTAAAATGTATTCCTAGTCTTATATATATATATAAAATTATATAGAAAACTTGAAACCACATCATTATGAGGTTGGAAATAATATATTTTAATGGTCCTCATTCACCAAGTCCTCTGACTTATTTAACCAACAAAACTTAAAGTCTTAACAACACTGAGTTAAATAAATTTGAAATAATGTTAACTTTTAAACTTGAATTTGAAGGGCCAGTTTTGGCATGCTATCATTGCTATGAAACTGGCATGTAGTCCTACAGGCTACAGAATAATCTTAACCCTATATACAATCATCTCACAGAACTAACCTTAACCATTACAGACTACATGTATCATCCACTCTACCTATGACCCCTCCCACCATGCACTTTCAATAGCCAAAACATATGTAGAAAATTATGTGTAGGGCTACATAAAGTGGCAACAAACTGTATTGTCATCTTTCTCTGGTAATAAAAACTGCCTGGTGGAAATTAACCGCAAAAAGTAATGTGATCATGCAAACATTACCTACTTATGTACCAGGTGTCCCCCAAAAAAGTACTCCGGTTTGATTTATAATAACTTCTAAAAAATAAAGCTATCAAACACAAATAACTTGCATTAAATAGAGGAAGGACTAACTTAGATTTTGATATATTACAGTTGTATGGTGGCCCAGGACTGCCATCGAAATTTAATGCATTTTGAAGAAAAATTTTCCAATTGTTTTCTTTTTAATAAAATTGTTTTTGTTGTTTTTTTATTTTTTTATTTTACAGAATTTTTTTATTTTTTTTTAATTTAAAAATTTTCATTGTCATTTTCAAAAATTTTCATGTTTTTTTTTCAAACCAGCGGCCCAGAGCTGCCAATAGTATACCACAATGCATTGCGCAACTACCAGCGAATGTAATATGTAAGCTTACACAAAGTATTTGAAAATAGATTGAGCGATTTCAAATTTCAAAATGTCGGGCTTGTGGAAAAAGTACGAAGAAAAAATAAAGGCGAAAAGGAATGTGAATACTAAACGAAAAGCAGAATCAAAGGCAGAAAATGCAAAAAAACCGAGGTTACGGTCGGATGAGTTGATAGTCCAGTGCTTATTGTCAGCAGTCGAAGGCAAAGCTCAAAAATACTCAAGAATTGGGCCACGCAAATTTATCCAGTACAAGAAGTCTGATCTCACCTTAGAGGGAATAAAAGATGCTTGCTTAACCTACTTTCAGGACAAAGGATACATCAGCAAAGGAATGGAAGTAGATATTCTTGCAGGTGAACATGGGCCAACCTGCAATTCACTGCATCAAATTCCTGATCTAAAGCTTATCCATGTTAGGATAATTCCATGTGTTATTGAAGTGGAAAAGTCAGCAACATCCGTTCTTGACCGGAAGTGGGCTAGCACCTCTCTGCAAAGCAAGGATGCATTTACCAAATCAGCTGGAAGTCCCACCAAGAAGCCCCCAGTTAAGGTTGGTGAGACTTTTTCTAAAAGTTTGTCTATATCTGCAATGCTTGGTCTTGGAAAAGTTGTCAAAACTCCCTCTGATTTCGGTCATCATTAATGTTTACGCTTTCAACATGGAAATGTTGACATGGAGTCTAATACCAGTCCGAGCCAAATTCCAGGTAGCAAGCATTCATTTTGGTGAAGGCACAGGCAGCCCAGATGTGTATCAGTGTATAATAAATATATCATTATAGAATATACTACACAGTAAAATTTGTAATGAATTTTATATTTTAAAATCATATTTACTAGCCTACTTTGCTTGTATGTGATCGTCTTTTATTTCTGGGCGACTTTACACTCTGCGCCTGCGACTGTCAACATAGGTGATACTGTAGTAATGAAAGCAAAGGCTAATGATTCCAGTTCTCAAACAGCCGACACGAACAATTCAAATAAAAAAAATCTCCCTGTCAAATTGCTTTGTTCCCGGTAAAAATTCGCCAGCGTATAGAATAAACACCCATCTTTGAACATACAAGGCAATATTAACATGTCATATAATTTTTGCAACGGATTTTTAGCTGTTTAAATGTTTCGAGACTAAAATTCTATGGAACTTATAAAGACCGATAATTACTACGGCGCCTGCTTGGCCACCTAGCCTCCTTTACCGTTTGGATTGTCAGGGGGGGATTCAAATAACAAACACCTATTTCCGGCAACAGTCAGCCAATCAACGCCACGATACTGACTGTTTACAATATTTGAAATCTGATATTGTAATTTATCAACAACAAGAGTTTTGTTGTTGACAATCCAAACGGTAAGGTAGGATAGGTGGCCAAGCAGGCGCCATAGTAATTATCGGTCTTTCTAATGTTGTCATCATCGCTTCAATTATTTAAAGAAGACTGTAATCGGCTCCTTTTGTTTGTTTGACTTAAGTACCCCGAGGCGTTGGTTAGATCTATTATTTCGAAAGTTGTAAATGAATTTGTGGCTCAAGACTCTGGTTCCCAAGGCAACGCTCCTCACCAAACTAAAGTTGATGACTGTGACCCATTAACATTGTCTTACCGTTTAAGGATCAGAAATCAGCGACAATGGTGAAGAATCAGTTGTCTGATTTATCAAATAAAGTGGAGAAGCGATTAAGACCGGTCTGTGTTAGTGAGAAAATTAAATCGGAGTTGAGAGTACGCGAAGGGAAACCAGCTATACTGTCCAAACAATGCGTTGTCTACAAGTTCCAGTGTGACCAGTGCGAGGCTGGTTATGTTGGTTTTACAACTCGACACCTACATCAACGTTATTGAAGAACATGAAAATCCCTGAAAAAAATACTGGTCTAGGTAAAAGCAGCCAATCAATTTTGGGTCAGAATTGCCTGTCCACACTCTAAGCCACAGTAGTTTGCGACTGGCCATATCTAAACGACCGTATACGGCAAGAGGGAAAGTATCCTTCTGAAAACCCATTAATTTTGCATGACCATCCATTGAATGTACCCAATTCACTCCTTTGGTAACGAAGTTACCTTGTGATTCTTGGTCAATTTTGTGCGAGAGTATGTTCTTCCAGACCTTGGGGGTCAAGGTCATACACACGTAAAAATCAAGAACTTGTTGCAAAATGAGAAAATCAAGAACTTGTTGCAAGTTTTTATCGACAGGCATGAAGAAGGATGTGCGGCCCACTATGAACAGTATTGTCAACATGTTGTTACAGCATTGTTCAACTGCAACAACTTGGAACAACATGGTTGACAACTTGTTCATAGTTGGCCGCACAATATTGTTCACACCTGTCGATATCAACTTGCAACAACCTGTGTGTTTTTAGCCATGTACATCACATCATTGACAAGTTTTCTTGGCACATTTAGTTGGTGAACCTGACGAACGTTTCTATGCATTGCGCGATAGCCAAGCAATTTACATGATCCATCTAGCTCTTTGGCAACAGCTTGCTGAACATCAGCAACTTCAAAGTTGTAATCCGTGTAAAATATCTCAAAATGGCGTAGTCGTCTGTCCAGACTTCGCAGGCTCCACGTCTACTGAGGAAAATCTCGCGAAACGAAACTAAGAATCTCTGTACATTGATATTGCGCCCTCACATATTCCTTTAAGGATTCTTTTAACTGATCGTCATCTTGCCAAACAGCATATCACTGCATATTATAGCAAGTTTTACTCCATACAATACAATATTATATTTGTCATGATTTTATTCGCTATAAAATTTAAAAACCATCGAAATACTTCGTGTAAGCTTACGTATTATGTTTGCTGGTAGTTGAGCAATGCATTGTGGCATACTATTGGCAGCTCTGGGCCGCTGGTTCGAGAAAAAAAAAAAATGAAAATTTTAAAATTTAAAACAAATGAAAAAAATTCTATAAAATAAAAAAAATAATAAAAAAAACAACAAAAACAATTTTATTAAAAAGAAAACAATTGCAAAATTTTTCTTCAAAATGCATTAAATTTCGATGGCAGTCCTGGGCCACCATACAGTTGTATTATATTTAAAAATTCACAGAGATATTAATGTTCAAAATCGGGAGCATATTTTGGAATGTGTCTAAAATGAGCTAAAATCGGCATATCAAATATTACTCCAGCATTTGTTTGCTTAATGACATATCAGGCTAACTTGTATTTCAGCAAATTGTCGTTAGGGTTTGTAAGGGATATGGCATAGATTTAGACATCTTACATGTAAGTCTTAGCTGGGGCCCTGTTAGAGGTAAGTTGCGACAGCCGACAGGGCCTTTTTTAGGTGACAGCGCATTTTTTAGGTGACAGCGCAGTTTTGAAATCCCGACGAACGACGGTAAAGAAGGGCAAAAAAGCGACCGCAACACTGTTTTATTTATTTCCGACAGCGACAGCGCTATATTTTAAAAAGTGACAACGACGTTGACACAGCGAAGGCTCAGACATTCAGCCTACTCAAGTTTCTGTAATGGGGCTAGCATAAACAGTCGATAAACATGTCGAACATTCTTTTCACAGTATTTTTTAAATGCATTTTGTCGTAACTTGCTAATATTAACAAGTTACTACAAAATGGTTATACAATGTGACCGATATACAAGAAACGTGTTGTCCACGTGATTGCGACTATTCTTGCGAAATTCCGACGGCGACATTTGACACGTTTCAAAAAGCGACATTGACGATTTCAAAACTGCGACAGCCGACATCACCACCCCCCTAACAGGGCCCCTTAGCTCATTGTTTCCTGAAATATGAAAAAGTTCAAAATTATGTGCAAGTATTTAATAGGTCTTTACAAACTTAAAGGTACATGAAAGACCATGCAAGGCAGGCCGCTTAAATTTTTCTTAAATAGCTTAATTTTTTTATGTTTTTCATGGGTTCAAAACAGAGTTGATTATTTCTCGGTTAGAGCAGGATGAATATTATTCTTTAATGAAGGAAATAATATTGCTTTTTGCAAATTACACATCACAGTATCAATGCTACTTACTATTTTGTCTCTGGGGAGTTGCTTGTTATTTCTTATGGATTTGTATGGTTGATTGATTGTGTCTCATTCTCAGTTTATTCTCAGTTTATTCTGAACTTGCCAAGTTAAGAAAAGGCAAAAGAGTTTTGGTGTTCTTAACAAGATTTCAGAACGTTGCAGAAGTTAGAAGAGCTTCACAATTATATTCCATTGTGACAGCATGCCCTAATTCAGAACTACGAACGATCCATGACGATCCTTTGTGATGCAGTGGTCTCATGAAATCAGGAAACGTATTGGTGCTAGGAACACACATGGATTTCAGATGAATAAATTTTGCTTGTATTTTGTTGATAATAATATACTTTGTTTCATAATAAACAATTTGTCAAGTGACATTTATTTATTGGTAATAGTGCATGTTTCAGTCTGGCTAATCTTGATTAATATTTGATATGTTGTTTTTTGCATATTTGAGACACATCCAGAAATATGCTCCAGATTATAAACATTAATATCTCCATGAATTTTTAAGTGAAATACAACTGTAATATATGATGCAAGTTATTTCTCTTTAAAAGCTTTACTTGTTTAGATGTTATTACTAATCAAACCGGAGTACCTTTTTTTTGGGACACCCGGTACATTGGCATATCAAAGCACCATGGAAAACTACATTGGGGAGTGTAGCATAGGCCTGTTTTTGGAGTTATTGCTCATCACAGAGAGACATTCAATCACAACTTCTATGCATGCAGTAACAAATCCGCCTTACAATAATCCAAAACCGAAACAGTCAATAAAGGCAGAAAACATGATCTCTTTCATATCATCTTCTGTTTTCAAATGGACAGGCAAAGTAATGACGAGATCACAGGTGGATGTAGTAGGTCTGCACTTACAACCAGCCGGACAGCCATGCAAAAACTGACTCTGAATTTTCTTTGGAAATCCAAGTGGTGAACCACTTCAATATGCGTTGGACACTCATATTTTCAATTTCTGCAGCAATAAAGAAAATATTATCAATGGAAACTCTTTCAGACCTCTGTGACAATTTTGTATATGAAAATTCTTGCTTTATGGTGGAAATTTGACAATAATATAACATCTTTGCCTATTTCATTTCACATGCCCCAGAAAGCTGGGGCTCTACAATTAATTTCATTGATTTATACTTATTCATTGATAGTGGACATAATTTACCTTGCATAGCTACACTGTGATGGAAATCACAGAAGTATGTGAATGTGTCCGCTTCACTTTCTCATTTCACCTGGTTTTCACTATGCTTGACATCAAACGGATCTATTAGGGAGCTGGCTGTAACCGAATTTCCTTTGCCAATAACGAAAACAGTTTCCCAAACTGTTGGATTTGTATGGATTGATGCCAGTAACCCATATGTCTGAAGGCCTTCTTCAAGTTGCAACAATTGGGGTAATATTTTGCCAACTTGCTCCTGTAAGCAAATTGAGCTACATGGAGATTCAATTTTAGTTAATAAAGTAGTATATTATAAACTTTACCTTTAGTTAGAACTGTAAGATCTGACATCCTTTGGTGAATATATTACAGTGAGTGATTGTAAGTCTAACACCTCATCTGCCATCAAATTTTGGTAACCCAAGTTGATCTAACTTAAACTTAGCCTGCGAACAGGCTCTTTGAATTGAATTAGAGCTTGCCGGTTTAGTCAATAAAAATACGTCTGTGCCTCATCACTATACAATGTAACAAAAAAATACATTGTAACAAATTAATACAGACATGCCTTATGTAAACAATATATGTAAACAAAATGCAAATCTCGATTTAAATGCATGATTGTTTACAACAAGTCTATAATGTCAAGTTGGAAAGAAACTCCAAAAACATTTACACGCAAAAAAAATGCTGAACATGTGAACAAATTTTGCCGTTGTTGCAATGCTTCTTTAAAAGTAACATACAGAGATACATGGAAGTCTGTTCCAATAGTGAACTTGCTCAAGCCAACAGTGGGGCAAGATAGTTTTGAAGTTCTTTTGCAAAATATCGGGATTGTTTGTGAGAGCGGTCCAGAATGGTATGAAAGATTATGCGGGACATGCATAAAAATAAAATGTGCATTTTGAATTTGTATTTTCCTTTCTCCAGTCCACGTCTCAACGATGTGAGACTCATCTATCACAAAAGCAACCAAACGATTATGCAAATAACAACTTGAATATTTTAAGGTGTCAAGAAAATACTTGTGAAGAACATTTTCGGCCAATCCAAATATAAAATGCAATTTACCCGATTTTATGTCCTCTAAGTTCAGTTCATCACTAACGCAAACTGAGCTCATACCAAGCTTCTTCCATTTGGTCCTCTATAATACTAATTAGAGGACAAATGAATAAATGATGATGGCTATATAGCGGTTTCTTCACTTTTTCTTTCCTCGACAAGGACCGAAAGTTGGAATATTAAGTTTTTGCCGTATATATATATCCTATCGGTATTACTAGTGACGTGTCATTAGTGAGTTTGGCAACCAACAAAGGTAACGCCAGAAAACAAAATTACTTATACTTTTGTATTTGAGCGAAAACATACATTACTAACTTTTAAAAGCACTTGTCTTTCTTTCAAACAACCCTGAAATTCCCTAAGTAGCAATAGTAAGTGAATTCACATAAACACCGCAACAACTTGAGTTTGAGCAACTACAGCGTACTAGAATGCTCAAGAATGCAAATTATAATCGCCTTTGTCTTAGAGTAAAGATGCTATTGTTAAAATAAGAATGTTGCCGTTGTATTTGCCAAACTCTCTTATACAGCAAAAACATCGTTTCCGTCTAGAATATTGTTAAGAGCTTTTGACTGCCCATCCTTTAACTTTAAACAAAAATTTAGTTTTCTTATACAACTCGTCTACCTTGAATCTATTGTTGTGTAAATTTCATTAACTTTTATGGCAGTATAATGTAGTTAATAACCAATTACTCAATTTCAACCAATAGAAACCATGCGTTGTTCTAAGCAACGCACAGACGTGTTTTTACTAGCTAGGCCTGCAGGCTCTCTCTCAAATTTCAAAGAGAGTTCAAAGAGAGTTCAAAGAGAGCCTGTTCGCAGGCTAACTTAAACTAGTTCGTGTGAACCCTATCCATATTACAGGATTTACCATACTTACTCAATCAGGTTTTTAACCCATTGAGTCGCATTGCACCCTGATGCACCCTACTTTGGTATTTTACTCTGTCTAATGCCAGACGATTTTACTTGTCAAGGGGAGAGCGCTGGCGCTTAATGGGTTAACTGGCCTATCTGCCCATGTGTCTAGTTAACCCATTGAGTCGCATTGCACCCTGATGCACCCTAATTTGGTATTTTACTCTGTCTAATGCCAGGGTATTTTACTCTGTCTAACGCCAGACGATTTTACTCGTCAAGGGGAGAGCGCTGGCGCTTAATGGGTTAATTGATGACTTAGTCTCTCGTCCATGCACTCCCTGGTAGCCAACTTCTTCAAGTAATGGGTAGACATCATCTTGCAGAAGAATATTTTGAATCTTGCTATCAGCAGCATTCATCTGCTAACTAGAAAATACATGCATGCAGAAACCCTCGCCTTGCTGACAAACAGACAAAACCATTGTATTTTCCGAACATGAAGTATCTGAAGTAGTTGTCATGGTAACACGATAATTTTTTAAAAATATTCTTACAAATGAAAAATCGCCTAAAAAATATCACTTTTAATTACAAAAGTATTAATTTCCCAACATATATATGTTAGGTATGTTATTATACGTAATATAAGCCTCAATTTAAGGTAAAATTCAACCACAAACGCTTCGCAAAACGTTTTAAAGTCACTAGTGTTCTTTATAAAACTAAACTGCCTTTTAAAACGGCTTTATCGATAAACTTTGAGTTTGCAATAAAATGACTTCAAATTCTCGCTTGCAAATAACTCTGCTTTCTTTTTTATTTAAAAAATTCAATATCATAAGAAAGGGAATCAATATTACTAAAGATACACTGAAATAATATGCTGTCTTGCTTAGTTGTTTCATATATGCAAAGGCCGTCGGGTTTTAAATTAAATCCATTATAAAATCAATATTTAAAACAAACTTACCTTCGTTAACGTCGGCTCACTTCTTTTAGCAGATTCTTTCGCCCTTTCTTTCTTGAAATTTACAAAATCTTGCAAAAATGCGAGCGAAAATGAAATATATTTGTGATATTTGCAAGAAATTTATCAATCATCAAATCAAGAAATGTTTGCTATTTCGCTGTCGTCATGCAGTCGTTATAATGCAAACTTTAAATTGGACCAATCAGTTTTCGCTATTCATGACAGTCCGCCACATATTTTGAGATCAGTGAGGATGACCACCCACCGAAACATCGTTGGTGAGCCACGCCCGCGATATTTGATGAACTTTAGACCCCGCTAATGCTTTCGTTTCCCCGGGTGTAAATAGCCGGGGGGAATTAGTACCCTCGCACGGCGCTTCGCGCTGTCGGCTCGGGGATAATTGGTTATAGATTCATGTCTCGCTATTTATAATGCTAACCCTAATCTCCACCCTAACCCTAACCGCTAACCCTATTAGTGAGACATGAATCTATATCCTAATAATTTGAATAAAGAACCTGTTTTTAATTCAAATATATTTGCCTTTTTGTTTATCTAATATAAATGGATCTCTATTATAAATCCTTAATGAGGACTCTTTTGATCTAAATAATGCCACAGTAAATAAGACTGTTGTCGAGCTGCCTCATCCCCAGGTGCTACAAAACAATTCCACATATGAGTCACTATATAAAAGGTTTACACGAAGTAGTGCATCACTATGGGTGCACAAGGGGGGATGGGGTAGTTGTCCAGCCAACCAGACTTAGAAGCATTTACCATAATCAGTAAAAATTCATACAAAATTTGGTGGCATACAATTCAAAATATTAATAAGTGCAAATATGATTTGCAACATATAATTACATTGCTTATCTATTTGCAACCTCACCTTTTCACAAAGTTCTCTAGTAGTACTAGATTCAATCTGGCTGACTGATAGCTTTCCACGTAAGTAATCAAAAATCTTGGAAGACGTCAAATTAGGTGCCTGACCACCTTGCATGACTGACATTGCCATTATTTCCCCTGCTAGCTTGTAGTCCTTACTTGTCAGTGACATGGTTGATTCAGTCAGTATTTCATTAGGAAAAAGTGGCCTTTCAATATAATCAAGCATCTCTATTAAAGTAAAAGTTAAGTTAGGAAAGGCAATATTTGGTTTTATGGTCTTGGGAAATTTTGTCAATATCCCTTGAGCCAATGGAATTAAGGTATCAGTTTACCGTCACCCGCCTGCATGTGAAATTTTCATTATTTCAATATTTTTTCATTATTTGTATAGCAAGTGTTTCAAAAATGACTTTCTGTTGAAATTTTTGGCAACACTGACTTTGTTTATTCAGCTAACAAAGCAATGGCGAAACAGAGTCAAGGACATAGATGATAGCTCAGAATAGCTGTATAGAACAGTGGGAGAACAAGTCGACATGTTGTCCCCTTAATTTATACCCCCTACCTATAGTAGGTATCCCAGTAGTATCCCACTTGCCATTGTGTGATGACAAGTGAATTTTATTCAGGGCAACTAATTTTTATGTCCAACTTGCCCTGAGGGCAAGTGGTCAAAAAAGTAAAGTTACACCGCTGTGTGTCTAATTTTTTAACATTTGATATCATGATTCTATCCTATTCTTATATTTGGATAACAGTTTTTGAATTTGGATACCAAATTTGAAATGCTGGTATCCATAATGGATACTAGTAAACAATTCCAGTCTTGAACCCTGCATCATCTTTTAAAAGGATTGTGTCAATAATATACTGCTACTGTAGTTATACAATAATAACTACATACACTGTACCTGCAAATAATTCTCTCCTTGGTCCCCCATCATCCACTGCTGCCTCTCCAGTAAATGTTGCCGTTTAACATTCTATCTGGATAATAGTATCGGTATCTTGCTCGCTTCTAATAGTGACTCCGATCATCTCCATTTGCAATTTTATGCCATTTTCCTTTCGCTCACTGATACACTTTAAGAGTGTGCTATCATTTGATCCAGATTCGTTCATTGAGAGTTCGGTGTCAGAAATGTCATTGACAGGACAAACCTCTACACTATTGTCCTCAACAAGACCAAATGAACCCACACATTCACCTGCATGTACTTCCACTTGGTTGATGGGGAAACTTTGAAAACACAAAGGGCACTCGACTTTCATTATTGATGAAGAGGTAGTGGTCTGCACATCACAATAGCTTGACGAAGTTGACGGGATTGATGGGTCTGGAAACGACATAGGTTGTGAAGTAGAAGGAACAGATGAATAACCGAAACCAGAAATCTCTTTGTATCTACACAGGGTAAATTCTTCAGCGGGAGTAGTTCCAAGTATAGTTTTAACTTCAGTACCATCCTCAAAAGCCTGTCTGGAGTTGAAATGCTTATTAAAGGCTGTATGCTTCTGTACTGCAGCATTTAGGATCTCATTGCAGTGCTGGCGGCAGGAACTTTCAGCGGTAGTGAGTTCCCTCGTTTAACTTTATTATCTTCCATTACTGTGACTGTAATTTTAACTTCCATGGTTTCTGACTTGATCTCGCCATGCAAGCCTAGAAAACAAATTTTGTTAAATTTTTTCCTTGGCCTTTCCAGGCATTGCCACCAGGCCCCGGCCAAAGCAAGCAGCAGCACCCCCCCCCAGATATTTATCCACCCCCCCCGAACAAAAATATGAAAATCCATCTCTGCAATGCATGGATACTAAATTTTACTGTGGGAATGCATAAAGAGGGTTCAACATTGATATTGACATTATGTTATCGGTATATCCTGTAAGTGGACTAAAGGTGACTAAAGACAATTTGGTAGTAGCGGACCTCAAGAATTCAATAACACATGGCCAAGACCTTTTTTAGCCTTGAGCAGTTGTATCATTGTTACTTTTATATAATCTTCACAAAAAAGGAACCAAATTTGTTTCTGATTTGGTCACAAATGATGCAACTTACAACAAAATCGATATATTGCACATGTTATTTTTTCTTTTTTTTTGTTATCTATCTTCATTAGAATATTATTATTTATAGAATATAGTATGTACAGTATCAACTGCACCAATCTACCGTATAGGTATTGCACCAGAGATATTAAGATGCCGCAAGTCATGGGCATGCATGCAATTTACCTGAATACAATTAAATTTTAATTATTTTCAGAATGATGGTTACTGGAATCTAATGAAACAATTTGAGGATGCACTTGAGACCTGGGATAATTTGTTGGAGATGATGCGGAATTGAATACCACATTAGTCAAAATGAAGACAGTCAGAAAATTCATTGACGATTTTAATGAAGGCCAATACTGGGTGCAACAACCAGACGATATTTTTGTTATTGCTCAAGATGTTGCAAACTTATGGCGAGGTGTGATTTTTGTTGTCGAGGAGGCCATCGAATATCAAGAATCTCTAGGAACATCCTTTTGTAAGAAGTGAGTATAATTTTCAATTTTCTATCAGCCACAACAAACAATTTCAATGTTTAAAAGATTGGGGATAATGGGGTGCGACACATTAAAAATTACTAAGTCTGAGCATTATATTTCATATTTATAGACAGTTTTGGGTTCCATGACACAAGGATAAGCCCTTGATCTTATTGGTGGTAGAAATTGTACTTAACAGGCTATATATTCGCGACAGAGAAACGCAAGGCTGCCACTTGTAGGGGGATTCCCCTACGGTAGGGGATTATCACCTCATGTAGGGAGTAGGGGATACCTACAGGGAAAATGGTAATTTGTAGGGGAACGTAGGAGGTTTCTTTTACGGTTTACCTACAAAAGTCGTATTTCTCTTTTTGTGATTATCCAAATCAGTTCTTCCGTAAATTTCAATATTTTATGGCTTCTATGGAGTATGGAACATTGTATGGAACTGCAGGATTTTTTATGGAAACTAGAAATTTAAATTTGAATGTGGAAGCACTGAAATATCATGTGATGAGTATGGTGATGAGTAATATTGTATTTTCCCAGGAGAACCTTCACGCGAAAAAAAGTGCAGCCAAAAACATGGCGGATTTTGGCCTTTGCTGACGGCATTTCCATGACAACTGGTCCGTAATTCTCACCACTGACCAGGCTCGGATTTGAGCCCGCTACAATTTCCACACCCCCTGGTTATCTGAAAAAACTTTAGGTTTTTGCAATTTTGCTCAGGTTTTACAGTAATAGGGAGTTTGAGCTTCACATTCGCGGGAGCGCCAAACGGCAAGGCCGACTTTTCTTGGCATAAAGTCGTTCGATTTCTGTGTGTCATATTTTCCTTCATATGAAACAACAAGCCCATTTACTTTTTATCGCTTTTTATCGTAGAATTTTTCGTTGCCTGACGTTCGTCGTTGAACGTGAAGCTTAACTCTCTATTGTGTAGTAAGTATAGGAGCAGGTCCTCCAGTTATTATACAGCCCAGTGTATTTTCCCTACAAATATACAATATTAGTAGGGAAAATACAATATTTGTAGGGGAACATTGGGGACAATTGCATATCGTGCTGTAGGGGAAACGTAGGGGATTTCAGTGCCCGCCATAGGTGAAAATAGGGAACGGAGAGTGGCAGCCCTGGAGAAACGTGAACAAAGAATTTTAAATATGATTTTCTGACACTCCTGAGTTTAACTGAAATTGAAAATGTTAACTTGAACAAGACTTGTACTCACATTTTTGGAACTCTGCCTTTCTACCTTATCCCAATAGCTCCAATTGTTTTTAAGTTGTTTCTATTTTCTATGTTTACAGACATTCATTAAACGGAAGATGCATTTTAACTGGTGAATGCTTTGCGTGTGGAGTGGGTGCAAGTTTCGTGCAGCTGCGAGAACATTTCGCAAAGCCACAAAGATTCCCTATTATCAGAATTAGTTAGAAGTATGGAAAGAAAATATGGAAAATAAAGCCTTCCAGTTATTGCATGGTAGAGGCATGGGACTTTGCATCAAAACACACATGAGGAGAGGAATATGATGGAAACTATATGGCTTTGTTGCAGCATGCTGTAAAACAACTAAGAGAAAACCCAGACGTTTACAATCTCGTTGGAGATTATGATCGAGGATGAATTAGTTAGGTACGAAGCCTTAGGGGACTACACAAAAGGGGCGATCGATTGGCTTCCATTTGCATTGGTGAATATAACTAATATGAAATGTACTATAATACAAGTTACAAGCGATGGAAAAGGATGCAGTTTGATGTTGTATCCCTTCTGTCATGATTTGAACACAGATTATTTTGGACTGGAGATCAAGCTAGTATATTCACGTTTGCACTGTCACAATGACATTGCAACTGAAAAAATTTTAATCCTGAAAGTTTGCAAATCACTAAATTAAAGACTGAAGGTACAGTATTACACTAAGAAAACAAGAATATCGAAAGCACTTTGCACATGCAATATATAGTCCTTTTGAATAGAATTGTGAATCATTAATTTTCTGTCAATTGCTGATTTTGAGTTTAATAACCAGCCAAATACTGTAGGAAGTATGGGAACGTGCTCAAGCTGAGTGAGTACCATTCCTGTGTAGACACAACAGGTACAACAGCAAAAAGATAATCAGGTGGTTTGTCTTCTAATAATGGCTAATCATTGTCTGCTAAAAATGAAAAGCAGATTGTTGATTGCATTAGATGTAATAATTATGTTTCAATAATTTTAGGGTCTTCGTCATTTGAGAATACATATGAAGAATTAACTCATTAACGCCCAATGCACCTGTATGCGCCCTGAGATTGACAAGTGGGTAACGGACAATGCGCCCGAATGCTCCCTGGCATGACACCTTAACTTGCGGGCATGATATTTGAGCACGTGTTTATCGGGTTGCCTAGCAACGGATACGAAAATAGAACGTGAAATTCGAGCTTTTCAACGGTGTATCATGCAAGAAAATCGGTCAGAAACTCGCAAAGTTTTTCAAGTTTAAAATCTTAGTTTTCCAAAAATAATGAATAATGGCGATTCTGTTACAAAGAAAGATTTTACAGCAAGTTTTTAAAAGCAAGAAAAGAAGAGGTTTCTGAATCAACTACAACGAAAATTTGGCATGAAAGGAAAGCGAATGTATTGACGTTTTGGGGCCAAGTTTTTCTGTGAACTATGCGCAAGATTTTCAGCCAAAAAGATGAGGATTTCTCCAAACTTTATTAAAAATAGAAGTCGGAAATCACAAGAAAGATGAACACGGAACACAAGTGAGCAGATACGATTTTTTAAAGGGTATTTTTGAGTAGAAATATGCAATCAAACACTCACAAAATTCGACTGCATTAATGTTGGTTGAATCTAGTTTAAAGTTATCTTTTTAGACGAACTGTTTATGCAAATTTGGGCACAATTTCGACTGTTTTCGTAACCCCATTGTTGGTCTTCTTGTTCAAGTTGTTATTTTAGCTAAAGTATGTTTCAAACGACACCAGATTAAATTATTGTGTGCGTACGTGCCCTATTTGGCAAGAATACTTCGAGTATTAAATTACACTAAGTAAGTAGGGTACTCCAAAATCACTGTTATATCTATTTTCATCAATTTAGTCTTAAAATGACAACTCGTTTCAGACATATTGTGGTTTGAAATAAGTGTATTGAATTAATGTGCTTGCTTGCCGCGTGCGAATTCCCAAAAAGTCAGCACTTGAGTTCTAAAGCTTTTAAAATGCTTTTTGTATTGGGTTTTATATCCCCATAAAACTTTAAATCGATAAGGCAGATAGTAATGTTGATCCAACCTCATTTTCTAGTAACTACATGTTGAATCAGAAGGAAAAGTTATCAAAATTTGGTTGCGACGGTTGTTTGCCGTTGTTGTCGCTTCTCTCTGAAATGGCTTCCTTTGCGGGAAGCCATGAAACTGAAGTCCCAACAAAAACATAATTTAGCCGTCCTTTCGGGCCCATTGCTCGCTTATTTATCATGAAATCGTTTCACTAGAACATTTTTAATAATGTCTATGGGAAACTTTGTAATTTTCTGAACTAAAAGTTTATGGTTTTGAGGTGTTTATTTTATAAAATAGCACGCGCGACAAAATGGCACTAATGTGGTTTCTCATGTCTGACAAACAACCAAAGATGAAAGTCCTTATTTCACCCTTTTATAGCTATGTTGAATACCTGACTATTAGGTTATCTTTTTCATTTGAGCATACAGATAACATTTCTACACAATTAGTCCTAATGAAAGCTCATTTCAAACTAAAAAAAAGCGATTGTTTTTCAGAGCCAGACTTCAAAAGAGAATGCGTGTCTGACATTTTATAGCAGCCTACATTGGCGCACAAAATAATTTTGGCTAAAAACCGTTTCTTTCCAAACAGAAACATGAGAAAATTGAGCTAAAAGGCTTACCTGATGTATGTTTAAAATGTTTTTCTCTTTATGGTGTTTTTCAGTGCTTTGAGTAGAGAAGTGAATAACTTTTGGTTTTGTCACCGCAAATTTGCCTTTGAAAATGTCGGCTGTCATTGTCTGTGTTAAAAACACCTCAGAAAATTCCTATTTTCTCACCTTCCCATCCTTGGTTTATATTGAAAACAAATAGATTCTAGTACCGTATGTCCTTTTAAATATATTTGAGGTAATTAAAAACTCCAAAGATGTACAAGCACTGTGTTTTGGCTTGCACATTTTATTGAATTTGAACACTTAGTTACTGTTCTAAATTTCATGTTGTAAACATCTTGCCCAAAAAAGCAAAGGAGTATTTTTTATAATTTTTGATCATTTTCTAATTCATATCCCAATAGATGAAAAATGGTTATAATATAGATATGTACTAATTTAGTAAATAATTTTTTTTTTGGTTTTTATATAAATATATGGAGATATTGCCCCTTTAGGTGATGAGTGACATGAAAAAAATAGTGTCACTGGTTTACAAATAAAAATTCTCATTGAAAAAACTAATGATATATATATATAAGTATGCAAGTTCATTTAAACTAAATTTGGTCAATCATATATTAATAATATTTGGTTGAAAAGACCAGATTTTTTCATGCAACTGTTTCTGAGATATTGCCATTTTGGTGAAAGCTCTTGAATTCAGTCACGTATTCGCCATATTGCTTGCACGTTAGGGGGGTAGAAACATTGTAACAGCTTGCGTGTTAATGAGTTAATGAGAAAATCAATAAAGGAACTTTGCTTCATCACAACGACGAAAGATGTTGATGTTAGCGGTTGTTTAGAGAAGTCCAATATTGTCAATAACATTATTAATTGTTTAAATACGGAAAAAGACAGTATTAATGATATGGTTGAAACGATTGACAAAACAATTTATTGTGTCGAATCCGACATTTTTTCGGACAAATATTCCGATGAAATATGTCGATGTGGCACAGTGTTGAGAAGAGCTTTGTTGAACGTTTGCCACCTGATATTGATGGATTGGTGGCCTATCGGTTGGCCTTTAACCCTAAGCAAAGTAGCAAGGACGGTAGACCATGGGGAACTTGGGGAACATCAAAGAGGAAAGGATTTGGTGGGAAAAGAGCTGTGCATTGCAATGGTGGATACAAATGTGAAAATATTAAATGCCTGTTTCTTATGCTGTATAATAACAACAACAGACTTCAATTTGAAGCAGACGAGGACAGGACAAAATCAGTATGCAGTTGCTGTGGTGTGCCAGCTACGAGAGTAGACTGCAATGCCAAAAAAAATTGTGAGTTTGATGAGGGTGAAGAATATGTGACTGTTTACCACTTGGGTGACCATAATTGCGAGGCTAAGAAAACGGTAGAACTTAACAAAGAAAGCTTAAAGCAGAAGTTCGATTCAAATTCAAAGACACCACCTAAGTAAGCTGCTGATGACATCATCATGGATGCACTTTTGAACGAAAATAAGTCATGGAAAATGTTCAGGATGTTGTCAATTCGGTCATCGAGGAAGAAAAAGTAAAAAACTTCAAGAAAAAAACTGAAGCAGGATCTCATCCCCATGGCCATAGTTTCGAAGCTGTTGAACATTTGAGGAGTCGATTAATGGCAAGAAAGGATTCTGATTTTTAAAATAAATAGCCGTAACTTGAATGGGGAACCATTGTATGTGTTCAAGATGAGTAGAATCCAGGCAAAGTTAGCAGTTGCTATGGACCAGGAGAGTAACGGTTCTCCGTGAAGAATACTGCTTTTTTGATGGCACTTTCAAGTGATGCCCCAGGTTTATCACATTAGGAGCTCATGTTTACGTAGAGATCCTTCGTAAAATCTTAAAAATAGCAACGATGGAGTGCGAGACTGAATCAACTGAAACAATGATAATTTTCTGGAATCTTTTAAACGAGGTTCTCGAAGCATATTTACAGGAACAGAAGGATACAAATACAATCCCAAAGGATGGGCTGTCGACTAGCATGGTGGAAAATGGGCGGCAAGTCGAACAGTTTATGGAGTTTGCTGTCAATGAAAAAACTGTTTTCAAGCAGTCTGTTGTTCATCATACCAAAAACCTAAAAAATCTGAAAACACAACAGAAGTTTAAAACACTTGCAGACAAGCTAATGACATCTGCTACACCCAAATTTTACGACGAAGTATATAATGAAATACGAGAATTTATAGAGAACAAACCAAAAAAGCAAGGATTCTTGAGTTTGTGACTCCAGTGGTGGAATGACAGAAGAGTATATTTTGCCAGAGCATTTAAGCCTGTAGATGCAGCTCGCATCAATATGTCTGAAGCCTAGCATTCAAGCTATGTTACCACCGGGTCTACAGGTCTGAAACTTGTTGATGCTGTCTACAAAGATATTGCGCTTGCTTTAAGGCTCGATAGATCGCTGGAACTTTATGGTCAAGGAGTAAAGTGTCAGGGCGTAGGGCCGTCGGGAAATATATGATGTAAAAGAGATCATGCTGAACAATCAAAGCATGCAAATGAGTATGCAGATATCTTATTGGAAGAATGTGAATCAAGTGATTGTGAGATATCACAGCCATCAAAAAGTAAACACAAGGACTTGAAATGGAAGAAAAGTAGAGCATCTTCGTCTTCAGAAAGTGAACAGGAGCGAAAGAATAAAAGGAAAACAGAAGGAAATCAACGGAATGGCAATATTTGCATCTGTTATTTTGTTGGCAAGTTGAGTTACTCGGTTGTGTTGTGTAAATAGTCGCCGGAAAACAATAAAACGAGTTTACATAGAGGTTAGAAAAGGTAGCTCGTTAATGGTAACATGCCCAAGATTTGCTTCTGCAAGTGCTGCTATATATTATTTATTCACTGCTGGGGCACCTGTGCCCCAGATGAGTATAGGTTTCGGCATCATCGCCAATCTCCAATTGTCGATAGCCACAAAATAAAATATTAATGAGCTGCCTAATTTCCCCCCAATTATCCATAAATAACCCTGCATTTTGAGGAAAATTTTACAAGGAATTTTGCACAGAAACATAAACCTTCGCAAATTTATACTTTTGGCTGCGCTGCTTTATATTTTGAGAAGAAAGCGACACCATTCGATTCAGCATAAGAAATTGTACTTACGGATGTCAAGTGTATTACTAAACACCAGTATTCTAGCGATTTATGGCCTTTGAAAATCAAGCCTTGTTGACAAATCACGCACAGTACGTGTTGTTTTCGTATTATTGACAAATCACTCGCAGTACGTTTCATCTCACTTTAGTACTGTGTTAATGTTGATCTACAAGTACCTGAAGTTTCATGCATGTAGCATAAATGGAAGTATTTTTATTGAATTTTTGATTAACTATGTAGTTGAGTAAAATTTACATTTTGTGCTCACATGAAACAAATACCCTTATCAAAGGTCCTTTTTTATTGCTGCAACATACTATCAATACAAATTTCTAATATTTCTTACACTCCAAGGATAGTATGGCACCAAAATAAGTCTGTGATACCCACAAAAGAACACTCAAATCACTATTTGCGAAATGTCTTTATTTGTACGGTTACTATATACATTCTTAGATAATCAGTACACCATTAACTTATAGTTATCAGTGGCATAACCAGCCTGAAAATTTGGTCATGCTAATCAAATTTTAAATAATCATTACTCATTTCTTTAGAAATTGATTGTTTTCACAATCTAGAACATGAAAATATTTGCATATAGCATGACCAAGTGATGTTGGGCTGGCATCATCATTAGTATAGTTATAAAAAAGTAATGTTTTCCAAGGCAGTAATGTTTGCCAAGGCACATACTTGGATCATGTGGTGAAAATATTTCCTTTTTTGGACAAAATATTATGCCGAAAAATTATTTCTATTGCCCACAGACCATGATATAAGGTTTTTACAATCCAATAATTTTCAATCTCACTGTCGACCTTTACCAAACCTGCATATACTAAAAAGGCAATCAACCTCTCAATCTCCTCAAGGTTGGTGGACTTCTAGCCTGCCTCGCAGACGTCCTTATGGCTCACACCCTCGCCAACGAACGTCTGCTCAACTGAGCAATACATTCCATTCCCTTTATTTAGGCCAATCACTGTGAACCTTCTTAAATCGGGAAGGTTCACTGTGATTGTTCAATTTTGATATGCTTTCGCGGCAATAAAGAAACAAGATGGCGGATTTCAACGCAGCTTTCAAGAGAGTATGCGAGAAGTTTGCTATAGAAAAGCTTAATGATTATCAACAAGAAGCAATTATTCATATTGTGAAAAAAACCCAGATGTGTTCGTAAATCTTCCAACTGGTTTTGGGAAATCTCTAATGTATCAATCATTGCCATTGATTATGGATACAATTTTTAAAGAGTCGGGGCACATTGTACTTGTTATTTCTCCACTTATTAATCTTATGCAAGAGCAAGTTAGCTATTTACAAAGCGTTGGAATTTCTTCAGTTAGTTTAAGTACTATCAAAGAAGAGGAAAGAAGAGATGTCGAGGAAGGGAAATTCTCTGTTGTTTATGCTACACCTGAAACAATAATAAAAAATGAACGGTGGCGAAAGATGTTGTCAAATAGCGTTTATACTTCCAAGTTGTATGCTATTGCTGTGGATGAAGCACACGTCATTAAGCAGTGGTAAGGACTGATGTAAAATAATAAGCTTTCAGAGGAATTAAGCTGATAAACATAGTGGGTTATTTAATACACTAAATAAATGTGATTATGTGAATGAGCATGTATGTATGTTGCCATCAATGCCATGTTGGTTTTCTTTGTATATTTGTCAAATACAACAGGATGTAATTACTACGTTTTATAGCTATATTAAACTATGAAAAAAATACATAAGGATTGTCAAACTTCAAAATTAACACCCTGCACATTAACCCTTGATAAGTAAAATCATCTGGCATTAGGCAGAGTAAAATAAGAAAGTGGATTATTAAATATAAAAAATCTACACTATTTCGATTTGCTTGTTATATTTGCTGTTATACATGAATTTAAACCCATAAACACCCCTGCACCATAGCTGGGAAAATTGGATCAGCGATTATGCAACAAGGGTCTGGTTTTTGACAATTCTGTTGGACCCCATGTTGGGGAAATATGTACAATGTATACAATAAGTATACTGTCGGAAGTTTTGTTACTTTTGTTACAAAGTTCTATTTTTACTGAAAAATCAGCCATTTTGTTACTAAAAATAGATTTTTTTCGAAATTTGAATCGCCATATCTTCGCACTGCCTTGTTGTATTTTTAATGTTTTTACAATTTTGAGATCCTTATAGGACAATCTTTTCGAAAAAGTTACTAGCATGTTCTTAGCTCGTGTTTATTTTTTTGGCACCAAAGTTGGCACGTCATTTTCCCGCCAAAATGTAACAAAATCGAAAAACAAAAAACATACGATTTTTAGGAATGTTAAGTTCTATCCTGTGAGGGAGTTTCGTGATATTCCAAACTAACGAGAGAAAGTTATATGTACTTGGCCGAATTCGCTGTCTTTTATGCCCACCGTGAACTGTGCTATCAAGTGTGAGTGTGGAAAGTCTGAATGTGGAAAATATACACAATATCCAGCTGAACCAATCAAACAAGCTAACAAAAGCACAGTATCTGAATGCAGAATCAGACAACAGGTGGGAAATTTGTCTGAGCATGCGCAAGTAAAATGAGCCAGGCAATTGCGTGGAATACACGCGTTTACAAAAAGGCACAATCATGTAAATATTGCCAAATGTTTGTGCAAAATAAATTACTGTTTTATGTTGAAAGAGTGGACATGATCTAAATTAATCATACAGAATTTTTTAGTGACGTTCTATTTCAGTACCCTGCCATTGTCTCTGGTGGGCTGTCTGTGTGCATTCGATCTGAAACAGTTGCTACTTTGCTGTCGAAGAATTTCGAATGTTTACATGAAAATAGAGGCAAGTCATGCATTTTACAACCTCTCAAACTGTACGAGCCCCTATTTTTATGCTTATACCTAAGATATCAAATAAAAGTACATGAAACAGAGAACATTTGTGAAAGTTTTATTGTGAGGCCACGGCCAGTTTTTAAAATATCTTTATTTCTGTTCCGGTCATCACCAAAATTACACAAATTACAACAAATTTTGAATCTCATCAAGCACAAAAATACTTAACGTGTAACCAAAATATGCTCGTGAAATCGAAATTAATAGCTAAATTTTCAAACTAGACCATTCTCGAAGCGGTTTTGACGAAGGAAGTTCACATTTCGGCCTTTGATTCTTGGCAAAAATTTGACCACAACACATGCGAAGCAACTGGGTTTCAAAGACTGAACTAAAACATTGTGAGCCCCTATTTTCCTGACGATATGTTTGATACCTACAAACGCCGAAAAGTTTTTTCTTTTCATTTAGCTATATTTGAAATTGAGGCCACAGACTATTTTTGAGAAAATACAGTTCAAAGTCAAGCTATTTTTACATATTTTCAAAATTTGTCAAATTTTGCAAGCTTGTATTTTGAACTTAGACAGCTGAAGTTACATTAAGAAACATAGGATGGAAAATTTGAGGCATATAAAGTTAATTTCAACTTACATTTCATTCTCAAATCACGTCTTTCTTCGTTTATTATGGTTTTAAACAAGCCATAGATCGACGTATACGGTATTTACTCCCATGTTCACATCGCCATATTAACTTCTTCCAATTACGCGATTACAAAACAATCATCCCAAAACAAAGAATTCATGATCAACTTTTAAAAGAATAACCAATAATTTGTAAATCGTTGAATGGAAAGCAAAAAATCGTCAGCTAAAACAGCTTCTTGCTAACTTTCTGCTTTGTTTTGAATGTGAATGCAATGAGCTTTGTTTCTGCCCGCAATTTTTTGGTCAGCGACGACAAATTTCCCACCTGTTGAATCAGAAAAGTTTTGCCTGATCAGAGAAATGATCTTCAATTGAAGTTAATTTCCTATTATGAGTCATGTGTACATGACATTAAAAAGACGTCTATTTATGCAAATTTCAAAACTTTGATTGCCATCAAATTTTTGGTTGGCTTTTCCGACCAACAGATATCTCAAGTGTTATGTAATTGTGACAAACTATTTTCCATTGAAGACATTTTAACTTATGTTGAGAAATGGGACATGAAACATGCTCATGATATACTTAGTGTTATTGTTCAAACATTTGGAGATTGTGATTACATACCATACCAGTGCCAGAAGGATGACTCTGATGAATATGATGAACTGTTGTGTCTTGATGAGGATTGGAGTATGTTACTTGATGATGATGAACTATTTTACAATGCAATGGAAAATCTATCTTTATCATCAATCTGTTTCAATGAATATGTCTGCTGATGAATCAAGTGCCAGTATTGATATACCAGATGCTGCAACTAATGCACTTGAAAACCTGGAATTATAGTGAACCCAGAACAATTTATGGCAAATTAGTTAATTGTAATTTATTGTATTGTCATTTCTGGAAAAACGTATCATATTTATTAGCCTTTCTCACGCCACCATTTTTGGGGTACTCTAATTGTTCGTAAATGATTATAACAATGTGAAAAGCGATATTTCAGAACAAACTATTTACAGAGTAAATTTACTGTCATACATCCATAAAATGATAATGTCGCCGTTACGTGGTGTTACGCTCGCAGAATTGGCAAAAAAGTACCCCAAAAATTGTGGCATGAGAAAAGCTAATTCCATAACATTTTGCACATATAACATATCAGTTTGCATATTATATATAATTTCTTTTGTTTGTGGAATCCCAGCTATAATTATAATAAAGTTGTTCCGCTTTTAATTAAGCAGACAATTAACAGGGAGCTTAGGATATGCTTAATTGAATGGGCATATATATGCTTGTATTCGACTATTCGTTTTGTAAAGTGTAAACAAATACATATATAGGTGAAAAATCAAATCGAAACTGATAACATATTCAGATACTAGTTTAAGCATATCATAAGCTCCCTAATTCTATGGCCTAGGCATAGATGATAGATTATACCAGATGAATCACTGTGTATCTATCTCTATGATTTTCGTGTCCACGATTTTCGCAAGATTATCATGCTACAAATGGCAATTACTGCCAAAATGTGTGATTGCTCACGTTTCATGGTGTGAATTACACTTACTGCCAAAATGGCGTCCAATGCGTGTTCATAAAAAATCGTGGACACAATTGTGGCTGAGTGATTCATCTGGTATTATCTATCATCTGTGGCATAGGGGTTGTTTCAATGTGAAAGCATACATTACAATAATTAACAATAATTACCTAATTGTATTCATCTTGCTTTTACACCTTTAATGATATTTCTCTTGTGTTCATTTATCCACTTGAACAATGCAGTCATTTGCAAATTAGCCATACTATTCCTCTCAAATTCTACGAAGTGGTTATACAGCCTGTTCTTGTGGATATTGTAGACATCCGTATTCATAGCCCTGTTGACCAATTCAAGCAAATCTTTCTCAACAGATTTTCGGACATGCTTTCCTGACCTGGATATCCGGGTTATAGAAATGTCAATGTTGTCAGTTAGGCTGCGTACACCAGCTTCTGCATTACATATATGAGACTGTCTTTTCAGTGATGTTCGGACCAAGATTTTTAATAGCTTGCTTTAAAAACTGATTACTGTGTTCTACATCCAGATCCACTGGTGTATTCTTGCCCACTCCCCCACTTGTATTTACACTTCTGTTCCAGACAAACCTTTCATTGTCCCGAGGTGAAAGAATAGATTCAGTAAGGAAAGTTTGGTATAGACATTCTAAAGCATATTTGCTACTGTGTTGACCATCAAGCTTTACAAAGAAGGAGAAGATACTTAATTCTGGATCCATCACCCTCCTTCACAGCATCTAGAAAATTCATGAAAAACAGACCATTTTCTAACAATGCACAGTTATAACTGTAAATGTCATCATTAGACTGTACTGATTTTGGAGTTTGTTCATCTGGAATTGGTGGAGGATCATGGGTCATTTCGTGCAATCTCCTGCTCTTGCCGTCATACTTGAATGTATGTGAACATCCAACAAATCTGCATGGAAACCTCTTTCCACTATCCTTTTCTTGGATAGAAATGCCTTCTGCAAGTGCCTTTTCTATAGAATCGTTTGTGAAAACCAGCTTGTCAATAATCTGTGCTGATGCTTTGTGTAAGTACTGCTGTTTTGCAAGTTTACTCTGATTCGATAGGTTTTCGGGTATAGGGAAGTTGTCTGGTTGACCAGATTTATTCTCAAATCCAAGTACTGTCATTGCAGCTGCTATTACTCTTGACTTTATTACAAGAAGAAGGAAATCTCGATCTTCCCTGTATGCTGTTGTTGGGTCAGCTTTGACACTTCTGCGGTTTATCAGTGTATGATCAGAGAAGAGTGTGCAATCATCATTATCTGACTTCCCAGAGAAAAATATATTGAATATCATCTATTGAAGAGAACCGTTATCAATGATGGACAAACAATAACAGATGTTTTAACTATTGAAAAGTGCTTCTGTTGATTCAAGTAGCAGGTGTTTCTTCTGAAAGAATATATTAATTAGCATGATGAAGGGTGTTGCGGGGGAACAAGAGGTTTGGAAGTTCCCCGAGAAATTGTTGAATATAGAGAGAGAAAGTTGCACTCTAACAAGTTAACCAAACAATCTGCCAATATTGTCTTGTTAACCCATTAAGCAGCAATGCACCCTACTTTAATCTTTTACTCTGTCTAATGCCAGACGATTTTACTCCTCAACGAGAGTCTTGCACTCTAATTGATTTAAATGTAATTTAACAGATTATAAAATACATACACTCAGCTTTCAACTTACACTCAGTATTTTCAGGCCAGTGTGCCAGTCGCCTAACTGTAATGTTAAGCCTTCAAGTCGACTTTCAGGTGTATACCCATTGGAAACAGATGCTATGACATTTACAGTCCTTTCAACTGTCAACTGATCACCTGCAAGAAGTTGTCCATCGTATGAATCATCAGCTTTCTGTGGAATATATGTCTGGAAGTGCTGTAAAATTTCCAACATGTCAGCATTCTCATTTTCATTTTTAAATAAAATACCCAGAGGAACCTACATAGGCAATATGTGTAAAATATATTGACATATAATAAAATGCATTATAATACAGGCAAGCTAGCATTTAAAAGCTCTACCCATTGAGTGCCAGTGCTCTCCCATTCAGACAAGTAAAATCATCTGGTGCTAGGAACTGGAACCCCCTAAATTCAGGGGCCCCAGTTCTTTGTCGGCATGCACGATTGCTAAAGTTAAACCAATAACAGTACAGGAAAAATTCAATTTCCCCCAACCCAATGCCTTCCTAGCCTGCGCACAGGCATTGCTCTGGGTACGAGATTGAGTAAAATACTAATGTCAGGTGCATTGGGTACAATGCATCCCAATGGGTAAATTATGACCCTTGAGAATAATTATCTGAGCAGTGGTAGCAGTAGTAGCAGCAGTGGTAGCAGTGGTAGCAGTGGTAGTTTTAGCAGTGGTAGCAGCAGTGGTAGCAGTAGTAGTAGTGGTAGCAGCAGTAGCAGCAGTGGTAGCAGTGGTAGCAGCAGTAGCAGCAGTAGCAGCAGTGGTAGCAGCAGTGGTAGTAGCAGTGGTAGTAGCAGTGGTAGCAGTAGTAGCAGTGGTAGCAGTTGTAGCAGTGGTAGCAGTGGTAGCAGTGGTAGAAATTGAAATGAAAAAGAGGAACAATCGCATCAACTCAAACGTTTTGATGAACAATTCTAGTAACGATATAAACAACATATAAAGCACCTAGCTTTGTAACTTCAATTTTAAAATTTTGTGTTCTTGTGTGCATAAGCCCAAAAAATGTACAAAAAAAGATACTGTCCATATACAAGAAAACGTTCAGTTGATTATCACTTTCAAATTTTTGTGACTTTCCTTGCTTTTCAAGAGATTTTTTACGGTATTACCGAAAGAAAATTGCTTGTGAAAGTTTCAACCAATGGCTGTTTGAAAAACATTGACCGGGCGAGGATATACTAATCTAGCGAGGAAAGCGAGTGGCTAGCTAGTGTGTTATTAGCGAGCGGAAAGAGGATGATCAAAAGTCCATAAAGTATCGCGGGTGGATGCATGGGGTAGTGAGTCATGGCTTCAAACACTATCGGAGTTGAATGAGCTAGCTTTTGAAAGACGTTTTGTACTGATAAGCCGCCGTGAAATGTTAGCGTTTTTGTTTACAATTTTACTTTGTTGTAAAGACATATAAGAAAATATATAAACATATAAGGCATATTTATTTTGTGTTCTGACTACTGCTTTATATGATGTGCTTGTTTTAAATGCTGCAAGTTTCCTATATATGGAACATCAAGGTTATTTTAGGTTACTTTCTTCGTTACATTCTCATGGTTACAACACACGTTTCATTATATAAATCTTTTCTTCCATATAACGGGAATTTGCTCATTCTATTATGATGAATTTTGGAATGTAGTATACCAAAATAATCAAAATGATACCCCATTTTGTACCCCAGCAAATTATTGTTTGTTTTTCTTTCAGAATTGGATCAAAAAAGGTGGTTGCAGGTATTCAGATCCCTGTTGACCTGTTGGGACATTCTATTGGGTGAACATCAAATGGTGTGAGGTGTGAAATGAAATTTTGATTCAATGTGACTGATAGAATAGGAATGGTATGGATAATCATGATGCTAGTGAAATATTTTTTATGATGCAATTAGTGATAACTGTAATGATATTGGTGAAGCATAATTTATAATAAAGATATACAGTGATGATACTGGTGATATATAAGTTGTAAAATGGTAACATAAATGTGGGAATGAAAGCATAGAAATTAAAACGAGACATGAATAGTAAAACTGAGATGTGTATGACTCGATCGATTGACTAAGATTGAGGCCTTTAAATTTCTCCAACATTTTATTAAAGAGCATTTCTCCCCGATTTAAGCAACTTATGAAGGAAATTATGAAGAATGGCCTTAACAATTTATTCACAGATCATCTCCTTATCAAGTTAGGGTGTGGTCATTATTTATGGGGAGGAGGGTTCGTAAATGGGGAAAATATGGATTGACGACTTTTTGTCTCCCCCCTCATAAAAATAGAAACTTTTCTCCCCCCCCCCTCCCCCCCGGGGGACTGAAAAATTAACGGTTAAGGCCGTTTTCCACTAGGCGGAATTCTCCGCGCGGAGCAGAATTTTTCTTTGTCTTTTCTAATTAGTTCCACTCGAGAAATCACAAGACAAAGAGAAATTCCGGGAAAATTCCGCCAAGTGGAAAATGGCCTTAATGAAACAGGTGTGCGTAGGACAATCTGTTTAATCTAGCTCATGATGTTTTACCACAGAACAAAAATCAGTAACAGAAAGGCCACTCAGCGCTGCAACATGTCCTCGTTTTTTTATGCCAAAATATGCAGTTTACTGGCCCTTGGTGTCAAAACGTTTGGTATGGTATCGTATCTACTTGTAGGGAGGGGGGGAGGGGTGTATTTTTCCACCCACATGATTGAAATGTGAGCAATTTCTGAAACAGATTTTTGGATATACAGCGTTACATTGTGCTTTGATAGACCGAATCTGATCAGTTAAGTGTACTTGCATGGTATGTTTATGTAAATACTCAGGGGGTAGGAAGCTTGTTAAACTTGTCCAAATCTTTGCTTCCAACAAAAAGGAGAGGCATTTTCTATTGTCATTTTTTGAATATAAACTACTGAATTAAATAAATTGTTTGTTCCAAAGTGGCTATGGCAGATGTTACTAAAATAAATGTTACAAAAAGAATGCAGGCTGAAAAGAATGTATAAAATGGGTATATTGTGACATGTACCTGTACAGAAACATATATTATTATATTGTTCGGTATATTGCTTAATTGTTTAACTTATAAGTTTTATCAGATAGTTATTATTGACTGTAATATGACAATTACATTATATGCGTGTGACTTGTGTTATTCATACGAGATTTTTAGTCTTTCAAAATTTTGGGGGCCCTAGCCTACTACAGGTGACTGCTACTCCAAATAATTATGCCGTCTTAAAATATTAATATTAAGTCAAGTCCGTAATGTAAACAAGCGGTTTGTTTACATTTTGAACTGCTGTATTTCTTAAAATATGATGTACTGTCTAAATATCTAACACTACTTTTGTTCGCTATGCTTCTAAATGAATATGAAATAAAGTTTATGTTCAGAAAAATTCAAAACATTCGAAATTTGGGCAATGTTTACATCAGAGGGCCCTCACATTGTTATGCGCAGAACCGATGCGCAGAACGGACTTGACTTCCCCTTTAATTATAGGAAAATACTCAATTAATAAAACGATGGATAAATCAAATACACCCTTTCGATATCACGTCGTAAACATTTTCGTCACTTTCGTTAGTATAAAAAAGCAAGGTGATTGGCTCACAATGCTTGAGAACGAGGTTCCAGGGGAAAAAATTTATGACGTAATCATCGAAAAGGTGTATTGAATGTTATCAATAAATGGACCATCACCCAATTAACCAAAATTTTGAACTTAACAATTCTAGACAAAAATTCATCACAGCTTGAAAGAGCATCACAAAATTAGTAATATTCCAAAGTTTCGTGGCGAAATGTTGTAAAATGCGGATAATATAGCCATGCGAAATTTGCAATTTTCAGTCATTTTAGATCACAAACGGAAAACGGTTACCACAACTTTGCGTAATCTAAAATGACTGAAAATCACAACAACTTCGCAAGGCTATATTATCCGCATTTTGCAACATTTTGTAACGAACTTTGGAACATTACTAATTTTGTGACGCTCTTTCAAGCTGTAATGAAATTTTTGTTTAGGCTAGTTAAGATCAAAATTTTGAAAAAGTGGTAACCATTTCTCGTTTGTAATCTGAAATGACTGCAAATTGCAAATTTCGCAAGGCTATATTATCCGCATTTTACAACATTTCGCAACGAAACTTTGGATTTTGTATGCTCTTTCATGCTATAATCGAATTTTGTCTAGACTTGTTGAGATCAAAATTTTGGTTAATTGGGGAATGGTCCATTAAGAACCTTACCCAGGCCTCTACAGTCGTTAGCTGAATGTAAAATCTCGAGTAAATAACATTTTTTCGTTAAATACCCAGTATCCCGGGGGATTTGTGGAATTAAATCTGGGTCCTGATCCGCATTAATTCTCCGCTATGCCGGGGGCGGGGGTGTAGTTTCAGCTGACTGGTGCATTATTTTTACGTTTCACGCAATAATAAAGAACCCGGGCTGGATATACGTAATATCTGGAACATATATAAGAACGAAATAACCGTAGTTTATTAATAAAAGTCAATATCGTGTGGTTATTAGATTTGTGTTGTTGTTGTTGTATTCAAATTGTATAGTATTAGCATAGTTCATGGGGCCGCTGTAATTGGTGAAAACTGTTGCGTGCACCTTGCCAATGGAACACATATTATATGTTGTTGTAAATCAGTGCTGTTAAATGTTGCATGTTACTTGGCAAAGTTAAATAAATAAATAAATACACAATTTTCATAACTGTAAATTTCTTTTACATGCATCCAAATTAAATAGAGATTACTACACGGTTGGCAAGCGCGTACGATTTTGTTACACCATTTTTTACACCTGAGCCTATAATGACAATACAACTTGTGTTATGAAGATTATAATATGACATATTACTAGATTGCATTGATATATCGAAGGAACTAGACTCAGTTCCGAAATATTGCATACGCGAACTGACCTGACCGCGTACCTCAATTGGCAGAGCATTAGGCTCAGGGACGACACTTGAGGGGTGACACCCCCAAAGTACAAATCATCTGGATTGGCAGGGCAAATCATCTGGATTGGTAGGGCAATGAAAGATTTTAAATGATAGAATGTAGAGTTATTAAGTAATTTCCAGGACTTCCAGAGGGAATTGAATTGAATTTATAGACCTACATTTTACAGATATTGGTTACAATAAAAACAGCAAGATAATTTCCTAGAGTATATTATTTGCGCGGTAAAAAGAAAAGAACGACAGAATAAAAATAATGGTAAGTGATGACTCTTTCTCATCTCTAGCAGTCTCGTTGGACCTACTCCCTGATGAACGAAATTTTGATATAGAAAAGTCTAGACAAACATTTTACAACATCTTGAAAGAGCATCAAAAAGTTAGTAATATTCCGAAGTTTAGTTGCAAAATATTGTAAATTGCAGATAATATAGCCATGCGAAGTTTGCCGTTTTTCAGTCATTTTGTATTACACACGAAAAATTGATACCTATTTTCAGAAAGCGATATCAATTTCCCTACCCAGAGCCTTCGATTGAAACGTCACGAAGGCTCTGGGTTCAACGGGAATATTCTTTGATTAAACCGCGCCAATCACAAAACAGAATTAATGGTTTTAGCACATAATCTGTACTAAAATATAACAATATAGCCCTGTATAACAATATATAACAATATAACAATATATAACAATATAGCCCTGTTTTAGCCACTTCCTTATCTTAGGATAAATATTAATGCCCAGCATAATGTGTTTTATGCTGAGCATTAATATTTATCCTAAGATTACGATTTCCGCCTGGTTCATTTATCGCAAGTATCAAATTCCACCAATGAAACGCAACACGTGTCCACCCAGCCACACATGCAACTAAACCTTGGGTCAGTATTCTCTTTGGTCATCGACTCTCGTCAGAACAGCGTCAATCTCTCTATCGCGATACACGCATTGTCTGTAATTTTTCAGCCGTTATTATGTCTGGCGCAAATGATTCTGTGGAGGTATGTATCTTTTTTAATAATGTTTTGCCTACACTGTCAAGTGTGCTTATAGAAAATTGCTTATATTGTTTAATTAATACAAATATCTATTTTCTGTTAGATGGAGGAGATGTCTTCCATGTTTTTTACCATGGGTGGTAAAACATTTTATGGAAAAGATCGGGCAACTGTTCAGTGATTTTATCATTAAAGTCGTAGGTGAGATGAAATTGGTAAAGAAGAAAACATCTGGTCGTTGGGTGTGTTTATGTAGCACGGCTGATTCTGACCAAGACAATACAACCAGGTGCATTATGACTTATGTAGTTATTTGGGAAGTCAGGCGTATAGCGCACTCAAGATTAGATGTATTATTGAATATTGCGTCTCAACTGTATCCAATTAGCCTTTCTCACGCCGCCATTTTTAGGTGGCATTTCAGCTGAAGTCTGTGCGATAAGTCCACATCACAGCGACTTTTTATAATTTTTTGGACGAATGATGGTAAATGTACTTTGTAAATGGTTAGTTTATCGCTTTTCACAATGTTTTAATTGTTTGCATTGGATAATGAAAATTTGATGCCACTCAAAAATGGCGGATATTTGTCATCGTGAGAAAGGCTAACTACTGAGCATTTAAGCCATTAATGTTAAGTATCGAACTTTGTCTTTGAAACCAGAGCTGGCAACAGTCAATTGTGCGAGTTTTTATTGCAACGGACGAGTGCGCAATGATAGTCGACCAGTGTTCTATGACATTTAAATTTCCCTCTTGCGTCTTGTGTATAATATAATATATAACCAAGTATATGCATGGTATTCTCTGGAACTCATGCGTGTGAGAATTTGGGTATCGAAGCGGAAGAAATCAATTTTGCGGTGGCTTTATTGCTGAGTTTGGAGTTTGTGGGTCGTGGGCAAAAGGTCCTGCGTCGTGCGCAAAAGTTGTGGGTCAAAAAATGCTTTAAATTTAGCCTTTGGAGCGATCGAATGCTCAACTGAATATTTAACCGAAATTCTTCATATTATGCGTTCGAACCTGGAAGTTAAAGTGTTTATGAAACGGCTGAAATTTTTTTCTGAAATTGTGCTGATTTTATAGTTTAAAGTACGCTGAATATCATGCTGTATTTTATTTTCGCCCCGCGATTCTTTAAAGTCGATTTTTTAAGCTACAAAGTTTGCCATCTATGACCTTTGTTTGTCCCATCTCACGGCGCGGTCAAATTGATGGCGTGACGTCACTGGTTGTACTCGCGCGTTCATTCCAAAGGTGAATTTGTCATGGCCGAGACTCAAAACAGCCGAGCGAAAGGGAAATCTCTTGGAAAGTATTGTGTTGCAGGTGGACCTGGAAAAGTCAGTTGCAAAAACAATTCGAAAACAGAAGGAATTTCGATGCGTCGCTTCCCTAGCGATAGTTCTGTCCGAGCAAAATGGGCTTGTATTGTCCAAAGACATCGTCCGCAATGGCAGCCATCAAGCACTTCGGTGCTTTGCTCAGCACGTTTCAAGGTCACAGATTTTGAACAACGGCTTGATTTTATTCCACAAGAACCGGAAAAATTCATGACTAAGAGATGGCTGAAGAAAGGCGCGATACCTAGTCTAGATTGCGTTGTTTCAGGGCCACAAGTTCAGGCGATTTCAGCTCGTGAAAGAAGACAGGTAAATATATGCATAAATTGTTCGTTTGCGGCATTTTGACGCTGTTACATATTCATCCTTGACATAATCTAAATATTCAATACTCTTCACGGCAAAAACCAGATAACTCTATAAAGACCCGTTTACACTATGTATAATAGTAATATTTGTTGCTATAAATTTGGAATTCACACTCGGACATTTAATAGTTCGCCACCAAAGGCAAGTGAACAACATGAAATAAAAGCTTTGTAAGGCAAGGCTCTCATGCTACATTTTCATAGTTTAATATGTAGATGTCAATATGAAAGACATAAAAGTATTTGGAATGTGTTGTTAAATTGAGTTTGCCTTCAAGTGGTTTAATAGTTTAAATACAGGTCAATTGAAGCCAATTTCTATGTTTATTTACTTCTTCAAAGTCACTACTTCATGTTATGTGTATGTAATGATCTATTTTGATTGGTCTCTATCGGCTTTAGCCAGGTACAGTATCTGGTGTAAACACACCATGTTGGGCGCCAGTTAGGTAATTCTCAAGCTGTGTTTACACTACGAGCCTAAGCCTGGCCTACCTTTGGACTAGATTTTTGTGGTGTAAATGCACTTCGGCCTGGCCTAGGCCAGGAAATCTGGGCCCATCAGGAAAGGTGGCCCAGATTTCTTGGTCTAGTGGCGGTCGAAGTGCATGGTCTAGTGGTCTAGTGGCGGTCGAAGTCGACACTACCAAAATCTAGTCCAAACCTAGGCCAGACTTAGGCTCGTAGTGTAAACACGGCTTCAGATGCAGAAAAGTCTCGGTAAAAATTTTTTTTAACCCATTAAGCTGTTGAGCTTTTCCATTGACAAGCCTCAGACTCAGTGATTGTCGGGGAATATTCACCTCAACTTTGTCTCTGTGAATATTCCCCGATAATCACCTCACCTTTGGCGAACAATTGTTAACACCAACACAAATATTATCATATACAAAGCAGACAACAAATTACATTATTATTCTTTTGATATAACTTATAAAATAATTTGATGAATTATTTTTAGTTGCAGAAAAAAACAGCATTATTGGAGGCAGAAAAGCAGAAATCAACAGGAAATCTCCCACTGCCAAAGAGAAAAGCCAGACAATGTAGCAAGTGCAAGGCACCAATGAAGGTCACCTGCAATCACATTGTCCACACGATGCTCCACAGACTTGATCTGTTTACTGTATATTTTCATTGTTTGTAAATATTGTAAATAGTTAAGAGGGTTGTTGTATATATTGTTGAAATATAATAAGTATGAACAGAATTATGCATCAGTCAGTGTACCCCCTCCCCCAACCCCTCATAAGCTAGGAATTGCTGGGAATTTAAAGCGTGATTTACATTTCAGTCAAGGGATCTCAAAGTGGGCAATATGTAAAACTAATTGTGTAAATGTCCTCTGGTTAAAAAGATTTATTTATTACTAAATAAATAAATAAGTAACAAATAAATATTTTTAACCTGAGAACGTTTACATATTTTAAATATGTAAAACATTAATACACATTACAGATTTGGTGATAATACTTTTCTTTGGGTTTTATGTTATGAAATATTTACATAATAATGAAATATTTACATAATAGTGACTTCAGTTATCATTATCCGTTTGCTCTTCTCCAGATATATACCAGCATCACCAGTACAAAATACATGCAGTCATTATATGATGGTAAATGCATGGTGACAAGGGCTGGTGTTCTCCCAGCCCATCAAGCCAAACAGCCGACGATATGACACTGCTCTGAGGAATCTATAACAATACAAATTTATCTTTATAGAACCTGTAAAGTTCTTTTACTTTCGCTACTAGTCAGAATTAATATGCACAACCGAAGTATATGTACCTTTTATCTGCGCCATTGTTTATTCCATGGGAGCTTCCATCAGTTCCATGTTTGTAAATAGAAGAGGCCCAACTTCACTTCTCTTTTGTCATAGCATTGAAGTCAGGATGATTAAGGATGTATTCAACATTCTTGCCAATCCAAGTAAATTTTCCAGTTACTTCCACAATCTCTTTGCAGCAACAGTACTCTGAACACTCGCCAGATTTTGAGCGGCGCAATTCCCACACGAACACCTACAACAGAAATAAATAATAAGGCAAATATCAGGGAAATTTTGCATGAAAATCATAATAAAGTAACTTAGTATTGTTTGTAGAACTCACCAATTTGCTAATGGAATATGTTTTCTAAACGCTTCTCCAAAACAGATGGCAAAATGTAATCTTCGTCCTGTTCCTCATCAGAAGATTCGCTGTCGCCTGTACTGGCAAATATAGTTCCCCTTGATACGGCTCAAAACAATTCGTTACGTTCATATTTCCTTCTAAATTGCTCTCCGTTATGTTATCAGACTCTAAGCTAGAGTAACTAAGAGAATCTTCGCTGTGCAACATAGTAAAAGAGTAGAAATCACGATAAAATATTTTATACAGCGCGATAATACAAATGTTCTTTACTGTTTATATTGAGAATGTCAACATGTGTGTACAACCAGTGACGTCACGCGCTGTTTTCACTCGGGTCCAGACCCCGGGACAAAAAATAGCCGAATTGCTGAACTTTGTAGCTTAAAAAATCCACTTTAAAAAATCGCGGGGCGAAAATAAAATACAGCATGATATTCAGCGTACTTTAAACTATAAAATCAGCACAATTTCAGAAATTTTTTTCAGCCGTTTCATAAACACTTTAAGTCTAGACGCAGCAGGATATGGCCAGGCGGCAAGTAACTGAAGGAATGTTGTGACGTAATTAAAGGAAACCTTAATTACAATGCGTAAAACACCTAGTAATCCGACAAAAAACATGCATAAAAACATAGTAATCCGACACAAAGTTCATATTAATCTTTTTTTTTAATTGATTAATTTTTTAAAACTGGCAAAAAACATGCTTTTCTGTACTGCATCATTTCTTTTAAACAGCGGCATACATGTGAAATATCAGCCTTGAAAAATGTGACAATCACTTCCCACCATTCTTTGTTAGGATTATCGTGTTAGATATCAATTGCTTCGATTCGAAGCAGCGCTTCATAGAGGCATTGTGGGAAGCATATGGAGGTGGGACGTTTCTGCTGGGCCATCAGGTTACAGGCGCAATCGTTCAACTGTTCGCTAGCTCCCTAAAAGACGACTTGAGCCAGCAAGAATCCAAGAAATATTTCTGTGAGGCAAAATTCATGGGTTACCATGGGAACAATTACTGGCTTGTTTCTAATGACGTGAGTATATAATTATATAGTACTATAATCTAATTCATATTTAAAGTCAAGTTAATTCTTCCATAAATTTAAATTTTTCCATTGAAACTTGATTTTTTTTTTATAATTTCACGTTAAAATCACGTTTTTTTATTTTTTTAAGTTCTATAAACTCAAGTTTTTCTAATATACTCAAGTTTTTCTATTGAATGAAACTTAACTTAAGTTTTCCTATTAATTTACGTTTTTCTGAAAATTCAAGCTTTCTGATAAACTCGAGTTTCTATATAAACTTATTAAAGTTTTCCTATATACCCAAGCTGGTTTTTCAGTATAAACCGTCAAGGAGTTTTCTATTAGTTGACCTGCATCTAAGGACGTTTAGCCTCATAATCAAATTAACTCGACGAAAGACACGCAAAATCACTGTTTTTTATTGGCTCTCACTATGTGTTCTACCTGTATATGCAAAACACGGCTAAACGCAAAATAGTAAGATTATGTTGTTGTGAGTAGTATTCGTTCTGTAATTTGCATGGTCATGAAATATAGGTAATGAATCATATGCAGATAGTCATTTTGACAGATTATGCTCGCAAACCCACTGTTAACCTGCCCAATGGGATTTGTTTTGAAAAATTAAATTTTAAAAATTACTTTGCCAATGAACTCGTATAAGATGAGTTGTTTTTTAAGCCATTTAATTGTTGTCGTGTTTTATCATATATAAAACACTCCGCTACACTACACCAACACAGCAAGTATCATAATCTATACTATAGGTCGCTATTATACACCTTATTAACACATATCCTTTATGTAACCAATCAAATTTGAGACTTTTGGCTATGCAAATTTTATAACTGAATATACGCTCGTTTAGGTCCTTAGATACAGGTCAACTATTGAAACTTGAAGTTTTTCTTATAAACTAAGGCCCAGGTTTCTCATGAACTAAACTTTTTCTATCTACAAACTCAAGTTCTTCTATAAACTCAAGTTTTTCCCTTCAGCTATTAAACAGGTAAATTGTCTGTTGATATAGAGTAAATAATTCGTATCAACGTGGAAAATGTGTTATAGTCAGGCATATAGATGAACAAAAATTACGGAAAACTCACCATATCAAGGCCAATCAAGGCCTTCATCAGTTGTGCCTTGAAGCCGCTGCCTATAGTAAGTACGTTTATGTGTATGTATTTAAATTTTGTATTTAAATGAAACTTCATTACAGTTAATGTAAAAAATGTGAAAAAGTTTCAGACTAGAATTTCAAATATGAAAAAGTTTCAGACTAGTACCCAGGATGTTTGCCTTATTTTGGACTTATTTTTTACATTTGGAACAGCAATAACCCTTAAACACTTGACAATCCCGCCTAATCATTTAAATGTCTTACATGTAGTTTTAAGCTTTCTATTGATGCAAATAATTAGTATTAGAAATGTATCTTAAATTTCACATTGTTCAACTGTACGCCAGACAAATTGTATAGTACATTTTAATACAAAATTCGAAGAAAAACGTGTTGCCAAAAGCTTACAAAAAATTTTAACGCCGACATACTGAAACGTACTTACAGCTTTCAGAACAAAAGATGAAGGGAAAATGGAATTGCCCCTCGATATGGTGAGGGTTTTTTTCCTTCTATTTGCATGCCTGATTATATTATAATTCTTAATGAATAATGTCATCTCTGATTATACATATTCTACAGATGCACATCAAGAATGGCAAAATCTTGAGGCATGTTAACCAAGAGTATATGGCATTAGACGAGTTTCTCAGTCATTACGAACTCCAAATTGACAGGCATTTGCTAGAAGACTCGAAAAGATTAAATAGTTCGCTTGCAAGGTAATATGCCTGAATATATATGCTACATATATGCATGCATGACTTTAGTATAAATTCAGGATTGATATTCGTTCTGATCATACAGCTAATTCAATAATTATAAAGTATAATGATATAACGCAGCAAATTTATAGTTATCATATCATAATGTTATCTTTATAAAGGTTCTTTGACTTGTCGGACGGATTTGGCCTAAATTCTACTCCCTTTCGGTTGGCAACAGCTTTCATGGTTGGCCGCATCATAAGGAATGCACTCAACCCTAATGATGTGTGGGGTAAGCGAAAACATATAGATTGCTCTGGAAAGGAGCTTCTTCCAATCCCCTCCAACACACCCCTGCTGAATAATCTGTATTATATATCAGCTAGTGATTATACAAAACAATGAAATATTTCTTAAAATTAAACTACGAGTGTCAAGCGCTATCGTTGTTGCATTTTTAACTTATAGACGAAAGTTCCATTGGGATGATCTATTCTGAAAAAAGATGTGTGGGGAAGTCCCTGACCTTAAATATCCTGACTCTGGGTCAAGGGATATCAGATTGTGCCCACTTGATGTATCTTAGTGGAGGAAACCAAACGATTTGTGGGACATCATCGTAAGTGCAAAAATATTCAATCGAATTTTCGTTTTACAGTTGTCACGAATTTCATACATAAAACTTGAAATCGACACACTTGCTTTTTATAATCTTGCGTATCTTAAACTCTTAATTTATATGGTATGCGTGGCAGGTCTTTAATTATCGTTATATAGAAGGGACATTTACAGTTACATATATCTTCAAAGACATACACTCCCGCGAAGTATAAGTAATTAATGCATGGTTCTGAAGTCCTAAGGTTAAGCAAAACTATAATTTTATAATGTATAGAGTTATGATACAGAAGAGCATGGCAAATACAACAGGAGTTGTACTGATTGACGATCCCGAGATTAGCAAGCTATTCTGCCAGATGTTGTTGCAAGTTCAGGGGCGTCTCATGTGCGGATCAGTTAAGGAAGGGATGATCGCTGTAAAAGCAGCTACGATGATATCTTCCAACTCTCCAGAATTACCACGGTAATACATTTACATATACCCCTTTACAAATTTCTCAATTTTTTCGGTGGGAGAAGGTCTTTCAAGTTTCAAACATGATTATAATTATACTTTAACTAATTTATATTAATATTAATTTTAATTGGCAGAATAATGGGGAGAGTGATAAGATTCAATTACACTGGATCTAGTGAATCCAATCCTCATGATCAAAAGCAACTGGCCAAGCTGTGTCCCAATTAATGGCAGAAAATAAGGTATGCATCGGCGTGTGGATTGTGCGAAACATTCAGCGATGCCACTGCAGAACTGTTAAAAATATATATAGACTATAGAGAGGATATTACATGGCGGCGCAAAGATATGACTTTTATCTTCGAGTGGTGAAAACAATTAATTTTTAATTAATTACTGTAAAACGAGTGGATGAAAGTCATATTTTCAAGCCACTGCGTATTATTCCGTTTCTTATATAGTCCCAAGCAACAAATTAGGAAATTTCACTGAATTGGAAAAAGTCACGTGATCAATTAGTTCTCACTATATGTATGTGAACAACCATATATCCCTTGAGTGTCCAGAGTTTATGATTTAAGATTTTTGAAAAAGCTGCATATATATATATATATATATATATATAAGTACCGCATGATGATTCTTTACTGATGAAACAGACTGTTGTGGAATTTTGAGGTAAGCGAAATTCTATATATATGTATATATATGTATATATATCTAGAATTTCGTTTAATCTTAAAGCTCAAAAATATTTTTGCAGGGTCTCCTTCTTGCTTGGGCAATTCGGTATTTGGACTTTTGGGACGAAATTTTTGAAGATGCCAATGCGACCATCAAGGAATTACTAGCAAAACTACTGAGAAACTTTGGGCTGCAACAGAGGTGGTTTAAGGGTGTCGCCATTATGATGATTGCTCATATGCTGGTATGTATAACTGGGCAAAATAAGAAGCTATAGATGCATGCATGGAGTTAACTTCGAAATTGTTTGTTTACCAATATAGTTAAGGTTATCATGTGGAAAACCATCTCGAATTGATGAATATTTGACGTTTGTTTACAATGACCTGTTGTCAGAGAAAGTCGCCGGGCCCTCAACATTGGAGAAACTGGAGACCAATGTAGCAAAAGAAATTCAGAAGAAAAAGGAATCGGTGTGTAAATATTTCTAAATGCAAAGAGCTTTTGGATATCTTTGATGAGTACAATCGCATGGCGTAGTTGCCATGAATAGTTATTTACATTATGTTTAATACTGTAAGACCTTGCCAATAAGTATAGAAAATAATCTGTGGTATTTTATATAAAATATACTAAAATAACTTTTGGTGAATTGTTGCAAATATATTAAATGTACGAATTATGCACGTTAATATGTGCTTCTTTGTACTTCGGTTAAATATAACTTAAGTGTGGTTAATAAAAGAAGAGCTTTATTTAATTCTCCCCTGTGCTACCAAGGTGTTTTTCCGCTACTCCTGTTCCCCTCTGTTGCTTGTAAAGGCTCTCCATCCATTGGAATTGTACTTTATTACTTTATGAAACAAAATTTTTCACTTTATAGTTACCTAAGTCTATACTAATATTTATAACTATTTTATTACTCTTTTCAGATTCTGACATGGTTGCATCCTAGCCTAACAGTTAAAAATTCTGCTGGGAAAAAAGTGCCAGCCATTGGAATAGCACAAGATGTCATTGAATCATTTACGGACATTTCCCATACAGTAAGTTAGACACAAAAGATATTTGCGATAATAGTTTATAGTACACAGCTATATCAATTAAAGTTGTCGAAACTTGTCCCCGCGAGCAAAGCAGAAAAGTCGAATACCAGCGCAAAAGGTTTCCCAGCAAGCCTTTCGTGCACGTATTCGACTTTTCCGCTTTTAATTGAAATAGCTGCATGAATTGGAATAGCTGCATAGACAAGCGTTAGTCATCCCGAAAATATTTTGTGCACTTAAATTGGATAAGACTCGCTATCAATATCCCTGTTGACTCGATAGCCCAATAGTTAGAGCGGCGGTCTAGATACCCGAAGATGCGAGTTCAAATCCAACTCGAGCCAACAAATTTTTTCGTTGCTCGATGCTCGATTGCAGTGTCAGATTAATATGAAACTAGCTGCATGAATAGTGTCTACAGATGTAATTACCGATATTAATTATGTATAGTAATGAGGACAAATTCATATAATGAATACATAAAAACACGAGTGTGTCCTTATAGGAATTCAAGGATGAGTTAAAAAAACTCGTCGAGGAGCCAAGTACAATTGGCATTTATTACAGTAAGGATGAAAATGTGACGCTGCAGGAAATGAGAAGAACTAATACATGTCAAAAGAAGGCATACAGATTGCCTTTAGATTCCTTGACAACATACACAAGGAATCTAATCGAGTACGGTAAGCATGCATACATTCTTCAGCCGCGTGCGATATGCATGTGTTCATTTCCGCAAACACATGCATGCGCATGCCGTTTAAATCGTATTTATAATGATTGAATTTAGAAATATTTTCTTTCGCCAATATCTTCAGAATCAAGACGCAATATTGACTATCATGCATTTGAAAATTTAACAGATGTGACGTCAGTACATAATTGTGTGTACAAAGAGTAAGAACCTGAGTGTCCACTTATTTGAAACAAATTGCCAAAAATATTTTAAATGTTGAAACATAGCATTATTTCTTTTCATAATGTTCCGAACATTACAAAATATAAGATCCCTTAAGACGATATGCAACATACTTAAATCATTTCCATTCTCTTAATTTGTCTATTTCTTTGAATAGCTTGCAAGATGCGGGATGACCCCCCTCAAGAGTCTGATTCCGAGCAAGATGCTGATCCATATAGTTTTCAATTGCCACTTGAAGACGTTCAAATTTTGGAACAATTAGAGAACGAGCTTCGGGTAAAAATGGAAGGTAAATTTACTTTGAAGATCCATATTTTTTACATTTTGTTTTTACACGTTTTATCTGCATGGATTCGTGTTGACCATATCATATGAGAAGGTTTGCACGTAATTTGTATATAGAATTAATTTATTTCTGTTTAGCATGGGAACATGGTCGTGCACAGGAACAGATCTATCAAAATCAAGAGGAGATTGAGGAAGCAGTAGACGAATTAGACTATAGCTTCACAGAGGTAAAGTTGACTGAGAAGCATACATCATTACATGCGATCTTTTTTAAATTAATTAATATAACGTTAACATGCATTCGTCAAATCTATATATTAACACTGTTCTATCTTATATAGTTACTTACACCAAATACCAAAAGGGCATACAGCAGGCTAACCCTGCAGAAAAGAAAAACTTTTGCATGGGTAAGAATGAAATGGTTATATATCAGTTGATATGTATGTAATGTTGTGAATTTGAAAACGGGATCTGGACTATAATATATAAGTCCGAACAGATAATTTAAATAAATTGCGAGGATATGGAGGAGGTTTACTTATATGAATCTCATCCTTATGTGTATATCAGAAACAATTTTTACTAATTATAAATATATATAGTTACGACATTTGCATTAATCTGTTAAAGGCCATGTTACACGGTGCAATTTTTCTTGCAACTTGCAATGAAATTCTACTCTCGAAAGATGTAAAATTGCCGAGATGTAAAATTGCCGAATACGAGTCTTCATTACACTCCGCTGATGTTTTCTCAATATATCGAAAATTCTTCACTGATTTCACTAATTAACATCTCTCAAGAGTAGAATTGCATTGCAAGTTGCAAGAAAAATTGCACCGTGTAACATGGCCTTATGGTCTGCGTTATATCACTAAACATGTACATACAGACTTTGAATAGTGCCGTAAAGTTAGATTGCAACGTATAATGAAGACTGACTTTAATTTTTAAATTTATTCTTCAATACAGGCTATTCACGTTGGAAACAAAATGCTGAGAGCAGGTATAATAAATACAGAATATATAGCACTACTTGCATGAGCATAAAATAAACTTAAACTAGTGGCATTTAGATCTATAAGCTAATAGGACAAGTTTTCACTTGGCAAGTTAAATTGTCAAGTATATGTACATGTATATTATATATATATATATATATTACCTCAAAAAACCACAACAGTCTGTTTCATCCGTATAGGAATCATCAGGTGGTGAATAATTTCGAAATTGTAGGTTGCTTTTATGCTATCGAAAGAATGTTCGGAATGCGTGTAGGCGAAACAATGCTTAGGTGAAACAATGCATGCTTGGGTCATTAGGTTTTGTTAACGACCTTGTTTACTCGAAACCGGTTTTTGTGACGACATTTGCCGAAAATTTCACTTCTTTTATTGAGTAAATTGTCTTTGTTTATGTCTTTCAAAATGCAAAATTTTTCTTCCAAACATAAATTGCAGCGTTTTCATCCCCCTGTGTACGAAATAGCGTGTTTTAAAATTGACCATTTGATGGTATAATCCTGATTGTTTTCTTTTAATTTCCAAATATGTTTCGAAAGTTCCGTTTTGTTTGAGTCTTTTTTATGACGAAAAGATGAAGTGTGGTTAGCGTAACGTTCCTTAAATGTAGTCGCTGTCATACCAATGTAGTGTTTAGTTTCGTTTGTGTTGTTCGTTGTGACTGTTGCTTTGTAAATAATGTTGTTGGTCATGCATTGTTTCGGTAGTGGGCAAGTGTTTTTGTTGTCGCAGTTACAGTTGTCAGTTTCCGTATTCTGTGATTGACTGTTCCTAATTATATGTGCGTTGTGTTTGGTGATTATAGACTTAACGTTGTTCATGCAACTGTAGCTTACTTTTAAAGTGTTTCTGTTGAAAATCTTGTGTAGTTTGTGCTGTAGTGGGAAGTGTTTGTCAATTAAACTTAAGAATTCCCGTCCTATGTTCGTGTTAACACTCTTACTAAATGGTGGGTTGAACCAAATTATGTTGCGTTGCCTATTCCTACGTGTCCGTTGCGGTGCATCCTGAGTGTACGTAAATTCATGATCAAAGTTACTATGTGTAAGAGCGTTCTGGTAAATAGGTGTGGATTCCTTAAATGTTTGTTCGTCCGATGAGAGAAGTGCAATGCGTTTGTTGATAGCTGTAGGTAATTGTCTTGTAATGCTTGGTGGATGGTTTGAGTGTCTGTGGATGTACAATGGATCGTCATTGGGTTTCCTGTATGGTTTGTGTTTTGCGTTGATCAGTTCGAAAGTAACATCTAACAAATTTACAACGTTCATATTTACTTCGGCGGTGATTTTAAGGTCAAATTGCTCGAAAATTTTGTGTAGTTCTTTTCTAGTTTTGTCTAGTAAACGGGCGGATTTGCTTTTTATAACAGCCAAACCATCATCTCTATAAAGTCCGATGTTTTCCTTGCCAAACCTCTTACCTAAGTGATTTAAAATGAAAAGGCCTACCAGCTCACAAATTTCAGCGCCGTCGAAACTACCCATAGTGACGTCAAATAAACTGTTGCTTCCATCTTTTTTTGTCCATAATTTGCCGTTGCCGAAAAGTAGAGATTTTCTTGCATGTTTTATTATTGAAATATCGTTTTTGGTAATAGTAGTCAAATCCGAAGCCCAGGCCAATGCTTCATTTAAAAGTTTTTCGGAAATAGATGGGTAAAAATCCACAATATCAAATGAAATAAAACTGTGCCTGTCTTTATCGTTTATATTGCCAAACCATGAAATTACGTGTTGCGTATTTCTCCATTGATTTGAATTTAGTTTTTATCTCAAATTGGAATTGATTTTATCTAAAATAACCTTACTTGGTTTTCCGGATTCGCTTTTTGCGGGATTAATTAGTCGGCATTTTGGATTGTTTTCGAAATTTTCTTTGTGATCTTTTAAAGATATAAATGCTTCGCGTTTTTTCATTCGTTCAATTCTGTCGCCAATTCTTAACCTACTCGAAATTTCTTTCAATTCGGAGTCAATTTCATGTATGAAGTCCTCTGATCCATGTTTGTACGTTTTCGTGATGTTATCATGTAAGAGTTCGTTGTATGTGTTCAGTGACGTTTCGTAAATGTTTCTAGTTTTGTCCGCGAAAATGAAAATGTTGGGGGATGAATTAATTTTCTTCAAATCGTTAGCCAAAGATGTCTGAAATTGGTCTTTAGGACGCCGCAATTTTACGTTTTCAATTAGTTTTATCAAGTCGTCTTCGAAAGGTTTCAAAAGTGGAATTGAAGGAGGCGATTTGTTAGACGAAAGGCCGAAAAGGTAGCTTTGGTTTTGAGTCGTTGATCCTTTTAGGAAGAAATTAGCTTTCCATCTCATACGTTTTGTTACGCTTTCCACTTTTTCAATCAAATTCTTTAGATAAGCATCCTGTGATGGTATAGGAATATTCTTTAGTGAATAATCGAATCGAAATTGTCGCATGTTTGAAGTAGAAATAAAATGAATACAGGATTAAAAACACAATGAAAAAACTCCAACCAATTGTAATCTAAAATGGTTAAAAATATATATTTTTGAAAAATAATCGGCGAAGATAAAAACATAAACAAAATAGAAAAATTGTGAAAATATTCGAAAAGCAAAGTTCGTAAATTCAGATTTTGTGTATATAATAAATCAGTATAATGGATAAATATAAATTTGATTAAGGTATCTTTAACTATTTAACAGTTATTCCACTCACTCTCGTCGAATATGAGCGATAGCCGATTCGGCGCTACACGACTCGAGTTCGTAGAATAACTTTTAAATAGTTAAAGATACGTTATTCAAATTTATATTTATTATCCAATTTGAAAGAACGTTGAGGATGTTTATATACAAAGCCCTTTTACAAATGTTCGGTAAATTTCTTAATTTTTATGATACTGTATTTAGGTCATTATAGGATATCTTTTAAAAGCTGATTGTTCAATTGCAAATAAATTATGGCATAAATGACAAGATTTGATTATATTGACAACAAGAAATGGTGATTCCAGCCTCGATTCCAGCCATAAACTAATTTTTTATCTGCGCAAGAAGAACGAAATCTTATGTACAATGCAAGCATTTAAAATGAGTCCGAAATATTTACAAATAAATAAGGGAGCGGTCATTATTTATGGTGGGGGGTGGCACCGAAGAGAAAAGGGTTGGGTAAACAAAATTTTGAGTGAGTAAAAGGTTGGGTAAGGGGCCAACCATTTATTTCCTGCAAGGCTATTCTGGACAAAAAAAATACCTGCACTAACAGCATGGTTGCAGGGATAGATTTGACCAGTCCCAGAAGATCAGCTGGTTTGATTTTCAGGGGCTGGTGTAAGGTTAATTTCTTGTTGGAAAACTGTTCAAAATGCTGGAAATAGCTTATCTGAGCTTCAAAAAATCCAACATTTTCTGGGGGGGGGGGCATGCCCCCAGACCCCTCTAGAGGCTTGCACCTTCGGTGGTCGACTCAGTTGTTGCTGCCCTATGACGTATACTTATTAGTTAAACCATGCATATATATGCTGTAGGTAGCTGCAGTGATACAGACAGGGCTGTAGCAAGGGGGGTATTGGGGGTGGTTAACCCCCCCCCCAACTTTTTTAGAATCAACATAGGGGTGGGTATTTATTTTTTAAATGATACTCGAGGTTGTGTAATCAAATTTATTTTTTAATGGTTGGATCAGCAAAATTTTTGCCACGAAAAACATTTCTCTTCGGTGCCACCCCCGCCATTCTAGTATATAATGACCGGTCCCTAATAAAACAATTATTGTATTCGGTTCTCGCAGGATATGAGGAATCATTAATAATGCCTTGGTTTGTGTTATCTGTCTTAGCTGTAAAACTTAGCTGTCCATTATAACAAATTGCATGTAGGCATTTCGACATACTTTCTGGCCAGTTTTGAGTTGTTTACATGCAATATCATACTGCTCTCTCACAATCTCCGTATTTTGGTAGAAGTCCATTAAATAATTGTAAAAAAAGTGGGTGGAAAAATTCTGCATACAAGAACTTCTTAAGCGACGTACATTCTTTCTGTTGTTTTCCGACTCTTGGTAACTTGTTTTGATAGAATTTGACTGTTCTAACAGATTGATGTTGTGATATTCACATAGCGGGGACTTGTGGGGGTTGTTAGCAGTGTGAAATCTGTCACCCAATACATATCGCCTTGATGAGCCTGTACATGGGTGTATCAAGGTGTCACTGGACTGTATCGTTTCAACATTCTCCAATCGATATTCTGCCGTGCTTAAGAGTGGCACATTCATACCCTATGAGGAATGAGCAGTAAATTTAAGTAAATTTACTGTATACTAAAAGTCTGGAATTATATCCGAACAAGTTGAATAATATGACAAATAGTCCATAAACAAAGTAATGTTTCTATGACAAGTTGGGCAATTCTTGTAATGGTGTAGCGTTCCTCAGTAGCAGAAACTACCACCTGAAAGCAAATTAAGCTGGCAAATAAACATACAGTGTCTGGAGATTTGTCCAATGATGGCTCCTCAAAACATCCTCTGAACTTTCCCCAAAGTTGTTGGCTTGTATTTTTGTCACGACATTCGAGGTGCCTCACAAAGCCACATGCTGTGTCGCAAAGGAAAACCAGAGGAACGTATCCGAATGACAGATACAAATCGACAGGATCCCGCCCGATTCTTGTAACGTTAGAAACTTCGATGCTGCTGTAACCTAAACATAGGCATAAATAAAAATGAATATCTGCACTCAGGCATGTTAATGCCTGGGTCTGCCCACGCTTGGATAATATCTTGCGCGCGTGTTGCACGCGCGATCTGTCAGTAATGCGTCTGTTATAATATGCGCCCCTTGTGTGAGTATTTTAGTGAATTCGGGCGTTTGCTTCAAATCAAAATATAGTATATATGATTATTTTGGAATATACAATGCAAAGAAGTCGGTATACTATTCAGTTTTTATGTAATAATTGGCTATTTGTATAGCAATAAGTATTGTATCATTTGCGACAGCTGACCTTTGAACTGCTGATAAATAAAAGCTTCTTATAGTGCGCTATCTTGCAATTATTCAGTATTAATTGTTTCTTATTTTCAATGAAAAATTGCTTGTGAGTTATAAATTAATTATAGCACGGACAGTTTAGTCGGTCTTTTCCACCATGGCATGCATTAACTATGCTTCAAGATATTGGCTTGAATGCGCAATGAATGTTGTTATTGGAAATATAATATCCCTTACAATAAGCGGCAGACTGTGTCATTATGGCGCGTGAAATTCATCACACGAAAAACACGTTCGACTTGCAGCAGGGTAATTTGACGAAATTTTGCTATTTTTATTAGCTAAAATCATTAACAAGGGAACAAAGTTTCCTGCGTTAATTTGGAAATCGTACATTTATTTTTACATTTATGACGCGATTAACATTCGTTTGATGCCGATCATCGTAATATAGCCGCATAAAATAATGAAACGAAGCCTAAATGTAAACTTTCCAGATTCATTCAATAAACAGTGATATTATATGTGAATGATTATCGCAATTCTGCGTTCTCTCAGTCACGAATTATACTGCTGCAGAGCCTCTGAATAAAACGTATCAATTTTTGTGTTGTTTTTCGAAATATACATCACGTGATCGCTGCCATGACAACGAAAAGTAGGTCAACTTTCAGAATTTTCTTTGATAAATCATATAAAACTTGAATGGTAATAATCAAGGCCATACTTATTTTTTTATGATTTTTTGTCTATTTTCGCTAAATACACAAACTGAGACCCAGGCATTAACATACCTGAGCATGCTGATACAGATATTACAAGTACTGCATCTTAAGAGTAAAATGCCCATATGCAGGGTATTCAATACACCATTCATGACTCTAACCCCTCTTATAAAGTGTTTAACCCCACCAAAATTTTGCCACCCCCCCCCCCACCCTTAGAAAATATGTGGAACCACTCTTCAACCCCACAAAAGTCTTTGACCTAATGCCTGACCCCTGTAAAAAGCTTGCTTAGTGCTGCCGCTTGCATCCACTAGAAATTTTCCATCCCTTCTTGAAGAAAAATGGAAATCTGCCCTTGAACACATCATTATGACTAAATCTAAGTCCAGGTTTTTTTTCAGGATTTTCTCTTGGGTCCGTTTTTGCAGAGAAGATTGAGTTTAGCTGAACAGCTGGGGTGGCTGCACCACCCCACCCCCACACCCCACCAGGGGGCTGACACCTGTACTCAATAAATGTAGTTGAGACGGAATGTGTTAAAGCAGGGGCACTAAGGGACACTACAAACTGGTTAAAGATGGCGAATGCATAGTTTTTCTTGTGTTGTGAGATGAATTCCAGCCATTTTTTCTTAATTGTTGGGTTTCCAACTGAAAATTAATTTCCACACATCACGAATTTAACTCAAACAACTTCATTTTTACTGCACTGAAACTTTGGTGAGAAGATTGAGTTTCAAAACTCAATTCAAGATTGAGTTTTTGGGGCCGTTTAACGGCCCTAAAAAATCCCTGAAAAAAACCCTGAAGTCCCCTTTAAATGGATACTGCGCATTTTAAGGCCAGACTTCAATGTACTGTACTCACTCCATGACGACACACAACATGGTAAAAGCCACCAGTATGGCCTGGAACCTTAGTAAAACCATGGCAAGGACTAGTACCAACAAGAAGGGTTTCATACAGTGACTGAAGATCAATCTCCATTTTAACCTAAAAAAGTAAAAACATAGACAATTTTAAAATTAATTAATTAATCCACTAAGTGCCTAGCACTCTCCCCTTGACAGAGTAAAATAATCTGGGGTTGGACAGAGTAAAAGGCATATCAGGGCGCAATGCGACTCAACAGGTTAACTAGACGCATGAGGCCAGTTAACCTAATAAGTACCAGTACTCTTCCCTTCACAAGTGAAATTGTCTGGCGTAAGACAGAGCAAAATCTGTATTCTGGCGTTATACAGAGTAAAATAGTAAAGCAGGGCGCATCAGGTAACACCAAATAAATTTACGTGGTGTTTCCACAAACAAAACTATTATAAGTTTCACATTTACTTTATTTCTTTCATTTTTTTCTAGTACAGTACCGTAGTACAGTATATGTTATTGCTTGATAGACATGCATAGTGAGGATGAAAGCTCACCTTTTAAACTTTATTTTTAGGGCTCCATTTAGGCAAGGTGCATTAGGCTGCATGCACATCATACTGTAGAATAAAAGTGATTTAATGTTTAGTGACTTGCCTTAGATTTGTTAGACGTACTTATTCCACACAACTGGCATAACTGTTTCAATGAATTGATGTCCAACTCTTTAATCTTGCTCATGTCAATACTCTTGCTACATATATTGTGATGCAAAAGAGCTAGGTCACCTGCGTCAATGAAAGAAAAATACACAACACTTACAACGCAGACATATAAGCACATTGCAATGAAGTCTAGTTACACATCCAAATTGGAATTCATACAGACCTAAAATCAAAATATTTTTTGACTGTGTTTCCTTTTTGAGTTGACCACCAAGCGCTAAACTATCATGTGACTAAAACCAAGCTACTACATGCACAATATATGTATATACATGTTTGCAACTGCCATAATAATTAACAGTACACATTCATTTCTGTACATACATTTCATAATTTTAATCTAAAAAACTCACCTTCATTTGGTTTTCCGTGTTGTTTAAGGAAACTACTTTTTTTTTCTGCTTCACTATTTATAATCACTGGACCTTTCATTGCTGGAGCTATAACTGGTGGGATATCAGAGAAGTGAGTCTTGAATTTTGCAGATCGAGTGTATGTTGTACATTCAATCCAGCGTCTTTTCAACATTTCCAAAAAGTCTTCAAGAGAGGTTGAACCTGTTTCCGCAGATTCTTCGTCATTTTTGGGTTTGTATTCAATCTGTGAACAATCGAAATAATTTTAAGTATTACTTTTTGACTACTTTTCAATGACATCAACAGTTTTTTAAATTTTCAGATAAGACATACAGTAATTTTCAAAATACTTTTTGAAAAAAAGTGTTTTGGGTATAACTGCTTGACCATGCAGCCCTGAGACAAAGAGCCTAATCGTTCAAAATGTCAAATGTTGTTTTGCTTTATTTTCAGGTAGACTTGGCTATCACTTCTCTACTTACACTGCTTTACTTTATTGAAATGTAAGTATACAGCACATGTAAGTACAATGCAGTATAATAATAGTACTGTATATGTTGATACTATTAAAAGTGAAAATTTACTAGATTTTAATTTGAAAAAAAAGCTTTTAAAATGATGTTCAAAACCTTTTAAAATAATATTTAAAATAAACCTTTTAAAATAATATTTTAAAGTGTTCTTTCAAAATGCGAATACCCTTTAAATAGTCAGTATGAACACACCTCGCTGATGTCACAACAATTTTTTTCATTGCCATCTCCAAAGTAGACTTCACCTATAACACCACATATCCCACATATTCCATCATCCAAGTTTCTTTCAGTAATTGCTTCAAAGCAGTAGAAGCCATTGTAAAGATGTGTTGCAATGTTTTCCAGCTCATTCTTAGTTGGTGACTCCTAACAGTAAATGAAATAAATTTTCGTCTTATAATGGATTCTTGCAGGGGATATCAAATAAATATTCTTAGCTACATTTTCACAGTTTGGTGTGGCAAAACTTCACATGGCTTTATTATACTGTAACTATTCTTGGCTTAATAAATGGCATCAATAACCGAAATCATAGAATGTTCATCAAATCAATACTGTAGTATTGAATACTGTAGCTGTGTCCTGGGCCTGCCATCATTTTAGACATTTTTGTCTTATTTTGAACATGATCTTACATCTGTATACCTACAGTATATTTATAATATAGCCACTTATGTGAATATGCCTGTCAATGTGAGTGATATTATAAGAAAATGCTGCAATTCCTGGGAATGAACTATCCAATAAAGAAGATATTTACAGTAACAAGCAATGTTTAATAAATGGATAAACCTCTAAAACAAAACAATATGTATCATTATACACACATACCTCGACTCTTTCAACCATTGCTTCTAGTTTGCTCTTTATTGCAATAGAAATAGGGACTCCTCTGCGAAAAAGCCGTCTCCATTCAAGCAATATTTCAAATGAAACCAGCACTTTATCACATATATTGAATAAACCTACAAATTACAAATTTGATAATAATTAACATTATGGTTGCACAGTAATTTAACACATTACATATGATGCCGCTAAAGTCTCCACACCCTCTGTTTTTTTATAGCATTTTGTCATGAAAAGATATTTTCAAATATGTTTTCAACAAACTTTATCTAACAAATATTTTTGAAAAATGTTCAACTGTTGTAGAATGTTATTCTCAGTTTTCATATGTTTTCAAATACAGCAAACAAATTAAGAAAGCTGCTAATATAATGTATGAGCTAATAGGTGAGCCGTGAAAAACATGTTTTAAATTTAATTTCTATACTGTTTGAATGAAATATACTCCATTTATAGAAAAACAGCCTCATTGTACAATGTAATTATGGATTATTTTGCCAAACAGCTTTCAGAATTTCACATGTTTTTATACCTACAGTACTGTAATGACATTTGAATTATGTCAAGATGCCAAATTAGCTGGATATTTTGTACAAAAATTGTCAAAATAACCTCTAGGCAGACATTTACAGCATCTTTAATATTACATACTTCAGTCAAAGAATAGGAAGGTATACCAGAAGTCTCACTCAAGCAAGTATTTGTCTGCATTTTTACAAGCAAATCATCGTCAATTACGCCATCCTGGCTAGTACAACCGGCACTTTGTACCTATCAAAACCAGGGTTTTTAGTTTTGTGTGAGGCTCTGGCTAATGGCAATGAAACCATGGCGATAGATATCATTTCTACCGATAGAATTTACAAATTTGGGCGAGTACATGTAATAGAGACGTGACTAAAGTACAAGCTCTGGCAAATTTCGGTGGGTTGAATGAAAAAGTCTGGTGAAATTCGCTGTTCGCCGCCCTAAACTGAAAACCCTGCAAAACCTGATAAAAACGTCCGGCTGTACTAGCACACGCCCCCCATGGAAATCAGCTTCGGTTGACGAGGTCAGCCTGGGTAAATACTACTACTGCCAGGATGGCATGGATTGGTGTGAGCGAGTTAAAATTTTCATGGACGTAAACACCGAGTTACACTTCTGCTATACTTTCCTATTTTGTGCTTCAGTAGTACAACAATTTCTACTCACTTACCAAACTCATATGGAAATACTTGATGCATTGCAGAACAGTTGGAACATGTTTTAACATAAATTTCCACTGTTTTAAATGGATGCATGTTGGTGATCAAAACTGATCTGCCACGCTTCCCTGGGTGGACTTTTGAATGGCTTAGTTCACCATTACAAAGGTCACACGTCTTCTGCTCTGGTTCAAATGTCCATTGCCAACCTGATGGATGTGCATCCATTTTTCCTGCCTGTTGTATGATGGCCAACGGTATTCTATATGGTAGTGTGCGCTTCATTTTCAAGTCAATTGTTGCTTTGCGTGGCATTAGATTTCCACTATCTTCACTGCTTGATGGTACTTGTTCCAAAGGATCATCTGCATTTTCTGAGCCTTTACAAATGCCTAGGGACAACAACACATGGATGTGTATGCATATTCTCCTGGATTTTTGTTGTTTGCCTCTGACCATTGAAGATTTGCAGTCTTTCGAGCAGCATTTGATCTCTGTGTCAGTTACCCGTACATGGCGATAGCCAGCAGCATCATTAGCAGTAGCTCTGCCAAATACACAATACATGGTGGGAGAAACATGTATTGCCACTGGGAAACCAATTTCTTTGCATTCTGCAGCAAGCTCATTTAAACTTGCTCTTGTGTTTTCATCACATGGGTATAAATCATCAAGGAGCTTCTGAAACGTTTTCAGTGGAGTGGTGCATTCTTGGATCTTTTCCAGATGATTGCAATTAAAATCTTCCACATTCTGGCTGTTGATATGGATAGCTCTCTTCTGCTTGCAGATGTTATGATGGCACATCAAAGATTTATCTTGTTTAATGACTAAACACCGATCATCATGCGTGCTAGTATTGGCAGAATAAATACATACTTCGCCTGTCTGTACAACAAGTGTGCATTTTGGTACCAGGGGACGTTTCTTCTTTTTGGGAACATACGAGCCGCCTAACTCATTGTTACACTCAGGGCAATGGAAAGGTTTGTACCGGCAATGATATTTCCAGCCACAGCCACTGCAAGAGCCTTGACCACGTTGGGTCCAGGTAGCAGTAGACTCCTGTAATTTAAAAATTAAATAAAAACAAAATATTAGTTTTCTAAGGGATAAATATAAAGTGAAATAAATAATATTAAAAATCATGCATACAGACAGGAAACAGTGACATCTGAAATCTTATTAAGCACAACGACATCATGTGGTAGTTTTATATCATGTGGAAAATATCTAGTCTTGAAGTCTGTAAAAGTCTTGAAGTCTGTATGTTTTACTACACTCATGAATATTATGTCTCATGCAAATATGGGAGTGCGTATTGAAAAACAGTCTGCGTGTGTAAGTAAAATCTACAGTAAAAATCATACAGTCATAGACATATATAGACATAGTCATGCACACAGCCAGGAAACGATGACATTTGAAACCTAGCGCGGGTGTGCACAACCACATCATTTGCCAGTCTTTATACTTTATATTTTATAAGACCCAAGTTTTTATATACACGATACCCAATTCGTATCGGCATCATTTTTTACTGTTCCAAGGTGAGTTTAGCACTTAAAATTATAACATAACAGAATTAAACAAAAACATATAGTTGATGTTGCTCTGACGCGAATCCGGTATCATGTATTAAACTGAGGTATTAAACTTACTGTAGACTCACTTTATATACACTTATGACACTACACTCATGAATATTTATATTAGTATGTCTCTCAGTCTCACTATATAAACGTGCAGTAATTTAAAATGCATGCTATATATAATACATATACTGATGGTTTTGAATATGGAGAATCTACAGTTAATAAAATTATGCACACTGCCAAGAAGCAAATTTCATTGACATCGCGCCTTGACTTTTAATATTAAAAATCTAGCACACAAACATACCTTTTCCTTGTCCATCCCGTTTTCAAGCACGTCCTCCACAGAGGCTTTTTTCGTTAGTATTTTTTATGCAGTACTTGTTCTTATTGATACACAGAACTACAGCTTTTTTGTTTCGTTTTTTTTTGCACAGAGCTTGTTCAGTGAGAAGGAAGAGAAATATGAACCCTGTGACCCTGGTTTGATCTGATCTGTGACACTACGATTGGCTACAGGGGGTAAACAATCAGCCAATGAGAACGAACGTTCCGAGCACTGCGACCTTACTGGAATTATACAGTGAGAGTAAAATTATAAAATAGAGAACAGTTGAGTGCATTGCATCTTAGTTAAAGAACTAACTAAGATTTCCAGCTAAAAAGATGAATGATATATACCTTTCTTGATTTTTGAGACATTTCTTTACTGAATTTATGTGGAATGTGGTAGATACAAACATCCTTTAATTGATAAAAAGCATCAAAACACTCTACCAAAATTCTTGACACCAGAATGATGTAGTTGAATCTTTGACTTTTCATGTCATTATGTGATGGTAAAAATTTTAAGTTAGAAATTTTGGAAAGATCTCCCTTTTGTCCTTTATTTGAATGAGAATTTCCAGATACCCTGTTTATTACCATACGATGATTGGTCCAGTGAATGTCCTTATTTTGATTGACCATTGTCATGTTCTTAGTTTTAATTTCCATGTCAATGTTATCAAAGGCAACATTAAAACCTGGGCGACAGTCTGCTTTTTTTTTCTTCAGTTCCTCTTGGGCCTCAATAGTGCTGTCACCACCTTCTAGGCGGTGTATATCATGGTTTTCTTCTGTTATAATGTTCTTTGCAGTCTGAAGCTCGGCATCAAAATCTTTCCCAAGTGTGTCCATCTTTGCCAATATGCTTTGATTTGAACATGTAAGATGCATCTTACAAAATCTTTTAATATTTGACTAAACTGATATAAATATAGAATAAATAATAATACATTACAAGTAATATCACACATCAATTTTCAATAAACAAAATATTTTAATTTATGCTATATAATCCATTAAGTTGCATTGTACCTATTGTTGCATTAACACTCCACCCCACAATTGATTAGTCTCATTTGCAGGTGGAAAGGTGACTATATTCACCAACACTAGTTGCTTGACATGAGACCACTCATTGACAGTGCCATAGCCAGGACCTTGTTTTTTTTTCGTAGGGGGGGGGGGGGCTTGAAGCAAATGCCAAAAGTGCAAGACTGGCTAGGGGGGTCCTGGGGCTTGAATTATAGAGTCCCTGAAATGCAATTTCAAGGACTTTGGTGTGATATTTAGCAGAATTCCACAGATTATACATCGTGCCCCCTCCCCCCTTTGTCCCCCTCTTGTCTAAGCCACTGCTAATTAATCACATCACACCTTTAAATATGGAGATTCAAAAATTACTTAGGGAATTTAAAATGGTCAACAATTAACACAATGACACTGGCAATATAATTTGTTTAATATTATATTCACTTAATAAATTTGAGTATTTAATACTAGGTCAAAATGCAATACACCTTAATTATTTACCTCAAGTGATCCCGTCTTAAGCAGGACTCCGATCACTGCGCCAGTGGCGCTCATATGCCAGTTTCGTTGCTTTAATAAAATCGAACCAGCTAAAGCAACACTTGGAAGCCAATTGTGCTTGTTTATTACTGAAAGATGAGGCACCTGTCATCAAGAAGGCATAAAATACTTTTGATCTTGTCTGCCATTCTTGACATAGTGATTGCATTGAATATTTAACTCATATTCAGATGGCAATGTTTTGTTGCAGGTTTTGCTGGGATACTCGACTGACACAGTCACTTTTGTCCCTTTAATTGGTGAAATGGGTATTGGCAAAGTTGTGTGCTGATTCCTGATATTTTTCGTTTGAATAGGGCTAGAAGTGTTTGGATATAAACAGGGTGGATTTGTATGAATGGCGGGTGGTGGAAATTGATGTATTTGCGTATGACCTCGGGTTAATGTTAATGAGCCAAATGCGTTGAAACCCACTTGACATCTGTGATGTGACTGAGATTGTAGCAAATATAATCCTGGGTTCTGTCCACCGGTGGAAGTGCAAGTCGTGGGATTAGCAAAATTCAACAATTTCACTATGCCGCTTCGTTTCTGCTTCTAATTCAGTGTTGGTCGAACTGAATTGTTGCAAATTATATCGTTGTCATTTGAATAGTTTCTCATTCTTTTAACCCTGAACAAATTGCCATCTTTGGAAAAGTCATTCTTAATGTCTTCCTTCGCATCTTGTAAACTTTTAATATTTTTTTCTAGTCGCAACAAACGCTTATAACATGTTTAGGAACACACAAATAGATCGTTTCCAGTAGAATACAAATTGACATCTATATCGATTGCCATTTTGATCAAACCTTTCAGATCTACTTTGGTTTTCCCAAAAACTTTACTCTTTCATTTATTGGTGGGGTGCTGTTACAGAGAAAGCATTGATGATCACCTCCGATTATTGTTTGTGGAGTTTTATCCATTTTAAGGTTGTATAATAATGCTCATTACAAAACGAATGATAAATAATACTATTTGCACGGGAAATTCATTGTTTACTGCTTACTTGCGGAAGTCATTATAAAAGACAAGCGTTGATTGGCCCACTGCAAAACCCCTAGCAAAATCCTATTGGTTTGGCCTAAATAACGGGAATGGAATGTATTGCTCGGTTGAGCAGACATTCGTTGGCGAGGGTGTGGGCCATAAGGACATCTGCGAGGCAGGCTAGTGGACTTCAAGACCCTTCTTTATTAGTATATGGGGATGATTTTTGGGTTATTTGTATGTGGGCATATATGTATTGGTATGGCCAGGAAACTACCTCCTGAAGCATTCCCTTAGTAAAGAACAGCCGAATGAACTCAAGCTCACAGTTCATACTTCTGGTGAAAGCTTGATCGAAATGGATCCCGGACATGTCGGCGAGGGGCAAAATCTGGGATAATATTCCTAGTGTCAGGATCACCATATCCGTCATGTACTATGGGGCCTAGTGGGGGTGCTACACAGGGAGCTTTCAAAACCTTGGGTCCAAGTAGCTGGGCTTACCTCTACTCATCCCCTATCTTCCCTCTACACTTACACATTTTAATAATGGGGGTTGGGGAGTGGGGATCTCATTGCTCTTAGAACTGCTACTTCCCTGAGGCTATGAAACAGGAACAGAGCAGCTAGGAACAGGGTCAATATCTTCATCACTGCAAGTAAAAACTTTTTATAGACATAATCTATATGGTGCCACTTGAAATTATAATAAGAGCCAAACTAGTAAGATATAAGTATGAACACTTGGTCTATTATGTATGTAACCTACAACCAAACATGTGCTCAAGACACTTCGTACGAAGACATTCGTCTTCGTACGAAGACATTCCATCATTACTAGCACTATCAGTTTGCAAAATAAGGCCAAGAACGTCTTGAGGATGCGATTCAAACAATATAATTACAACACATTACATACAACGCTTGTGTGCGATAATCAGGAAAATTGCTCTAAAAGGTTTGTTTTTCTGCCTAAGCCAATCAAAATCCGTATCTAGGGTAAACAAACACTCCGGAAGTGATTTCTGCAGTCTTTTACCAGGAAACTGTAATGCTTTACCAAGAATTTGGCGTCCGAAGTTGGCCGAACACTTTTTGACCACGAGAATCACCATACTAGGCATAGATTATTTCACAATTTCCCCGAGACTGCTCCGAGCTATAGAATACAAGATGGCAATTCTTTTGGTGCATTTGTCTTTATTATATGTTGAAAAGAAGCAAAGATACAGGCATTTGAATCAGGCAGAACAGGCAAAATGCAACAGCAAAATTGGTATTGCGTCATTTGCATAAATTTCACCGCATTGATCATTTCAAGGTAAGAAATTCGTTTGAAATTGAGCGAGAAACAATAAAATTATACGAATATTTCGGAATATATATCAATCAAGCGGAATTTTTTGGTGATATTTTCATATTTCTACTGCAAATACTCGCGGAGTTCTTTCATATTTAATCTTCCCGTCATATACGTCGGAAATCAATATTGGTGGATGGAATTGAGTTAACTCGAAGTACTAAAACAACCTTGAGTTCATTGAGTTAAGCCCCCGGCGAAAAAGGGCGTGGCAGGGGCTTAACTCGAAAAATACCTACCCCCTTAATTTATGTTTATTTCGGGGAAAAGAATTTCAGATATAAAAGCTCAATGAGCAAAAACACGAATTTAGTGGTGTGTTAGTGCACTGGACTCCACAATACAATTACAATACAATTTTATTATATAAACATAAGTGTTATATAGAGTTTTTGGCCACTGAGAAAAATCGTATATGAAAAAACATAAAAAATACAATATTTTTACATGTGAAAATATCATTTTTGCAAGCCAATCAAAAAGCGTGTAAAAATGTTTGACCAATCAGAGAACTTGTTGTAAAACGCATTGCCACGGATATTTTATTGTTTTTTTTTTCCTTTTTGGCTGACAAAAAGTTTTTTGTCAAAACATTTTTTACCGACATGGCTAGAAGATTTGTGAGTATTACAGACAACGTCGAAATATTATTGAAGGAGAAAAAAATGAAGATAAAAAAAACCAGAGCAAGATGTCTCACTTATCAAGTCATTTATTGCAAGTGAAAAGCAAACAAACGAGCCAGTTGAAATAGAAAAAGTATCGCCAGAAGTACTAGGTAGTTACCACAGAAAGTTTCTTAGCTGTAAGAAAAAAGGACAGTGATGAATTTGAGCCGACTACTCTTTGTGGTTTTTTGTCTTCAGTTGAACAATATCTCAAGAAACATTGCTATAGTGAATCTGTTATAACAAGACATCATTTCGCGAGAACAAGAGACACTCTCAAGTCGAAACAGAAAGAACTTAAACACAAAGGAAAGGGAAATAAACCACATGAGATGGGAGTAAACAATGATGGGAGTAAACAAACTCAACTCGTTGATGAAGGATTGTGCAGAGATGGCAGGAATATTGGTCTTGACAAACGCATTACTAATCACAGTGCTCGAAAGACACTGGTACAAACACACTTAAATCGTTTCTTTCACTCTGTTCTCAATTTCGGCACTAATGAACCTCCTGATTTTTCTCCAATCAACATACCAGAAAAGCAGCTTAGTAATATTCAGTTAACAGTTTGCGAAGTGTCTGAGGTGCTCCATAGCTTGGACGCAAACAAAGCTAGCGGTCCAGATAATTTGCCAAATAGAATTCTGCTAAGCGTTGCTGATGAAATTGCACCTTCAATTTGCCGTCTTTTCAATCTTTCACTATCAGAAGGCATAATGCCTAAACGATGGAAACTTGCTAACATTACTGCCATCTTTAAAAAGAATGATCCGACAATTCCATCGAACTATAGACCTATCTCTTTACTCGATACGTTGTCGAAAGTTTTAGAGCGGTGTGTTTACAATCACTGTTATGAACATCTACACTCTATGTTCCATTATCTCCAACATGGTTTCCTGAGAGGGCGGTCCACGAATACGCAGTTGTTGGTAGTATACCATCAAATTCTGGAATGTATTGCTAGTGGTCAAGAAGTAGATGCAATTTACCTGGACTTTAGCAAAGCGTTCGATAAGGTACCACACAATCTGCTTTTATTAAAACTTAAATCGTATGGTATTTCTGATCCTACCCTCTCATGGTTTGGCAGTTACTTATCGGAAAGACATCAACGAGTGGTTATCAACGGACATTCTTCTGACTGGCTCCCTGTTACATCGGGCGTCCCGCAGGGGTCTATCCTTGGGCCGCTTCTTTTCTTAATATACATTAACGATCTACCCACCTATTTAGAAAACAATTCATCAATTGCTCTTTATGCGGACGACTCCAAACTTTTCCGCCCTATCTATTTGCCTAACGACAGTGTTTCCCTTCAGAAAGATCTCGACAGCCTCAGTCACTGGGGCGAAAACTGGGCAATGGCATTCAATGTTAGTAAATGTAAAGCAGTACATTTTTCAAGGAAGAAATTACCTACAGAACATCACTTAACGGGTAAAAACTACTATCTGGCAGGTAACCAATTAGAAAATGTTGTTAACATACTGGACCTTGGAATTACTATCACCAACAACCTTTCATGGTCTAAACACATCGAAGAGATTGTCTCTAAAGCTAACAGAACCCTTGGTCTTGTTAAAAGATTGTGTGGGGATATCAAGGACACAAACACCCGGAAGCTTCTGTATTGTACTGTTGTTAGACCAAAGCTTGAGTATTGTAGTAGTCTTTGGTCTCCTTACACAGGTAAACATCGTTTACTTATCGAAAATGTTCAGCGAAGAGCTACGCGGTTTATTCTTAATTACCCAAAAGATATGTCATATCCGTTGAGGCTGCAGAAACTACGCCTTTTTCCACTGGAATTCAGAAGAGAGATTTCGGATTTAACTTTATTGTTTAAGTCCAGAAATGGGCTAATAACTATGGACGTGAATAAGTACCTGAACACTTACGTTTATTGCTATCGGACACGTAATTACGACCCAAATAACTACAACTTGATTATTAAGCACAAACAAGACTATTATAGAAAGTCGTTTTTCATTAGGGCTACAGAACTCTGGAATACGTTACCTTCTAATTTAAAATCTTGTAATTCAATTACTTTATTTAAGACTAAAATCACTAACCTATACTTCGATAAATTAGCTACGTATTGCTTACCTGCGTGAATATTTCTTAGTGTATTGTATTGATGTATAGGGGTAGGATGGCAACTGGGACATTAGTCCTGTATCTAACTCCTGCCAGTCGTCTGTTTAGTAAACTTGTAACTTGTTATATATGTATGTTATTGTAATTTACTGGCGAATTAATTAAACTAAACTAAACTAAACTAAACAAGACAAAAACGTTCCGCCATCTCAAATAATTCAGGTTACAGGCCACAAGAACTTGCAGTCTGTAAATAACTATAGCACTCTAAGAGAAAAACACCAAGACAATATTTCTACCATTTTGTCCTCAAGCTTGTCACACACGGCAAATTTTGCAGAAATTCGTTGGCAAACTTGAAACAAGTTGTGACACTTGAAATGGAAACCATTCAACATAGCCACGAAAGTCTCTACCTCATCCAACACGCTGTTTCACGGCAATTACATAACTGGAGGAACATTCAATGTGCATGTTGCCTCCAATTCTTCAGCGGAGCACGGTGGGCATAAAAGACAGCGAATTTGGCCAAGTAGATATAACTTTCTCTCGTTAGTTTGGAATATCACGAAACTCCCTCACAGGATAGAACTTAACATTCCTAGAAATCGTATGTTTTTTGTTTTTCGATTTTGTTACATTTTGGCGGGAAAATGACGTGCCAACTTTGGCGCCAAAAAAATAAACACGAGCTAAGAACATGCTAGTAACTTTTTCGAAAAGATTGTCCTATAAGGATCTCAAAATTCTAAAAACATTAAAGATACCACAAAGCAGTGCGAAGATATGGCGATTCAAAGTTCGAAAAAAATCTATTTTTAGTAACAAAATGGCTGATTTTTCAATAAAAATAGAACTTTGAATCGCCATATCTTCGCACTGCCTTGTTGTATTTTTAATGTTTTTACAGTTTTGAGATCCTTATAGGACAATCTTTTGGAAAAAGTTACTAGCATGTTCTTAGTTCGTGTTTAATTTTTTGGCGCCAAAGTTGGCACGTCATTTTCCCGCCAAAATGTAACAAAATCGAAAAACAAAAAACATACGATTTCTAGGAATGTTAAGTTCTATCCTGTGAGGGAGTTTCGTGATATTCCAAACTAACGAGAGAAAGTTATATGTACTTGGCCAAATTCGCTGTCTTTTATGCCCACCGTGGAGTCCCACACAACGGTCTCACAGAGTCCAAAACGCAAAAGGTTTTGTTGTCTTCTTCCTTTGGAAAGTGGCGACAGCAGTCAAGGTGACAGTCAGAACAATTAGCTACAAATCTAATTATGTTTGCTATGACTTTATGAATTTGTAATGATTCTTTATACTTCACAGTTTCCGTTCATTTTTGATTTACTAGTTTTATATACGTACATTTCTGCACTTTGATATGCTTTTAAAGAGACATTGACAGCATTTTTAACTGAATGTTGTTAATATTTGAAATGTGTCGCTATTTACATATTTGTTTTGAGTTTCGTATATGAATTGTTGTTTGTTTATAATAATAATTTGTTTATATAATAAACAGAATAATACATGGGTGCTTGGAAATACCAGATTTATTTCTCATGTTGAACATGATATCTCACTCATTCGCTGCGCTCACTCGCAAGATATCATGTTCAACACTCAAAATAAATCTGGTATTTCCACGCACTCATGTATTATTCTCTATTTATTTAATAAAATAAAATACATAAATACTATGACCTGCAAATAGCAATAGCTAATCAGAGGTGGGCCAATTTGGCAAAATTCCAAACATCACTGTTATAACTTATATTTTAATCGTTCAGTCTCTTAAACATGAAATAATCAATATATCTATAATCATTTATGTCTAGGCTTATATACAGTAATTATATAGTAATTTACATATTCAAATTCTAACTAACAATATAACTCATGCATACTATTGCACAACATCTCTCTCTACCTTTTTTTAGTAAAGATGCTCTTTACTATATAATATTATATACTCTAATAAATGTTATTTTTCTTCTTTTGTCTCTTTTTTCTCTAACTATTAATTAAATTAATGATTATAATTGTTTTACCAAGTTCTCTAATATAATGTTCTCCAATGTGTCCACTAAGTACTCTAATTATATATTGTTTCACTAAGTTATCTAATTATACTCAACTATTTACAGCGGTCTTACCCATTACGACTATATGAGTCACACCCACTTTAGGTCAAGTGTCAGTTTGCTCAAGCAGCTTTACGAGCAACATGTCTCGCACAAACAATACCGAAGAAGTCGCACAAGTTCCACGGCAAGGACATGATGCCAATGTAATTCAACAACTCGTTCAAGAAGGGGCAGGAGCGGCAATTTCACAAGCTACTCCACCGGACCAAGAGGTATATTTGCTGTTTAATTTGCCATGTATTGTCTTTTGCAACTTTCCGCATGCTATATGTTCCTGCTAACGATCTTTTGTTGTCGTGCAGCTTTTTTCTTGCTCGTTGTAGCATGCCATTCGCTTATTATTCCTTTATTTTATGTGGCCTTTGCAAAACACTATAACTTATAATTATAAGACTACTGATCTCCTTTCTTTTGTTTTCGTGCTTTCTTTACTAAGTTTCCCGGCATTTTCGAGCAAGATTGTTCGCTTTTCTGTTTCTCGCGTTTGCGTATATCGGTAGTTTGCACATGATTAGCTAGTCCTTGTATTCTTAATTTTTCCCAAGAATGTGTCCCCGAGTTGTGATTTATTTAATTTTCTTTTATGCAGTTTTGCCCATGCATTTAAAATGAGTTCATGCGTGGCTTGTTCTGCTTCATTTGGATGCGTTGTTTCATATTTTACCGCCACATTGCTGTTGTTCCGTTCCTTTACTCGTGCATATGGCAAGCCTAACAGTATATTCCTATTCACATGTATGTATCATTTGTTTCTTCACACATATTTGGCCGATTTTGCATTGAATTCTGTTTTCCTGCATTGAGATGTTTACTTAATTTGTTTGCTCATGCAGATGTTATTGGCTTTGATTTATATTTTCCTGCATTGTCATTGACATGTTCTTCAATTTGTTTGCTCATGCGGATGTTATTGGCCTTGAGTTATATTTTCCTGCATTGAGATGTTTATTCCATTTGTTTCCTCATGCAGATGTTATTGCCTTTGAGTTATATTTTCCTGCATTGAGATGTTTATTCCATTTAATTGTTTGCTCATGCAGATGTTATTGGCCTTGAGTTATATTTTCCTGCATTGAGATGTTTATTCAATTTGTTTCCTCATGCAGATGTTATTGCCTTTGAGTTATGCACCAATCATTTGTTTCCACCACCGAGGGCGGGCAACCCTGGGGAATTTGACAACAAATTCTTTCCCGAGAGACGGCCATTTGACAACAAACTGCAGCCCCACACTGGGGCAATTGACAAACTCGGTTTAATACCCAGACATCGGTTTGAGGCGCGTTTGGAGACTGGGGCGAGCACATGTATATTTCAGTGTGAAAGCGTTTTTTTTTTAAATAGCAAACGACTTTTTTCAAGATGGAAAACAAATCAAGCTCTGACATAGAAAGTTTTTTTAAGGAAAAAAACCTTTCAGATGTGTCAGAGATATTCAAAGGTTGGTTTATTCAAATTTTCTTTATATATTTTGGTAAAAAACCCAGTTTTTAATATAGTTTTATAATAGACAGAAAACAACTTGATTTTTTTTGCTGCTGTGTTTTTTTAATAGTTGAAATTTTATGCAGTATTTTGAATTTTTCTTTTATATAGTTTTAATAATATGATGACTTTGATATTATATCGCTTTTCTGTTAATATGTTAAACGCTTTTAATAAAATTTTTACTAATAAAATTCTATAAAATTATAGTTAAACATGATTTATTAATAATATACATTTGTTGTACACAGATAAAACAATGTCTATTCTCATAACAAAAAGTTCAATGTTTTTACCGAGAATGTTCAATGTTTGTGATGATCATTTGATGGTTTCAATTTGCTCAGCCATTCAGCTTGGAGCTGGTTGAATGTGATTGGATGATCAGATTAAAACCTGTCCAGTGCTCTTGACAAATATTGACGATTCTCACACGAATAGGTAATGCTTTCATCAGCGACAATTCAGCCTTAGTTGCAAGCGATGGTATCAGACCTTCTAACTCTCACACATTTTGCGTGAGACACACACATTTGACATATTTCTCACGCTCACACGCATAAACACTATTTTCTCACGCAAAAAAGCGAAAAAATAGGAAGCGATCCAACTTTTGTTTTAACGCTTCTCTTCGCCAAGCAAATATTTCTATTTAGCTGAATCAGTAGCTATAAAATAAAGTATTTTTCGAGCAGTTGCTGTGTAATGTATAGTGTTGCGTAAGTTGCACTATTGCGCAAATTAGTAAATTGACACTTAGTTAATGAGGGATTTCCTCAGACAACGCTTTATGTAAAATATTACATATAAACTATAATCTTATTAATTTTGCGTGATGAATTAGCATTATTCGCGCCTGGGCATGATAACGCATTAAAAAGTAGGTAAATCTGCTACTTATGAATACAACAAAGCACATACACACTACCTATAACTCATTAACATTTAAATTTAGAATGACTTTTACTTTTTAAACAATATTAACGAAAGAAAAAATAAATGAAACTTATAATTGCATGCAGATGTCCAAAAAGTGTTACTTTTGAGATTTTTTAATGCCATTTTTGTACCTTTAGAATTATGTTAATCTTCTCCCAAAATGCAGGAAATGGCATTTCAGAGACTTAAGATTTAAAAATTTTCCGGGGGGGCATGCCCACGAAAGTTGGAAGGTCTGTGGTATTAACAAGAAAGTGAAAAGCTGAGTGACAGCTGAGTGGTCAAAACATTTTTGATACTGAATTAAAAAACTAAAATATAACCAACGTACTGTGCAACACAGCATAAATAGTTGGGGGGGGGGGGCTGATTTTTACTGTTTTTGTACTTTACATCCATGATGCTTTTATGCAGCCATTTTCTATATGTATAGGTAACAGTATGGTTTCGAGTGCGATTTGGAAAAAAACATGCACAAGTGAGTTTTTCACAACCTCGTGCCCAGGGTGATTCCTCTTGGCAAGGGGAGAAAAGACCCTGGTCACGTGATCTGCTAAAATCTAGCAGATTTTTAATTAGCAATCCAAGATGAAGTCAATAAAATTTGTTATTTGGATAATTTTTATAGTTTAATTTATAATTTGCAATGCTTTTTGTATGATTGTCGTAAAGGAATCCAAGATAGTTAATTAGAAATCTTCTAGATTTTAGCAGATCACGTGTCCAGCGTCTACCAGGGTCTTTTCTCCACAACTATCGAAATTGCACGAGTCCGAAGGACAAGTGCAATTTGAAATCTTTGAAAAACTCATGAGTGTATGTTTTTTTTCAAATTGAACGGGAAACCATACCAGTAATTATTAATAATATACATGAAAAAATTATGCAGTCACGTGCGTAAGTCACATTTAGAAATTAAGAAGTTAAAAAAATTAAGAAACTTAAAAAATAAAAAATCAAGAAATTTGCATTGTATTTCTTTTTTTGCACTGTATTTCATTTTTTGGCACTGTATTTCGAAAAAATTGCACTGCTCTTAGCCAATCAGAATCGAGAAATTTTTTCATGTATATTAATTATTATTATTAATTTAACTAATGGTGTATGCTGAATGCTGATAATTCCGTTGCTCTGTCATGTATCCATTCATCACATTCATGACGTCCACAGTCAAATTGTAAAACTGCAAAGTTCATATCCAATGTTACTTTACTAGCCAGCATGGCTGGCTCTTTTATAGGGCAGATAATTGAAGGAGAGCCTGCCCGGAAGCCCTAGTAAAATTGATGCTCTCGGCAGCCAGCTGCCGAGAATTGTGATTGGCTGAATTTACGTTGACCACAGGTTGATTGACATGTTACGCTAATTTATTCAACAATTTAAAAATAAATACAGTAAAAACAAACAGCATCGCTATATTAACATGTAAACCTGTCGGCTAAAATATAAAATTCAAAAGTGTAAAATATAAACATATACCGGTATCTAAAAAGGAATAAGGCAAGCCATACTGCTATTACTGCATATGTCGTAAGATTTTACCGTATGGTCACTATAGTATAGAGTATAAAACCTTGGCTATCCTTGCCTTGTCTATATTTTGCTGGCTGGCAAATTACGATTATATAAAATAATAATTCCCCATTGTGTTTAATACAGCATAATAACTCGAAGCTCTCTTTGGAGCATTTAAAATACATTTGCCTGCCAACGTGTATAACACGAGAAGGGTTCTATTTACTTTTCCTAAGTCATTTATTATATTTAATACTGCAATATTTATAACTGTATTACAGCCATACAGGTGCAAAGCATAATATAATTTTGAACGGTCTTCGTCTACTATTAATTTCCAGACAAAGTCGAAGGGCCTTCACTCGAAATGCCGACGTTTTGCTTGTATTTCCAGGCAGTTGAATCGCTATCCATCTATTGTAAAAAGTTTATTGAAAGCATGTAGCGCAGGCTATAGTAAATATGCAACAATTGACATTTCAAGTCATCATTTATACAAAACTAGTTCGAGTGGGCGGTGTTAATATGGAATATTAACTAAGTAGGCGGTATCAATTTTACTAGGGCTTTCGGGCAGGCTCTACTTATAAAAGAGCCAGCCATGCTGGCTATTACTTTACCTGTATAGACTACTTACACTGTTAAAATAAACGTCTTATAAATGTAGATGAGAGGGGAGGGGTGAGAGTAAATCACGGCATATTTATATGCACTTTATGGTGGGAGCAACAAGAAATCATTGCATTTTGTAAACAAATTTCATCATAAATACCTAATGGTTTTCAAAACTTGAGAATTAGAAAATGATATTGATGGAATTGCTTTGTCTCGGATGATGAAAGAAGAACACAAGTGTTGTCTGAAAGAGCTAATAGCAAAGATGGGTCCAAGATTGAGGGCAATAGACGTAATAGAAAAAGAGTATGGAAAGAAGACTGTGAAACATGGTCCTAGCAGAGATTCAAATAAAGTGGAAAATGTTGCATTTAAAGGACAAATGAAGATACAGATGGAGGGTGGAGTTTAGAGAAGCTAGATGAAAAGGTGTTTCAGAAACGTATCAATGATTTCAATAAATGGTCGCTAATAGAACATACGTCGCAATTGCATGGCCAGGGGGCAATTGCGCATTTTAATTAAAGTGCATTTGACGAGTTTCACTGTTCCGTCATGGGGACAAACTCGAAAGTGAATTTACGTTTTGGGAGTGAGTTAGTTGTTCACTATACAATGTGTATTAGCATGGCGTTTGGAGGTATATACACACAAGTTCAGGAGCGCACATTCAAAAAAAATTTGGGGGGGGGGTGTCCTATTTTCCAGGACTGACTTTTGTAGTATTTGTGTTTGATAAGAAAAGCCAACTATTTTAAGGCCCGAGGAAATTTTTAAATTTAGAGTCTCTGCAATGCCATTTCCTGGACTTTGGGGAAGATTTAACAGAATTCTGATAGTCAGAACAAAGCATTTTAGTATGTCAAAATTTACAATTTAGTAGTACTAAATGGCCGAAGGCGTATTTAATTAACTATTATATGTTGAATAAGTTGCAGGAAAGTGTGGGTAATACCATGGATTGTAAAATAACATGTACTTTATTATCCATGGTAATACCTTCATTCTTTGCAGTTTGTCACAGATTAAATGATAAAGGTCTGCATGACATGCTACGGCCCTGTGGTTATTGCACAAAGTCGAGTAACTATGTAAAAAAATAGTATACAGGGGTGTCAAAAAGTAGACCGTTAGAAATTAACCTGTTGTTCTAATTTGAATTTATAGCCAGTATATTAGCCACAAGCCCACAGTATTATTAAAGAATAGTACATTATTAAAGTCAAGAGCTCAACTATAGACAATAATGGTTCAAAATAAATCTATAGTGCGTGCCCACATGATATTCAACTAAGAGTATTAAATATCTGACAACTCAAATTGTTTAGAAAGTTATAGCAATTAGCAATAGATTTCAGGCAGTCAAATCAGTTTTTAAATAGTTCACCTGCACAGCTTATTTGATCGAAAAATGACAATCGGAATTACTTCACACAAATAAGGCGTTCTGTTTTGGCAGCTCGGCCCAACGATCAACAACAGTGTATGGGTCCATTATATTGTATCTGTGAGATCCTTTTCACATCCAAGAGTGATTAGATCCCTTAGCCTTCTTTCTTTCATCACTGAACGAATGGCAGTCTTAAACAATTTAAGCTTCGAACTCGAAAAGCTGCGTGTTCACTCGATGCGGATGTAATCGGCTATCTATGTGTATAAATGCTATACACTGCCACATACCTCGGTAACCTCGCTTCGATTTATTAGAACGTAGACTCCTCCAAAATTGCGGATGGACTCATAGACAGGGATAGTATTCCAAGAGTTTAAATAAACATTTAGTGTTTCAGAACTTCTGCTCTAAACGTTCGGGGAGCCAAAATTTTTTTATGGATTTTGAGTGCGAGCGTTTTGAATTTCTAGATTCACTAGAACGCTATTTCACGTATTTTAGGATGAGGTTGGAAGAAAAGTTACAACCACAAAAAGTCGCCTAATTTTGTTAGATTCCATTTCCAAAATGTCCACCTATTTCTTTTTTCGACACAAAATGATGTTTTTTAGATTTTAGCCGGACCGACTTTTTTTCGTCCCATACAGGATTCGGGACCGACCTTTTAGATATATTTCACAAAACATGGGGGTGTCACACCCCTCCACACCCCCCCCCCCTAATGTGCGCCCCTGTGCAAGTTAGCAAATAATTTTCTCGCTCCCATAGGGCATTCTCAAATAAATATTTTGTAATATATTGAATATTTGTTCTGTTAGAGGTTTAAGTGGCAATTTATGTTGTACATATGTTCGCAAATTTTCACCGTTATAATTTCTAAGCCAGTATTTCATATAATTTTGGTGTAGGAATTAGAAAAGTTGCAAAGTGCCTGTGATACCTCAAAAATTAATCTTCAGGAAGCATAAAAAATATACGGGTTAAAAAATAACAAAAGGCCACTTACAGAATATGAAAAGGCTGTTAATACTGCTTCCTTCAGCCTTGCTGAAAAGGACCCCGCGTTGATCGCAAGTAGAGAGAAGTTGTATGGAATGGCAAGGGCGGTAGTAAGAGAAGACGGTTAGAAATGTAAAAAAGGCACATCCCGCTCCAAGCATTTGAAACAAAATCAGGACGACAAACCAAAAAAATGGTCGAGGACCACGTTCGCAGAACGCATAAATCGACTACAGCAATATTTGAATTTTGGGATAGGTAATAGGACCTCTACATGCGTCTTGGACCTGTGGTTTACTTATATTTTATAATCATTATTCATCCAATGGATTTCTTATATTTTCAACGGGGTCTTGAAATAGACCATCCCGTGAAATATTGTGTATAAGGTGCACGCGTGTAATGCGTGCGTTGTTTTGTGTATTTTTATGTAAACCATTGTAGAAATATCGTAATTGAAGTTAGCGTGTATTGTATGTAAAGTTATTACTTGGTAATTGATAGGTGTGATTTGATGATGCACATGAATTTATCACAGGGCCGGATTTGACCATACTGCGATATTGCAAATTAGGAATTGGTAATAGGGCTTGCATTATTTTAATTTTGGAATAGGTAATAAGACCTCTACATGTGTCTTGGACCTGTGGTTTACTTATATTCATTACACATATATATACACATATACACACATATACATATACATATACACACACATACACATATACATACATATACACACATATACCCAATGGATTTCTTATATTTTCAACGGGGCCTTGAAAGTAGACCATGCCGTGAGACCCCGTATAAGAGGTGCACGTGTATAACAGTGCGTTGCATATCCTTATATGTGAATCCATTGTAGAAATATCGTAATTGACGTTGGCATTTAATGTATGTAAAGTTATTACTTAGTAATTGATAGGTGTGATTTGATGTTTTAATTCTGGAATATAGGTAATAGGACCTCCACATGCATCTTGAACCTGTTTACTTGTAATCATTATTAATCTAATGGATCTCTTTCATTCTCAACGGGGTCCCGAAAGTAGACCATGCCGTAAAATATTGTATAAAAGGTGCACGCGTATTATGCGTGCGTTATTTTGTATCTTTTTATGTAAATCCGTTGTAGAAATATCGTCACTGAAGTTAGCATGTACTGTATGTAAAGTTATTACTTGGTAATTGATAGGTGTAATTTGATGATGCACATGAACTTATCACAGGGTCGGATCTGACCATACTGCGATATTGCAAATTTAGAATTGGTAACAAGACTTGTGATTTTGTGTTGTGTAATTTTCCTGTAATGCTGTATCTTATTTGAATAAATGGTTTTCTAAAATTTATCTTAACAGGGTCTGGAAAGTAGACCATGCATTGAGATATTGTAAACTTAGTCCTTGTTTTACACTGTGTACTGTTTCCGTAATCTGTCCATCACATGTAGGTGCGTCTATGTGAGGATTGTAGATTTATTCCTTAGTATTTAAGTATATATGCAGTTAGATTATGTACATACTCACAGGGTCTTGAAAGCAAACCATGCCGTGAAATATGTAATGAGGCCTATAGTTTGTGGCCTGTATCTAACTATTGATAGGTACAATAGGTAGATGTTGCACAACCTACCAAAATTACGGCTTATAGAATCGGGCAGAACATTTAGTTATGCCACAAGGGTAAACCTAATTACATGTCCTAGAATAATCATCCCAGATGGTTTACAAAAAACAACAAAAAAACAAACACGTGGTGTCCAGGATCTGGCAAAAAGTTTTTATGACTGCACAGTGTGGCAGTCATTACGTAGTATATACTATATAGATTAATACTTTTAAATAATATATATAATGATTGATTGTCCAAAGCAGTTCGAAGCAGTCCGAGCCAGTTTCGCGTTTCAACGTGGTATGGATTATATTGGGTCAATATCATTAGCAATGACTACAGAGAAAGGCGAACATGGGTCGAACGGCATATAGAATGGCCTTGGACAAACCATCCCATTGGTTCAACAAAAAATAAAAAATAACATCAAGGAGATAAATGGATGGTATTGGAGAGATGTTGTGATTTTAAATGGAACATTGAATAATGACGTGACTGTGTATTGGGGCTATAGCAAACCTCACAGAGTCTTGGGTTGACCGTGCTGGTGAGGTATGTTAGCGGATGGTATATATCATATGGAAGATACAGTATATATAGTTGTGTTAATTGTGCTTTTTCATTTGTTTGGCCCTCGACGCGTTTTGGTCTCATGACCTTCATCAGGAGGGGCTTTAGGGATGGGAGTCGATGTTTTGTTGGTTGTTGGCGTGAAAAATGGCAGTGAGAGTGGTGTTGTTCAAAATGAGTGATGGAGAAATGGTGATTAGTAAAATGATAGAAAACATTAAAACAATGAAAAATTGATGAATAGAAATGGAACACAGGAAAATCTAAATTTAACTATCTTAATATAAAAAACTTACTGAATGAATTATTTGGTGGTAAACCGCATCGTCCAGCCATTCTACTGTTGGAGTTGATTAATACAATTCCCTGTGCGTTTTCCTTTTATTTTTGGAAAAAAATTTTTTTGTCGGTTCGCCAAATGTGCGTGTACAAGAATGCATGGGTGTTGGGCCCCTGAAGTCCAGTTTTAGTGAGTTGTTCTTGAATAGTTGACGTCATGTGGTTTGATGGCATGCATGTTTGTCAAGTGTTAATTAGGTATCAGTTTGTATGTATAATTAGTGTGTGATGTGCCGTGGGCTAAACTGATAACCAAGGAATGTGTAAAAAAAAAAAAATAATAATTTTTTATTAGTCATAAGTGTGAGAATTGTCTGTCCGCCCCCAGATCTAGTTGGTGAGAGAGGGAATTTCATTGTGACCAGGCACATGCATTGAAGAAAAACAAAAAACAACAAAAAAAACCCAACAAAAAACATAAACATAAGAAAAACATAAACATCTGTAAAAATATTATTAGTACTATGTTCATCATGATGTGGATATATATTATACTAATTATATACAAATTGGCGTGTGTGTGTAGTAGGATTTATATACACATTGTGGTGTATACATTGAGTGTATGTATTAATTAGGATTTTATTTCCAATTGTTTAAACCTTGATCTGTGATGTTATTAGGGATGCATTTGTCCCTATAGTTTGTAGCTATTTGATTTATAGCGATATTTATTTGATTTGTAGCTATTTGGGCGTAGGAAGTATGGGATGCGGCGGCAATATTATATGGTGGTGGAATATCTTTCGCCCCCGAAAAAGTTAAGTTGCCTATTCTTTGTTACCAAGTAATAATCCTTCTCAAATTCATTAATAATTCATGAGCAATTCAGCCAATGATAATCACCTATTTGATCACAAGATGCTATTTAGATAACCCGGTGAAACTTGATGAAAGTCACTAGTGTTTTAAGATGCTATTTAGATAACCCGGTGAAACTTGATGAAAGTCACTAGTGTTTTCATCAAATATCTTAATTACGCATGCAAATTTACTTGAATAGAATTCCTAATTACGTTGTGCTTGGTTAAGAACTCTATTCAATTCAGCAAATGAAAACATTGCGTTACGTCTCGATTCATTTGAGAAGCCATATAAACAACTCGAAACACTCGCTCTCGATCATGTTAATTTATTACATCTTTTGGTATAAGCCTGAACTAGCCTACCAAAAGAGGTAGATAAAGCCCTGTTTACACTACGCTCAATTTTTGGTACCATACTACTCTTTTGGTTCTTGGACTACCTTTAAATTTCTCCTGCAACATTTTGATTGGATACTAAATATAAACTTCGTTGTGGGTGGAAAGCGATTGGATTAATTAAGGTTTGTGTCAGGCTATTATTTGTAAAATAGAACCGGATACTTAGGTTATGATTGCTATGCATTGCGATGTTCAACATAAGTCGATGTAGGGTCGCTATGTAGATCGTTGTAGCGCCATCATCACTTGAATTGCCAGAACTCGACTCTCCTTCTATCAAACGCTGTTTATTCATACAAGTTTCATATATTTCAGCATGAGAATGGCAGGCTTCAGAACAATAGTTCCCCATGCTTTTGCATGGACATGCATTTCTTCCATACTCTTTCAGGCATGCTCCGCATCAAGAACAAACTGAGACTTTGTTAGTATTCGGCATTAAGGCGTTCTGCTCGATTTCAGATTGCTCAATATTGTCCAAATTAAAACTTCATCCATATTAATGAGAATATCTACCCAAGAATTCTCGCTTGTGAATGAATGCCGACGAGTCAAGCACTACAACATGTGCTACTTCATGTAGTTTCACTATTTGGATTCACAAAACGTAAACAAAACACATATGCGCAGATAATATGCGCAGAAGGACTGTACCACATCTTTAGTGTGATTGGTTGTCTTCAGGTTGTGGGGAGAAACCTTGACACAAAGAGCGGCTGCAAGAGAGACTAACAATTTAGAACCTCCCAGGCTTTAAAATTATATTTTAATTTAAATGGTTATCTAGTGTATAATGTATCTGGTTCTTATTCTAGTTGATTGGTTGATTGAATAAATATGGCATATGTGTTGATCCAACAAAAAAATACACCATACTAGATGATGTTGGCAAGGAATTCATTGACAAAGCTGTAGAAATGGTGAAGTCTGGTCAGCAGATTGTTTATGTTTTGGACAACATAGACTGGGAAGAGAAAGCTCACGACATGAGAACAGATGCCCAACACAAAAGTGTCCATGCATTGGCAACAAGCATTGTGTTCAGCAGAATCCCTATTGGGGGTTTACCTGATACTGGTCCTCAACAGGATCTGAAAAAATGCAATGTTGCTCAGTTGGTTAAACTCAGTCAAGCATATATGGAGTCGATTAGAATTCGCTACAGGACACTTTTAGCAAAACTTTTATTTGAACACTTGCCTGCTTTTGACAAGTTTAAAGGCTGTGTTTCCCAAACAACTGATTGTCATCACGCTAAGGAAATGGCAACAAAATCTAATGTTGTCATTATGCCTATTTTAATGAAGGATGAAAATAAGTATTCAAAGTGTGTGGAGGTCCTAGATCAACTTGAAAAATGGACCTATGAAATTTATTCTGCAGCTGGACTCTGTACCTCCAGTGTTGCTCCAGCACAGTCCACCTCTCTACCACCTTCCAGTGATACTATGGTGCCCACAATAGGACATAGCTCGAGGCTTGATCAACCTGCATCCCATGTACCACCCACTTCTTCTGAGGATGACCCTTTGAAAGGTATTAAAATACCATGCTACGGTGATCAGCTCACTCATGTTCGTTTTGCTGGTGCTAAAGGCCTCCGTGCAGGATGTCACTCAACAAAGCAGAGATTAGACCATATCTATCCTTCCTGCATTGTGGACTGGCATACTAAGAGGAGTTTTCTGAAGGTACTGTACATATATTGTGATTGTAATTGTAAACATCAGTGTCCTTAAACTTTTTATATTATTTTAAATAATAGATCAGGTGCTGTTTGATTACAATTTCATCCAAGATCAAGGCTGGCGAGACCCATCACTGGGTCCCCAAGACATATCCATAACCACAGGCCTCCTCCCTCCAGCAGTTATCTGATAACCAGCAATTATACAATGACACTTTTCTGCTGGCCCCCCATGGATGCTTCAGGGCCCTAGTCCAGTCAAAACAGAAATACCTACACACTTGTATTATAGAAATTGTTGTATTATTGAAATTGAGGGCTACAAGTTTATTAGTGCTTTTGTACTATTACGTACTACCCTCTTGAAATAAAGACTCTAACTAAATGTTCTGAGGATGCCGAAGTCTTGCAGTCTGACATAAATGCTATTGACTCTTGGTGCAAGGAGTGGCAGATGTCTTTAAATCACTCTAAATGTGGTCTTAATCGCATTACAAGAAATTCTCAACCGATCCATTACTCCTACAACGTGGATGGCAACTTACTTAAGACAATCAACAAACAAAAAAATCTTGGTGTTATAGTCTCTGAAGATCTCAAATGGAGCCTTAATGTACAAGCAGTCTCAAATAAGGCCAACAAAATGTTGGGGTTTGTGAAAAGATCGTGTTTTCATGCAAGTGACCCTAAAGTACAAAAGACCCTGTATCTAGGCCTAGTAAGAAGCCAGCTTGGTTACTGTAGCCAAGTGTGGGCACCTCAAACCACCCATGACATTCAAACCCTGGAACGAGTTCAGCATCGCAGCATGAAGTTTATTTTATTTCTTCCATTTCAAACAGATATTTCATACCCTAAAAGACTTGCTAAGCTCAACATTCTCCCAATTACCTACTGGCATGAATACCTGGATCTTGTTTATCTATTCAAATGTATTTATGAAAATTCCGACAAAAATGTGAAACTAAATTCACCAAATCGTGGAACCAATTTATTAACTTCTAATGTTTGTAACCCAGAATTGCTGCACACATACAAGACTGTTTGTGTCAAATGTAACAAAGCCTGTCCTTTGGATTCACTCAGTGACACTTTGTGCCCTTTCTTTATATTATGTGATGACGTTTTTGTTGTTTTTTGTTGTGATGCACTATTTAGTGTTTAACTCTTTATATACAATATTTCTATGTATTTTACAACTCACACAGGAAACCTGTTATTGGAGCTTCAGCTCTGTGGGTGCGGGCCCTTCCTGTTTTTGGGTAAATTAAATAAATAAATAAATAAACTGTCCATTTGTTAGGGATCATGGGAACAAAAGATAAAGCACAGAATGAAACGGCTCCAGCGAAACCCCTTGAAGCACACACAAGACTGTAAACCAAGTAGTGAGTGTGAATCAATTAGCACATCAATAGTCAAGAAAATAAAATTAAATATTAAACCTTCGCTTAAAATCCCACCACTTGACAAAGGGGAAACTGAAGATACCATGAAGGAAAAGGACTCAGCAACTAAAGAAAATCTGCCGAATAGCATGTCCAGATCAAACATTGGTGAAGTTACTCATGTCATCAACATATCCTGTCAGACCGAAAATGATTATTGAAGGGACAGAAAGCATGGAAAATTTGTTGAAACTGTTTCCTCCGTTGCTGAAACATATTCACGTAAGATTATAATCCGAACAAAATGTTCATTTGAATAGTTATTTGGAGTGTATTTCAATGACATTATCACATTTCAAACAAAATGACTTTAGATTTTCATGTGTAAATGCAAACACTTGATTTGTTAGCAACAACCCGGCTATATACTAAGCATGCCTGGTTCAAGTTTATGGCAAAATCTATTTTATATTTCATTGTTTAAAGCTGAAGCAAGAAATGTGCTGAGTCATGGGGGACAAAGATGTAACAAGACTAATGAAGGAATGCAAAATTAATACATGGCTTCCAAAAATATTATCCTATGTGCAGAAGAAAGTCCTCATTGAAGAAATTAGTGGAAGAGATGGACTCTGTGGTTTCTGTAGATAAACTCATCCAGCAGGTAACATAACTTGGTCATCATGAGTTTAGCGTTTTGCAAACTGCAATTCCTATATTAAGTAAAATCTCTCACAGGGTTCATATAGTCTCGTGCAAAGACTAAAACAAGATTTAAAGACTTTCCTAGACATTTCTAGTTTCACAGACGTTGGAAAGACTTTATCTGGTAAATTGTACCATGCCAAATCCCGAAAATGCGCAGATTATTGAGAGAAAGATGCATAAGGACTCTCAGAGTTGTACGTGTCTATGAGCCTTTCCTTCGAATCATAATCAAGAACTCACAAAAATAGTTCGAAGAGTTAAAGACATAAAAAAGGCTATACATTCAAAACAAATTCACAAACCACCACGAACCCTGTCTAACAATTAAGGACCTGCCCTCTATTAAATACTCTCTGTTGGAACCATATTTTTATACACCCCTCGTTAATACTGTAACTCATTAAGTTGCAGACTGTTGCAACATTGGCACTCCCCAAGTTGTAGGGAAAATGGCGAATTTTAGTTACTGTCAACTGCTTTTACAAAAATACCTATATCTCAAGATCAATGTTATAAAAAACCTTGAAATTTGGCAGTGGGTTAAAATGATAAATGATTAATCAATTTTATTTTAAGATAAGATAAGATAAGATAAGAAACTTTATTTATGTGTCAAAACATTCTAGCGTTTAGCACGCTAATTGGGGACACAGATTAAGCCTACTATTATACAAAAAGTATACTTATACGACTAGCTATGAGTAGATAAATTTACAATACTAATACCAGTGGCGAAGCCAGCGGTCATGCAGGTCATGCAGTGCATGACTAAAAATTTCCCCCAAAATGTTTTAAAATCAGTTCAGTATAATTGTTTACAATAGAATTATACTTTATCTTTGCACTTCTACGCCTAATTATTATCGCCTTTATTTATTATTTTGTTTACCCAAATCAATGGTCTTTAGGCGATATTCTTGCTAAATATTCTCGTATGTTATTGATTAATTTGGCTTTGTTACCTTGGCAACTGAGCGGTCCTGCATATTTTCACATGCATGACCGGTTGCGTAAGCGCGTGGAAAAAGATTGTGTGTGATTGCTGCGTGGTTTGCTCGCTGTGTGTTTTGGTCATGCACTTTCAGAATTTCATGACTAGCTGTATTATTTTATATTAGGTTTGTTGGTTTCTGATTGGCTTACGACGTTCGCGCACGCTCAATGCGGCTGTTTTTGATGCCTTGGTCATGCAATTTTCGATTTGCATGACTAAACGGGCAACACAACCTGATCACAGCCTCTTAGCTCGAAGCTTTCAGCCTGAATGAACACGTCTTCAGGTCATTCAAGCATGTCGATTTCTTCTTTACTCGAAGCTAACAATATTGTTTGGGAATTGGTGAAAAAACCATTTTCTGCTGAGCAGAATATTATTGTTTATAAGCAGAGACAAACACCAGATCTTTCGACATGCCCGATCGGGAAGGTTTTCAAATGTCGTGGTATTCAAAGAAAGAATGGCTTAGCCAGTCAGGCTTAGGCTAAATAAGCTATTGCCTATTGGTATTTAGTTATTGTTACATGTATTTTGTCTTGAATATTTAAGCCTTCAACCCGAGCATAGACGTATAAAGCATCGAACGCTATATACTATATGAAATACAATGTCAATGTCGAGGTCAATGTAGTAAACAATGTAGTTCTATAAATAGCGCTGCAAAGCTTATACATTTCAACATGCAACACAAACATTTTAGCGATTGTGATTTAGCAACATATTTGATATATACTTGTTTGTGAAACAAACAAAGAAATTTCAATATATATTGTTAAATTGTATTTATCATTTGGTACATACTCCCCGTGCGTTCGAAAATATCCAATATTGGCAATAGCCAATAATCGATATGAATGCAGAATTCGGCTATAAAACTGACAGTAAAACTTCTACTCAAACATCTGATAAGTAAGAGTTAATTACCGAGAAGCGAGGCATTTAGCCATATACAGCCCGAGGCGCGTAGCGCCGAGGGCTGTATATGGATAAATGCCGAGGTTCGAGGTAATTAACTGACTTATTACATGATTGAGAAGGTTTTCACAAAACAGCTCTTACGCTTGTGGGACGTAACACAAGGCTGAGTATGCGCACTATATACGCTTTAAAATGTGGTCAAGCATGCGCAGTATATCATTTCACGTCCCACAAGCGAAAGAGCAGATGTTACTGTATAAATTCCCTGCACAAGCAAGTTTGATGGTTGATCCAGCTAGTCCTCGTGCGCCGAATGATACATACTCTTACCTAATGGTAGAGTTTTGACGGGCTCTGAGGTACACGGCTGTTGTCTCTTTCCCGACTGGAGACGGTACAGCGTTTATCGAGTTGGGAAAGAGACTAACCTCTCATTAGGTACTTACCCAGATAAGTACATCATGAATATAGTTTTAGTGAGGTATTTATCTAGATAAATACCTCATTAAACTATTCATGAGGTATATATCTAGTTAAATACCTCATGAATAGTTTAATGAGGTATTTATCTAGATAAATAGCTCATTAAACTATTCATGAGGTATTTAATACATAATTATTGCACTCAAACTGAGTGCAATATACATATATTGCACTGGAGCTCAGCGCAATATACAGATATTGCACTAGAATAGCTAATTAGTAATTCAATTCAATTCATCAGCCCCACTCTTCCCTGCTGAATATCAAATCCCTCCCCGGGCTTTTATATACTTGAAAGACATTATGGAAAATAAAGGTCTATGAATAACAAAGAAAACCGCGTCAATCATGTAATAATTAACAATTATTCGCCGAAGGCGAGGTGAATATCGCTGAATAAAAACCGAGACGAAGTCGAGGTTTTTATTCAGCGATATTCACCGAGCCTGAGGCGAATAATTGTTTTAGTATAATTACAAAGGTGATTATTTGAAAAAAATAATATAACACATCTCAATTTTTTGAAAATCGTTTAATTAAATTCATAAAGAAAGCGGTATGCGCAATGAAGGCGCTCGTATCGCCATCAAGATTCAAGGATGTTTTTTGTAGTAATTCCCATCACTTTTTCTTGCAGAAAGGTATAGAATTTTGATAAAAATTCGGTTCATTTCGTCAATACTCATGTCTTCAAACTCATTTGTGAATTCTGACTGATGTTGAAACCAATCTGTAGAAAATATATTTTTACAAACGTAAACAAATGTCTAGACAATTCACAATTGTAGTATACGGCAATTTAAAATAAAACGATGTTTTATGCGAAATAAAGTTAGGCAGATTTCTGCAACTTAGTTTCCTACCTCAAAATAATTTTAAGCCAAATTTTGTCTCTTCTTTCGTGCTCTTAGGTACAGCATTTTCTTTAAAATTACTTATTTCTTTATCTGTCACTTTGGCAAAACAACTTGCTGCCATTTTGAAAAAACCGCTTAGGTGATTATCGCGTAATAATCCGAGGTCGCTTGACCAATCAGCGGCCACAATTTTCTATAATCACCTTTGTAATTATACTAATGCTTATTAATTCATTTCTGTATGTAATATTGTAATATTTAGGCGATTGATTTTAAATTAAAGAAATTGATCAAGGCTCATGCGTTATATTTTCCAAGTCCTGCATATTATACCTATATTCTAGATTATACTGACTGTATTAGCAGCTATTTGTCAATAAGTTCCCTTAGTATATGTGGATAAAATTGTATCTAGTTCTGGAAATGTGAAAACTCTTCAGACTTCATGTTGGAATACTACAAGGGGATAGCAATTAGGTAGTCTATACAGACTATGATAATACAGAACATGCATGGAATATTTTCTGATCGAAAAGAAATGCACAATTGCCGGTATGACTATAATTAACGGAACTGCAGACCACAGATTTCCGATTTTTGTGTCGATCTTCATTATTGTTGTCTGAAATATGCCAAAATATCCACATATTTTCCCGTCATTAGATCAAGCTATTTTCTGAAATTTGATGCTCAGATTGCTGCAAATGGCGTTTCTGGGGTATATATTTCAAAAATTTTCCGGGGGGCATGCTCCCGGACCCCCCTAGGATGTCTCACGCCTTCGGCGCTTGTTTGCATGACCACTCACACGACGCTGGCTTCGCCACTGACTAATACTAATCCCTAATTACTACATAGATAGCAGTTTCTACAACCACCATCCTCTAAAAAACTAAAGTCAACTTTCCTAATTTCACTCTTGAAAACGTTCAAAGTACTGATGTCCCTAACTTCTTTACTTAACTTTGACCATAAAAAAGGTCCTAAGTATCTAATTGAGTGTTTTCCATATTTTACCGTATTAAAACGCGGTATTCTGAAATCAGAATTTCTTAGATTATATGTCCTAGTCTTATCATTAGTACAAAATAAATTCTGAATATATGAGGGAGCAAGATTATTTTTAATTTTAAACAGTATGGCAATATCTTGTACCCGTCTGTGATATAGCATGGAAAGATTTGCTTTTGCGAGTAGTTCTTCATACGTAAGTGTTTTGGAGTTAAAAACTGCATGCAAGGCCCGCTCTTGTACTCTTTCCAACTTGTGTCTATCCGATGCCCGACAAAAATGCCATACTAAATGGCAATATGTCAGATGCGGTAATACAACTGTCTTTAGATGATCAATTTTGCCTCTTCGGGAATAAGATTTCTTAGACGCATCAACACTCCAACTTCTGCTTGTTCTTTTGCATATTTCGCTAATATGACATCTAAAATCAAGTTGGTCGTCCACATCCACTCCAAGTAACTTTAATGATGTAGACTGTTCAATACATTTATCATTTATGTTATTCATTGTTCTATCATCCTCATTCTTTCGACCAAGAACCATCGTGTGAAACTTTTCTAAATTTAAACGTAAGAAATTTTCTTCATACCACCTGGGCGGGATGTTCGGATCGATGCTTTCCTGGTTCCTAAGGAGCTCTCGGATGTTCTTACAATAGCGTACTTTGACTGCTTTTCGCAGCAATATATTGTCAGATCTAAACAAGTTAAGACACTTTTCAATTCAAAGTTCCCACGCTTAAATATATCATTGCTTAAATATATCATTAGATTTTTGGGTGAGAATTCTTGGTTTGTGCAAATTTGAGTCCCTGACATTTTGTTTCTTCATGACACCCAACATCTGAAGGGCAATAATTCCATAACCCAACATAAATGGGTCATAAATTTTTTTATTCCTGGATTGGTACACATTTATATTCAAATTAGTTTTCATCTTGTAGGGTATAAATTACAAAATAATCAAACACTATAAAAATTTGCTTGGGCATAGCTAGGCACACTCAGGACATCTAGTTTACAATGGAGAACTTGAACTTCAGAACTTGTTGTTCAAGTCCAAAAACTCTGTAACCCAAAACCACAGTGTTTGTACCTGTTTGAAGTTTTTAAATACCTCAAACATGTTTGGAAAAACACGAAGTACAAAAATTACTAATTAAAATATAAACAAAGGATGAAAAAGGTGAGAAAATTTTAAAATATTTGAGGTGTTTTTAATTCAGACTTTGACAGCCAGCATTTTCAAACGCAGCGTGCAGTGACAAAACAAAAGGCTTTTTATTTCGCTATTAAGAGCACTGAAAGTCGTCAAAAAGAGATAAAGGGAGCGGTCATAAAGTAAGTGCTACCCTGGGGCGGAGGATATTTTTAATTTTGTGAAAAAATTTTCATAACCCCACACACTTGTCGGATAATATTTGCTACCCCATCAAGATAACGGTCTCAATGTTTCATACCCCATCATAAAATGATAAGCTTACCGGGGTTTATTCATGTTGATATGACCTGGGGTGTGCTGATTGGGCTAAAAAATTCGGTTGAGTAATTGCCATTATATCACACTTGCGTCGGTTTTCTTTGTTCGTCCGAGGTTTATAACTAGCTTATAGACCTTGAATAAATGATTAGATTAAACTTGTAGACAAAACGCGAGAATTTTTCATTAAAAATTTTTGAAAATGACACTATGTTGGAAAACCTCCGCAAGTGTGATATAAGTTAGTTATAAACCTCGAAAGTCGGTTTATAACTGATATATTGCCCTCGGACGCTACGTGTCCTCGGGTCAATATATCAGTTATAAACCTCCTACTCGGTTTACAACTCTTACTTATCCTATAAAGTTTTATTTATAGTAAGTTTTATCTTTCTTTAACTTAAAAATAACAAACAAGTAAAATTCAAATCCAAAATGCTGTTTTTTGGCCCCATTGAATACGGCCGCTGTCAAAAAATGGCAAATATTGCTAATATTTTACCCATTTTGGTTATTCTATGTAAAGATAAAAAAAAACCATTTTGGATGTGATATTTTTAGTTATTTGACATTCAAAAGACATACTTTTATGTTATGGCATACCTCAGATGTCCATAAACACACCACCACTTTTCTTTACAAGCTGGCATTTCTGTGCCATATGAAAAGACCATAGATATAGGAGATCTAGATTGCTAACACATACCTAGCGCAGGCGGGGCCTACATGATAAATCCAAGATGGTGGTACAAGAGGGCAAAAAGACTATAGATTCTATTACGAAAATCAAGATTTTTGCATTTTTTGCCGTCGCATTATTTTGAAACTTATTCGGTCAAATTTTATGGTAAAGAGAAACTTACTGCGAAGATTTTGAGCATATTTATGATTGAATTGGATGAAAACTCGCAAAATTATCCAGCGATAAAAGTTTGTGTATAGTACTGATATAGTACTATATATGTAACTTGTACAGTTTTGCTTTAATTTTTGCTCACTATTTGCATAGAAAGCAAATTATAACAGACCATAGATGATAGACCCTCATCCAGTGCTCTCATCAGTTTACTTCTCTAACAAGCAAGGAGGGGGGGGGGGTACATAACAGTTCATTTTTCATAATTATGAGGACAGAGCAGATGATGATGAGAGATGCAAGTATAAAACACCATTCACAAGACTAGATGTTAACATAGCACAGTATTTCTGGCAATAAAATGCTCCAACTGACCAACTGACCATTTCACACAAACTTTTATCGCTGTATAATTTTGCGAATTTTCATCCAATTCAATCATATATATGCTCAAAATCTTCGCGGTACGTTCCTCTTTACCATAAAATTTGACCAAATAAGTTTCAAAACAATGCGACGGCAAAAAATGCAAAAATCGTGATTTTCGTAATGGAATCTATAGTGTTTTTGCCCTCTTGTACCGCCATCTTGGATTTATCATGTAGGCCCCGCCTGCACTAGGTATGCGTTAGCAAGCTAGATCTCCTATATCTATGGAAAAGACATACAACTGAAACTGACCTGTCTCCCCATATAAACAATCCAAATCATTTTCAACATCACTGATTGAGTGATTTCACCATCATCACTGTGACACTGTCATTGTTGTCATATTTATATTCCATAAATTGCATAATATTTGCAATTGCGCATTCTGCTGAAACTCTAGCTCTTTTTGGTGCCATAACTTCTTCAGTATAAACCGAAGAAATAATTAACTGAATGAAGTCGATCAAGAAAAGTTTGTAGAAAAATATGAAATGGCGACCATGTTTATAACCAGGCCAATATTGGCAATATACTATGTGTTGCATGAAGTGTAACACAGGTGGGCTACGAGCCTGCTGTATAGTTTTGAAAACACAATATTTATAAATATTTATACTAAATTGGTTTCATATTCTGCAATATATTATGGTTCCTAAATCTTTGGTGTTTGCTCAACCTTGAAGGTACAAGGAAATATGTGTATTTGTTATATATAAAAATATTATAAATAAGTATTTTATATTTATAAGTATTTTATAATATACTATATTATATATTTAATCTCTGATACTAAATATACTATATTTTACTATTTTATATAATATATTATGGATATTTTACTTTGCAAATCATGTGTAATAATCCATCTTTATATGTTCTCTAATTAATATACTGTACTAATATACCAAAAAATACTGTCCAACCCACATTTTCCCATTTTTGGCCTGGAAACCTTGTTTGACAAATGTTGTCAAACGTCCGGATAACTTTGAATTTTCAGAAAATCAAATGGATTCATTTGTTCAGGAATGACGGATAAATATTTATTTCGGTGCGCTCATTGTGCGCACCCCCGGTATAAAAGAGTGAAATAAAGTATTTCATCTTTGGTTGTTTGTCAGACAAGAGTTAACACATTGGTGACACTTTGTTGCGCATGCAGTTTTCAAAAGATAAACTACTAAAAATATAGCTTTTATTTCACCAAATAGCAAAGTATCTTGCAGATATTATTAAAAAAGCTCAAGCGAAGTAATTCCATGATAAATAAGTGAAGAATGAGACCAAAAAAGCGACTAAATTACAATTTTGGAAGGTACATTAATTTAATGGCTTCCTGCAAAAGAAGCCATTTCAGAGAAGAACAGCATTTTGTAAACCACTGTCCTGACCTATTTTAGAACTTTTCCTTCTAGTAATCGATGAGTACTTCTTAGAAAATGAGCGTGCATTAATTTTGATGTGCTTTATTGATTTGAAAATTTTATGGGGATATATGAAGCAATAAAGTGTATTTTGGAAGCTTTTCAAATCCTTGTCATGAAGGTTCAGAATTTGCACGCACCAAGACACGGCATAATTCAATACACTGATTTTAAACCACGTTATCTCTGAAATGAGATCTCATTTCGAGACAAAGTTTATAGAAACAGATATAGTATTCTAATATTTTAATGCGGTTTTACTCGAAATTTTTCTTGCTAAAAATGTATATACGCACATGACAAGTTGAACCTTACGGTGGCCCACAACTGTCACACTATATATTTTGCTTTAACCAAATTAAAATTGCTCACATCAAATTAAAATTCACTCACATCAAATTAAAATCCACTCACATCAAATTAAAATTGCTCACATCAAATTAAAATTCATTCACATCAAATTAAAATTCACTCACATCAAATTAAAATTGCTCACATCAAATTAAAATTCACTCACATCAAATTAAAATTAACACAAAATGAGCAACTTGAAGGGAACTCGTACAGTATCTCTGGGCAATATCTGCATGGTCGCATACTGTATGCTTCACACATTAAGACATACGTTTTTACAAGGTTTCCAGATATTAGTTTTCAAATACATGAACATCCTTTTCTGTATATAATAGTAGAGAGTACTATGTTTTGCACCAATTGTGTGATTGATTTAGACTACAACACAAACTACTGTACTGGCTGTGGACAAGGTAAACAGTATAATTATAAATCAATATTCATTTGATTCACTGATATAGGAGAATATTAACAACTTTGTCAATGTTTGTCTGCAGGGCCGTACACAGGATTTTTTCACCAGGGGGCAGTACGTAAGGCCCATATGTCAAAAACGTCCTAAATATCTAAAGAATAAGTAATAATGTCATTCTAAAAATCGTAAATATAGTTTTCTCTAGGGGGGGGGCAACTACCCCTCTTGCTGCCCCCCCATCCCCACTGTGTACTGCCCTGCTTGTTTGATATTTCTGTGCCAGCAGGATATTCTGTAATGATTAATGGTATCCTGGTTGATTTATAGGATATTCAAGTTTACACTAAAAAATGTTTTAAAGTTAGCATAAAACATATTGATCTATAAGACAACAATGGACGACTTGCGCTTTAGACTAAATTTTAATCTAAGTAAGAACAACGAAATCTATCACCACAACTAGAAAGAGCATCTTGGTATTAGTAATATTACAAAGTTTGGTTGCAAAATGTTGTAAAATACGGAAAATATAGCCCTTCAAAGTTGGCAAATTTGTATACTTTTGTATTACGTGCGTCAATCGGTAACTAAATTAGTTAGCAATTTCCGCACGTAATAGACATGTATACAAATTTCCGTATTTTACAACATTTCACAACCAAACTCTGCAGTTTTTCTAATTTTGATAACTTCTTTCCGAAAATATCTTTTGTTATTCCCAGATTAAAAATTTTTCTAAAGCGCAAGTCGTCCATTAAATTGTGAAAATAACACTATCTGGATGTCATTTCCTAATTTTGGGTATAAAATATGGAACAACAAAATTGAAATATAATAGTTATTGTTAATACACTGCAAAAAAAATGGGGATAAAAGTTAATGTAATTATTGACTAAGCATACGGATGTTTTTTTTTCAGAAGCTAACATGGAGAGTTCAGATGACAATTCTGATTTTACTGATGATACATTTGAAGACAGCGAGGAAGAAGTTCTGAAATATTATTTCTTTCGCGGATTTACATACGAAGAAATTCTTTTGTTTCTGGCTAAACGGCATCATTGTACTATAAGTTATAGCACTCTTCTTCGGCGGTTGAAGAAATATTGTTTAATGAGAAGAGGTGTAACAAACAAGGATTCATTTGAAAACACATTTCTGCAAGTGCAGAGGCACATAGCGGAACTTATTAACAGGCCTAGCTCATCCATGGGGTACCGTACATTATGGCATGCACTTGAACTAGAGGGGATTTGTGTCCCTAGAGTAATTGTTCAAGATTTGTTAAAGGAAATGGACCCTGAAGGTGCGGAACTTTGGAAAAGACATCGTCTAAAAAGACGAGCCTACCACAATCCTGGCCCCAATTACTCATGGCATATTGATGGTTATGATAAACTTAAATGTTGGGGTTTTCCAATACACAGAGCGATTGACGGCTACAGTCGAAGAATTTTGTGGCTTTGTGTTACTCATTCCAACAACTCGCCAAATCAAATAGCTTCTTTCTATGCTGGAGTTGTTTTAGAACAAGGTGGTTGTCCAGTACAATTAGTGACCGATTCGGGAGCTGAAAATGGAACTGCAGCCGCTTTACAGTCATATTTCCGTGATAACTCCGAGGCTCATCGATACGTACCCTTTCCGAGAAACATTGTGACCGAATTTGAACAGAATTTTTCTTCATGAGTCACGAGTGATTCCTTTACTGTTTTACACTTTACAGTACGGGAAGCACTGCAACGAGTCTGTCGTGCAGAATTGAGAATGGAATGCCCAGTACATGTCAGGCGACATTTAAACAAGTTGATGTTGTTTAAAAACCAATAGCTATCATGAAAAAAAGTTAAAATAATACAATACTTATCTTGTAATCAATTATTAGTCGACCGGAGTCCACAAATAAAGCGGAAACTGCATTCATCGCTGTTGGAATGTTCGACTTTTTTTATTGAAGTCACCAATATTTAAACGATGCCGCTTGATATCCTTGTCAAATAACTTTAATACACGATTGATTGTATCTTATAACCAAGAAATATATTTCGTATTATAATTGCTGTCAAAAGAATGCAAAAATCTTATATAATTGAAATAAAAAAACCCAAATTTGTTGGTCTTTCAATATAAATCAAATCGCGCATTACCATGTGTTCTCTGCCTGACCAACACTTCGTGACAAGCCCATGCAAAAACACACATTATTGGCCGCCATCTTGGCTTTGAGCAAGTATGCGCATATTCACTTGAGTTATCGGTCCAGGTTCTTTACAGTTCACTGGATTCCTTGGGTGAGATGCCTGTGGAGGAGGCTACAAGCAACTTTGGTCTTTGTATTATAAATATGCGAGTATAAATGGAATGTGGACTGGACTAGTAAAACGCGGACTGGACTCATTAGTGCAACACAGACCGGACCCAATTAGTAAAACAAAGACTGAACTCATCAGTAAAATGCGGACTGAACTCATCAGTAAAATGCGGACTGAACTTAGTTGATCAATACAATATTAAATGTTCTGCAGTCTCTGAATTACTGTGTGTTTTTGTTTATATAATACCAGAATAATTCGGTGCCAAAATTAATATTATTGCACAAACCGGAACAATATGGAAATTCTGAACAATGAAAATATTGAATAATTCGCCATATTTTCCTGCCAAAATGCATGCTTAAAATCACTTCTTTCCAAAATTTGACAGGAAACTGTGGGGGTATGGGTGGAAGTGGTGTGTGGGAGATGTGTGACACCTGCAGACAGAGCAATCAAAGATCTTTACAGGGCAATCAAAGATCTTTGCAGGGCAAAAGTAAGATGTCACTAACATTGATTTAGACTTTGTTCCAGGCACATGTGTAAAGTAAAATGTGTAAAGCAAATAAAAAAGTATAAAGTAAAAATTTATTTTATGCCCTGGAAAATTTTTTGAAGACTACCTGTCTACAATTTTTCCGGGAAAAAAATTGTAGGGTAAAAAAAATTCCTGCATGGCATTTTCGATAATTTTGGTTTTGATAGGGCAGTTCAGGCCGACAGCCCCCAACTAAGGGGCGAGTTTCCGAGTTTCTTGTTTTTTCTTTTAGGATTTTCAAATATGTATAAATGATTTCAATGACTTTCAAGGATTTTAAAGTCCACTTTCAGATTTCCGTAAGATTTTTAGGAATTTTCTCAAAATTTTCAAACTGTTATTTTGATAGATTTTGTGCAGTTTTCGAGATTTAAAAAAAAATTTTTAGACAAAGTTTATGATTTTCATGGAAACTGGTAACTGCACTAGATGAATTCAAATATGCTTAGTTTTAAAAGTTTTGGAAAATTTTAGGGTCTTTTCAAGTTTAAAAACATTATTTTTTAGGTATTGTCCTGACCGATGCAATATACATGATTTCATGAAACGTGAGATTTTACCAACACACTATCGAAAATACGAAGTTCAGCAAAAAACAGTGTGGAGCAAAATTGAAGATATCTTTAAAGTATGCTGTAAATTCATTCCTCATTCCAGGCCAATAATGGCTATTGAGATACTTGCTATGCTTAAGGAGGAACATAAAAATCATAAAGAGATACTTGTTGGGACAAGTACTGAAAGAGGTCACTCTAATTAGTTCATTGATCTCGAGAAACAACTGAATTAATGTTCTGAGTGTGTTATCATGTCAAGCTGGAAGCTAGTCAACCAGTAGCAAAGGAGAACGTTTGGACCTTTTCCATAAAGATGGCTGCTACAAAAATGTTTTCAACTCAGGACCACCTTAAATGGAAAGAATTTCCAGTTTTCCTCTCACGAGCTATGGACAAAGAAGCAGAATTCTTCTTAGACATATGCATGAAAAATAATTTTTGATTTTGAACATTACATGTGTCTATAGGCTTTAACACGAAAACAAGGCTCGCCTCGTTTTCACGCTAACCTTTATTTCCACAGAAATATACAGGCCTTGGCTATATTATTACTGCAAAAATCTGTGTTTACGAATCTGGTTTTACAAATTAACTTGTAATGACTTGTATAATAGACCTTAGAAGTGCTTACATCACACAGGTTTTAATCTATGTAAAATGAAATTAATTTTTTCCTACGTGCTTCCCACATTGCATTGCAATTCATTGTTCGACACAGTCGTGGCGTAAGCACCTCTAAGGTCTATTAAAATGAGTATATTTTAAAGAAATTGGTGGCAAAGACGACAACAATGTCAAAACGAAAGAGGGAGACAAATTGTCAACAAGTTTAAATCAATAGAAACATTTGTTTAGAACATGATATACTGGTATAGAAGACTGTATAGCAGCTCTAGTTGTCCTTTTATAATTAGCAGGCTTGTAACCTACTCATCCAAAAATAAGGCAGCAGTGTGATGTTATATATCAACAACGAGAGCGAGTGTTTCACCTGGATATCCAAACACGAAAAAACGATGTATGAAAACACGAGTGTGAAGGACAAGTGTTTTCATACATTGTTTTCGAGTGTTTGGATATCCTGGTGAGACACAAGCTCGAGTTGTTTATACGGCTTCCAGGGGCGGATCGAGCTAAAAATCTGACTGTAGCATAATCCCAAAATGAGGAGGCACCACGTAATCTAGGGGGGTCCGGGGGAATGCCCCCCTGGAAAGTTTTTGAAATTTGAACCCCAGAAACACCATTTCCTGCCCTAAAACTTGACCTTAATAAGGCCATATTTTAGACAAAAAGTTACAAAAACACATGAAGACAGGAAAATATTTAAATTAAACAACCAAATCATGCCAGATCTTCAAATTACTGTATGCAAAGTTTAAAACAGCCTTCCTCCCCATATTAATATGTAATTTAATATCATACCGCACATGTGTAACATATATAAACACAATTACAATCAATGCATAAAATCAACGGGCAGATAGATATATAATGCAAACAGACACATTTATATACTGAAAGGGACCTTCGGACTAACAGAGATTCAACGACTTAAATATACAAGCCAAATTTCGAGGTTTTGCTGGTATTTTCCAGTCACAGTTTTGCTTGTATATTTCAGCAATTCAGTAACGTACCCTTTCAATCCAAAGCTTTGTGTTGTTATCATTTACCAGTCTGGAAAGTTTGTATCGCGCGGCGGAAATATCGGCCGCGCAAATATCGGCCGCGCAATTTTGATGCTTTCTATATATGTACTATTAAATTTTCTAAATCTCCGGCGTGCAATTTCCAAACACTGGCACGGACCGTTAGAGATTACATTTATATTCTGTTTATTAATATATTCTAATACTCATAAGCTTACCTGACCCGAACGTGGTTCAACGAACGCGCTCTTTCACTTGAATTGTAATTTCGAAAAATCACACACAAATACCTCACAATCTTTCAGGCGAATGGCCTTAACTTTGCCCACGATGGCATCCTCACATAGCGCTCTAGTCTACTTAGGTTTTCTGCGAAAGAAATTGGCTCGGTGAAATGCATACAAATATAGCCAAATAACATCGCTCTAAAGTTCCTATCGAATTTCGCAACTGTAGCTGACTGTAGCTCATTGCAGCGCTGTGATTGGTTTGCTTCATCTGACTGTAGCAAAAATGCTAAATTTAGTAACTCGTACCCCCAGTTGACTGTAGCATTTTGACGTCATAAATCGCTATATTTAAACCACTTTTCTGAACACTTTTTGAACGATGTTTAAAAAATTTAGGTGATTTCCCCTAAAAGCGGGCGTTGTTTCGGGTAAAATTCAGGTTAAGATAAGCGCGTAAAAACGTAACTTAATATTCGTAGCTCACAAAAAACGTATGGACATCTGGTGGAAGCTGCGGAAGTTAATTTTTTTGAGATGGAGAAACTGGAAAACTTCTATAAGGAATTTTTGCTATCACCACATTCAGTATTAAAAATATTTTTGCAGGAAAATCTGACTGTAGCATTTGCTACAGTTGCTACAGTCTGGAATCCGTAGGCACTTTCTTATGTCTCCTGCAAGACCATGTACAGTTTGGAAAATTAGATTTATACAGTCCCAGTTAAAGCAAATGTCCTCGAAAAAGAATTCGACGATGAGGAAGACTATTTAAAGCTGATTATAAATCCACAACACGAGGGACGATGTAGAGAGATCTTAAAACAAATTCAAAATGTTACTTATCTTTGTCCTGATGGAAGTTGTTTGGCGGACCTGAAATAGGGGTATTGAGAACCTGCTGACCATTCAAACAACATATACCATCAGAAAACCAAGAAAAAAGAGTATGCCAAGCTTCCCTTACATCTGAACTAACTAGGGATCCAAGGATAGTGTGAAGTTTCAAACTGCAAGAACTATATAGGGTTGCCGACAACCTAGAAAAGCTTGATGGCTTACACTACGAAATAAACAGTTACCAAAGGCATTTCATCTCATTATTTATTGCTTTTAATACGCTCGGCACACGAGTAGCGTGACGTTTGAAACAAGCCTAAACACATCAGAAACGTGCCTTGTGAAACTGATGCAATTCATCCATTTATTGTGTCACCAACAACCAAATTTTGCATATTCTAAATTTTCATTTGCATTTGCAGCTGTCACTGAAAGCATCCCCACGAGGCTACTGCTATGCTAAATTTATCTAATAAACTATAATTGAAATAGCTGTATAAGATATGTTATGAATAATAAGCACTACGTCGTTACATCATTAAAAGACGCATTTTATCCTCATCCGTTCCGTATTTTATCCGCAAATCCGTTCCGTGGATCCGCCCCATCCGCTTCCGCATTTTAACTTAATTGTGACATGTTTCACAACAACAAGTTTCATTGACCTTTGACTTTTCCCAGTGTGACGTGTGTCTATTTTCAGCTTTTCGCATGTGTTGAATATAAATATCACTTTAGATTTCAATAGCTATTCTGTAATGTAGAACCTTATACAATCAATGAGAATGTATAATGAATACACGGTCTAAATAATATCGACGGTAATGCATAACATCAATTTATATATTGTATTACTATTATTGCGTAGAATCTCAAAGATTTTTTCAATATTCATGTCTGAAATGTTTATATACTTGAAAACAACACTGTCTCGCCTCTGCCTGCACGTACTGTACCTCTGTATAATGAGTATGCTGTGAAAAAATAATATCGGCACTCAATTGAATGCCTAGAAGCAAGTTTTTCGACTCAATATTTACGTCTGAAATGTTTATACACTTAACTGCACTGTCTTGGCGGTCTAGCTCCTTCCTAGCTCTGCATAATGAATATACCGTCTAAATATTATTGGCACTTATTAAATTGAACGCCTGTAATGCATAAGATCAATTTATATATTGGGTAGATTTTCAAAGATTTACTCAATATTCACGTCTGAAATCTTTATATACTTGAAAACAACACTGTCTCGTTTCTGCCTACGTACTGTACCTCTGTATAATGAGAATACCGTGAAAATAATATCGGCACTCAAATGAATGCCTAGAATCAAGATATTCGACTCAATATTTACATCTGAAATGTTTACAAACTTGACTGCACTGTCTAGGCGGTCTAGCTCCTTCCTAGCTCTGTATAATGAATATACCATCTAAATATTATCGGCACTTAATTGAACGCCCGTAATGCATAAGATCGATTTATATATTGCGTAGATTTTCAAAGATTTACTCAATATTCACGTCTGAAATCTTTATACATTTGAAAACAACACTGTCACCCCTTCCTAGCATATCGTCACGCCATCGTGATCTACGGCTTCATAGCGCATGCGCATTTGCGCTACTAAAGAAAAAATCGGGTGTTCCGGGGTAAAGATCCTTTACACAACATGAGAAGCGAATGTTCTAAAATTTACAAAAAATTACAATAATGAAAGCGATTCCTCGAAATTTTTGTGAACTTGGCAAAAGGATAACAGAATATGTAAATAAGTGAACTGAAATAGTGCTTAAATAACCTTCAAAGTACTGATTAAGTACAATAAATCACTACGAATATAAATGGTATACACCCCCCGGAAAGTTTACTCTATGACTGACTGACTGACTGTTTGACTGATTTGTGTGAATTCGCCAGCCATCACAATAGTGTGAAGTGAAACTTCACACTAAAAAGGAAAAAATATTGATGTGGTAGATGTTTCCTCTCCAGTGAAGAAACAAAGGAAAGTGATTCCTTTACTAGAGCAAGATATCAGTGATGTGCTTGAGAAAGAGCACAGCATGTTACCAAATGACACAATATTTGACACAATAGGAACAGTGGAAAAGTTCATACCCCCAACCTTCACATCCAATCATATTAACGCACATGTGTAGGATTCCATTGGCAATTTGAAAGAGAAGCAAGATCCTTTTGTTGAAGACTTGCAGTGTTTGCCAGATGCCCCAGAAAGTAACACCCTACCAGAACCAGTGGCGAAGCCAGCGGTCATGCAGGTCATGACTAAAAATTTCCCCAAAAATGTTTAAAAATCAGTTCAGTATAATTGTTTACAATAGAATTATACTTTATCTTTGCACTTCTACGCCTAAGTATTTTATTTATTATTTTGTTTACCCAAATCAGTGGTCTTTAGGTCGATATTTTCGCTAAATATTCTCGTATGTTATTGATTTCGGCTTTGTTACCTGCATATTTTCCCATGCATGACCGGTTGCGTAAGCGCGTGGAAAACGATTGCGTGTGATTGCTGCGTGGTTTGCTCGCTGTGTGTTTTGGTCATGCATTTTCAGAATTTCATGACTAGCTATATTATTTTATATTAGGTTTGTTGGTTTCTGATTGGCTTACGACGTTCGCGCATGCGCAATGCAGCTGTTTTTGACGCCTTGGTCATGCACTTTTCGATTTGCATGACTAAACGGGCAACACAACCTGATCACAGCCTCTTAGCTCGAAGCTTTCAGCCTGAATGAAGACGTCTTCAGGTCATTCAAGCATGTCGACTTCTTCTTTACTCGAAGCTAACGATATTGTTTGGGAATTAGTGAAAAAACCATTTTCTACTCAGCAGAATATTATTGTTTATCAAGCAGAGACCAACGCCAGATCTTTCGACATGCCCGATCGGGAAAGGTTTTCAAATGTTGTGGTATTCAAAGAAAGAATGGTTTAGGCTAAATAAGCTATTAGTATTATTTAGTTATTGTTATTTTGTCTTGAATATTTAAGCTTTCAACCCGAGCATAGGCGTATAAAGCATCGAGGCGCTATCTATAGTATAATACTGTAAAGTGTATGAAATACAATGTCAATGTCGAGGTCAATGTAGTAAACAATGTAGTTCTATAAATAGCACTGCAAGGCTTATACATTTCAACACGCAACACAAATATTTTAGCGATTGTGATTTAGCAACATATTTGATATATCTTTGTTTGTGAAACAAACAAAGAAATTTCAATATATATCGTTAAATTGTATTTACCATTTGGTACATACTCCCTAATTCCTTTCCGTATCTAATATTGTAATCAAGGCTCATGCGTGATATTTTCCAAGTGACCAAGTCGGCATATTATACCTATATTCTAGATTATACTGACTGTATTAGCAGCTATTTGTCATAATGTATCGAAAAGAAATACACAATTGCCGGTATGACTATAATTAGCGGAACTGCAGACCACAGATTTCCTATTTTTGTGTTGATCTTCATTATTGTTGTCTGAAATATGCCAAAATATCCGCATCTTTTCCTTCATTAGGTCAAGCTATTTTCCGAAATTTGATGCTCAGATTGCTGCAAATGGCGTTTCTGGGGTTTATATTTCAAAAATTTTCCGGGGGGGCATGCCTCCGGACCCCCCTAGGATGTCTCACGCCTTTGGCGCTCGTTTGCATGACCACTCACACGACGCTGGCTTCGCCACTGACCAGAACGCCAAGAACCATTAAGGAAATGCGTCATTTTGGTAGATAAAACCTCACCAGATCCCGAAACATTGTTAACCATAAATGACCCTAATTGTGCTGGTGCAAAGGTCACTCTATTCCAAGCTTCTAACAAGAACAATTTAAATAAGAAAGGATGGCTGACTTGGAAATACATGCTGGGAAAGTGCTGTTAAAGATGGTATTCCCTTTGGTGGATGGCCTTTGTGATCCTGTTGTTCATGGTGTCTTAGTAACACCAGCAATCAGCGAATTTGTCCACAGGTATACCTTGTTCTTCATGGACAAGATAAACCAGTGAATGTAAGAATATGGCCAGAGCCATTGAATCCAATGGACCCAAGTGCAATTGCAATTGATGTAGACTATGCAACTGGATGGACACACACATGATGTTGGTTATATTGCTTCTGAACGAATGCAAGCATTTGCACCCACTAATTGCTGCAGGAGATATCTTAAAGGTCCATAGTTCAGCATATCAAGTATAGGGTTGACTTTTTTAAAATAGGATTTTATCCAAAATGTTTCATAAGGTGATGTGGTGAGTGGGAGACTCAAGTAGTAAGGAAGAGCACAAGTGTATGTTGACAGATGTTTGTGATATAATAGTAACTGACTAGGTATAGCAAGTTATAGAAATTATGTTATTTCAATTGACTAACTTTTTAGATTTTTCAGCATTTTAAAACAAAAACTAGGTTAATCATAAGTGGGTGCAATTAAAACAATGTCTGTCATGCACACTCATGCAAAAATTAAGTTAAATACTTTTATTTAATAACACACAAATTGAGTTAAATACTTTTATTAAAACCTTATTTTCGTGTCTGTGTGCCTGAACATGTAGCATATTAAATTTAAGAATCTGTACAACATGACATGTTTCTTGACTTGCTACTCCAAATGAATGGCTTGTGACTAGACATGTTAACATCTCTGGTTCAAATTCAAAAGACACTTTTAGACTTTTGACTAATTGCAGGCGCTGATCCAGTGGTTTTGTTGACTGATGCACTAAACCTCGCATTTGTAGGGGGGTCCGGGGGAATCCTCCCCCGGGAAATTTTGAAATCTAGGACCTCGGAAATGTGATTTCCTGCGTTCTGAGGGAGCTTTTCTTCGAAGTTCAGACATCAAAATCGAAACGTAATTTGCTGGATTTTCGGGGAAAAACGTAAAAAATCGGCCTTATAGAGTGAGAACAACATAATCATGCGAGTTTTAAAATAAATTGAAAACATTTTTATGCGGAGTTTTATCAGATCGAAACTTGACTAGCCTTATTTATTTGATCCTACTGTATTTGAGTGAGGATTATAGAGTAGCAAAGTTGTAGCTAATCTGCTATAATTTACAATTTTACATACAAGTGTACACTACTTACATGTACACAACATACTGATAGAATAATTGAAAGCAAAACCACAGACATTTTTTCTGTGTAAAATATGAAAACCTGATCAGGGTTGTTTTTCTTATGCAAAATAGATAAGAATACTTCAAGCAAACTATTATATTCATTGCCAATGATATCACTTCCTGTAACTTATCACTTCCTGTTACCAGTTAAGACCAATCAATATAACAATGTTCCAGGTCAAATGCCTTCCAGCAGCACCACCATGACATAAATTCCAGTTAAATTATTTTAATAATCCAGGATTAATTCCAGGGCAACTTTGAGTTACTGTATATGAAGGCCCTCTCCGGAGCTAGTCACTCTAATATTTATGGATGCATTTATATCCAACATTTTGACAAATGCAGTTTGAATTTTTAAATACTGTAAGATTATCAAAGTATTCAAGGGTGTTAGGTAATAGTTTTCATTGTTGCTGAGCAGTTAATAATAAAAATAAACAATTATTGAAACTATTTGCAGAAAATAGATTGTTCTACTGTATTTGAAGTCTGAATATCTACAATACATTGACCAATATATCTCCACAGAGTTTGCATTGAATCCCAAATTACAGTACATTCAGGAGAGTGTCTAGGACTACTGTATGTATCCAAAACTGCTGTTTCAAGATATTAAGGATAGACAGGGAGAAGTGCATGTTATGGACTTGGTAGGTATCTGATTGCATGAGCAGGATTGACAAGCTTCAGTAACAGTGGCAGTGCAGTATATTGTGATCAACTCAATTAGTACATTGACTTATCAATGAAAGTGAGATAATTTATCAATTTATACATTAATGTATTCTATGCAATGACCCTTTGTTGTGTTGAAAATAAATGATAGAATGATCAGAACAGTAATTTGGTCCCATAACTGCTAATTAGACTGGTACATTTAAAATGAACACCTTGTGCTGAGCCATGGTCATGAGAATGGTATAATTTAAAGGCATATGAACAATGCCAGGAAAAGCATCACAAATTCAAGGGGCCAAACTTGAGAGAGCCCAGCTAAATTTATTCCCTTCCTAAACATGTGAATCCCCTTTATTTTCAGCATCACAATAATTTGCCGGTCACCCCCTGTGCCTCTCCCCTCACCTTGGCAGGGGCAACCCTGATACATGTAATGCCATTTAGTGTGATTGATGGCTTCTGGTACTAGGTGATGATTCTGGAACAATAGAGATAATATATAACTGAACTAATCTCACTATCACCAAACATTGCCCTTTCAAGAGCTTACCATTTCCAAAATGATGCACATACAGGGATGGATTTGGATATGGGAGGGATCTAATTAGGTGCCGGTATTGATGTCGGGTGTGAGCATCAACCAAGGCATGGTGTGTAATCATACAGATAGCAGTGTTTAGGGGAAACAGCACCTAACAAGTAACCGGCCAAGTAACCGGCAGGTGCCAGGAATATAGCTGCTAGTAAGGGTTGCAGGATCCTAGACAGAGTCCCTTAGACTGTAAGAATCTCAGGGAGAACTGCAAAATATTATCAAGCATCTAGATTCAATTTGCATTTTCAAACAAATTAAGACACAACCTCCCCCCCCTCCCCCCTACACACTATATAATTAATGGCTGAATGGCATATTGAGTGTTTATATGTGAACAGCCAAAACAGGATCATCCATGTTGACATATTTAAAACAGTTCAAATATAGTAAATTTTGTAAAATTGTGATATTTATACTACGACAAATATACCTATACCTACAGTATTTATTATAAATATCAACACACAGTCACACACAGACTCACTCGTTTAAATCTACATCCATAAACACAGTACACAGATCCCAAACATTCCCTTGTGAAATTACTGAAATAGCTGACAAACCTTTTAATTTCGACGGCTTTGAGGCTCAGTGAGTTTGAGTGAACCACCAAAGATCGTAAAATATTTCCATACAATGCGACATACAATGTGCCATTAATACTCCCGCCATTATATAACAATTCGACCATAAAATTTATCACTGACTGTTCTGATTGCGGGCGAAATGCATCAGTCAAAAGCGCATTATTTTGATCGCGGGCTAAACGCATCAGTCAGCATCCATTTCCCAACGTTACGTAGCATGAAAACAATGGTTTTCGTGACGTGTCGTTGGGAAAACTCGGCCAAAAGACTCGGGACCGATGCGCCACTGATGCACTTTTCTCCCCAACGTGACGTAGTGATGCACTGCCGGCCCCAACGTGACGTAGTGATGCATACACTGAGCTGTAATAATAGTGGATGCATCAAACTAAACACCGATATATGTGGCGAAATAAAGTCGCGACACAAAATCGTACAACTTGATAAGTGCGAAATTTGATATACGTTTACGTTTTTCATAATATTTTGCGAAATATAGCTTTGTTTACATTCATTCCTGTGAAAATATATTGTTTTAAAGGACTTTGGATCAAAGACAAACAATATTTAAATATATTTTAATAAAATGTTGACAATTCTCGTTCGTGTGAAAATTTTGACTGATGCATTCGCATCAGTTGCATCAGTCTGGATCCGCGCCTGCTACCAATCATGACGAATATGACTTTGTCATGTTATGTGACTCGAACAGGAAATTCTTAAACATAAGTAAGCTGTGTTCGAGTAGACATAGCAAAATCATTCCCTGTAATAAAACCAAAAAGGCCAAAGAAATTCTAGAGTCTCCCAGATTTGATGTCAAAAAAGGAATCATCATAAACACTGGAGTCAATGACCTTGAGAACCTATCTGCAGGAGAGATTGTAAAATCCCAAGTTCAAATGGCAAATATGGCGGCAAAAAGATTTCCGGGAAGACAAATTTTTCTATGTGGTATCACCCCAAGAGGAGATGAGTTAGATAGAAAAATCCCTGACATTAATGATGACATTGATGAGGAGATCAAAGATATCCCCAATGTTAGCCACGTATATAATGGGAATCTACGTAATGGCAAACTGTACTTTGATGTCAAACATTTGAATAGAAGATTTGGTATCCCCGCTTTGGCAAAGAACATCAAGAATGAGTTGCGTAAGATTTTCGGGGGTAACAGAAAGGAAAACACCAGCACCCAACAAAAGAGTGTACCTAGCAATCAAAACCAGGAGGGAAGTCACCACAGTAATGCAGGTCAAGTTCAAAACTTCGATAAGGAGTTGGGGAGGAGTCCGCAGGAAGATACACAGAATGCAGTATTTCTACCAACGATGACTGGCATTCAGGATGAACTTAAACAGGTATCAAACTTATTGAACCAGTTAATTCAAAGCAACATTAGTACGAACCATCAGCGGATGCAATACCAACGGGTAATGTATCCACAAGTTACTATTCCTCCTCAATTTACCAATAATTATAGATTTATTTAGCATACATATACATATACTAGACTAGGTTTGCTATCTTATTCAACTGATGGCAAAGCATTTCCTAAAGTTTGCAAGTTGGAATATTGAAGGTTTATTAAGTAAAATCGATGACTCAGAATTTATTTCAAAGCTACATAAATTTGATTTAGTCTCTTTAGTTGAAACGTGGTTGCCCCATGAAATATGCAATATTAATATCGATGGTTTTCATTCATTTTCAAAATGTAGAAAAACGGTTTCTCAAAATTCGCGTAGAAGTTCTGGTGGTATAACTATTCTTGTTAAGTCAACTCTTAAAAAAGGGATAAAGTTTTTAGACAAGGAAAGTAGTGAAGAGTTTGTTTGGTATAAATTGGACAAAACGTTCTTTAATCTCAAACATGATATTTTCATTTGCACTGTATACATTCCACCACAGAATTCATCACGTGAATCACGATTAAATACTGATCATTTCGAAAACCTCCAAAATAATATTTATAAGTTTGCAAGCAAGGGCAATATCATTTTGTGTGGAGATTTTAATGCTAGAATAGGTGTTGTAGAAGATTTTGTTGACAATAAGTTCTTGGAAGATGATAAATATATCACTCCATCATTAGACCAGCGATATTCAAAAGATCACCATGTTAATGCTTATGGGAAATCCCTTATTGATCTATGTATTGGCAATGGTATGGCTGTTTTAAATGGAAGAACAAACGGTGATCTCCTTGGGCAATTTACCTGTCAGACCTACAACGGGGCAAGTGTGGTTGACTATGTTGTTATCTCGCACAGCTTGCTCTCATTTGTTGTAGGCTTTAATGTTGAAGATATCACTGAATTTTCTCATCATTCATGTCTGTCTTTTATACTACAGATTAAATATCCACAAAACTCAGGTGATACTTTCAAATTAACCCCTCATATTAAATCTTTTATTTGGAATGAAAGTCAAAAGGATGCTCTAAGAGAATGCATGAGTTCGAACGAAGTAGAAAATAAATTAGAATCTCTATTTTTCCAACATAAAGGTGTATCTAGTGATGAAGCAACCTACACAGATATACTTGTAGCTAATTTCTCAGAAATTTTGTCCGATACCTCACAAAAAGTTCTAAACATTAAGAGGCAAAAGAAAAAGATCAAAAAAGGTAATACCAAAATGAGACAGGAATGGTATGACGAAAATTGTCACAATCTGAAAAAGAACTTGAGAAATTTAGGTAGTGTACTCTCGAAATTTCCCAACGACATTTACTTACGTCATCTCTTTTTTGCAAAAAAGAAGGAATATAAACGTACAGTTAAAAAACAAAAAAGACAATTTCATAATTCTATACTAAATAAAATTGAATTATTATCAGAAAACAATCCTAAAGATTTCTGGAAACTCGTTAACTCCATAAAAGCTCAAAAACCTAGAACTTCACACGAAATTTTACCATCTGAATGGTTTGATTATTTCAAAAACTTGAACAAAATAAATATCAATACTGAAGTAGCAAGCAGTTAAGCACAAATCATAAAAGATTTTAATATCTGGGCATTAGGTACAAATGATACTCTTGACAGACCAGTATCACTGGAAGAAGTGTACACATTATCAAAAAGATTAAAGAATAAGAAAGCCAGTGCCAATGACTCGTTGTCCAATGAGATCATTAAACTAGCAGTTGAGGTTCTGCCATCCTACTTTGAAAAACTGTTTAATAAAATCTTGTCCAATGGACACTTCCATCACTTTGGTCTAAAGGTTTTATAGTCCCCATTTATAAATCAGGAAGTAATATCGACCCGAATAATTATAGAGGAATATGCATAAGCAGTTGTTTGGGAAAATTTTTCACATTAATCATGAATGAACGACTAAATAAATATCTAGACGAAAACAACATTATGAGTAATTGCCAAATCGGATTTAGAAAAAATTGTAGGACAGCCAACCATCTATTAGTTTTGAAAACTCTAATAGATTATTACAAATCAAAACGTAAACCAATCTTTGCTTGTTTTATTAACTTCAAAAAAGCTTACGATAGTGTATGGAGGGAGGGTCTTTTCTTCAAATTGATCTTGAATGGTTGCAGCAAGAGATTCATACGTTTAATGTTAAGCATGTATTCCTCCTATGACTGTTCGGTAAAATTGGAAGAGGGGTATACAACTTTCTTTAGGTCACATGTAGGAGTCAAACAGGGTTGTAACTTAAGTCCTACTTTATTCAACCTATTCATTAATGATCTACCTGATATATTTGACAGGTCATGCACTCCAGTAAAATTAAATGATACAAATCTAAGCTGTTTGCTTTACGCAGACGACCTAGTCTTATTATCCGAATCCAGGGCAGGGTTACAAAATTGCCTCACAAAACTTGTTTACTATACCAAAAAGTGGAAGTTAAACATTAATCTTAAAAAATCCAAAGTTCTAGTATTTGGAACACCAACCCAAAAACGTAGGCATTCTACATCAATCTGGACATTCGGTAAAAATATTTTGGAACAAGTTGATGAATATTGTTATCTGGGTATTACTCTTCACTTTTCTGGTACTTTCAAGCGAGCACAAAAGATAATCTACGGAAAAGCATTACATGCCTATCATAGTATATTTAAAAGTTTCTCAAATGTCGAAAATGTTCCAATAAAACTAATGTTAAAACTATTTTCTTCGATAGTTACCCCAATCTTATTATACGGTTGCGAAGTGTGGGGTCCGCATTTATTGGGCAGAATAAACTCTTTCGAAATGTTCAAGAAAAAAATTTTCCAAATCAATAGTGCAATTGAAAAACTTCATCTAAAATTCTGCAAAAGAGTCTTAGGAGTTCATTCAAAATCAACAAACATGGCTATTTATGTTGAGCTAGGAAGAAGGCCTTTGATCGTTCAAATAGCTAAGCTGGTTGTAAAATATTGGTTTCGAATAAAAAGTTCATTGTTCTCAAACACGCTTGTTGGAAAAGCAACGAATGTATGCATGGAACTTAACCTAAAGTCAACAATTTTTATCAAATATGCACTGCAACTATGTGGGGGAGAAAATTGCGATTCACAAACTGAATTATCCAACTTGCAGACGGAATTATCTGAAACAGAAAAAGGAAATGTTTGCCATCACGTGAAACATAGATTTAAAGAAGCGTTTATATTGTATTGGGCAGAGCAGTTTCAACCTGTCGAAAATACTGGCAAGCTAAGAACTTTTAGAAAAATAAAAAAACACTTTGAATGTGAAAAATACTTAAACGAAATTAGTAATTTCAAATATCGTCAAGCTGTTACAAAGTTAAGAATATCAGCACATAAGCTAACCGTTGAAACTGGTAGATACAACAATGTCCCATACAATGATAG